TTTAAAAGTTCTTAATTTATAAGCATAAAATCAATATAATTTAGAAACATTTTCAAAAACTTTACATAATCATCATAAAATAACTAGTTTCTGATGAATATTGCAGAGAAAATAGTGCGAACCATGCATTTTTTTGTAATTTAGAACGACAATCGATACGGCAAAGAAAAAAAAATCTCTTTTTGAGAGATAGAAAGTACGCACTTTTTACAAACCCCGAATAAAATTTTAAAAAAACTACCTTTAAGGGCTTTTAAAAAACGTAAATCAAAAATAAGCACCTTTAAGCACTTTTTAAAAATGTGCTACATTCATGGATTCCTGTGCTACATTCATGGATTTAGTCAATGAAACTAACAACTCAACTCTAAAAAATGAAGAAGCTTGAAAGGTGGCTGCTGCCAAGAAAAAAGTTTAGACTGTCGTAGATTATTTTTAAAAAATAAACAACTATTCACAAAAAGTAAAAACTGGCATTCAGAGCTGTTAGAAATAAAAAGTAAAAGGTTGCTATTCATCGAATTACTAAGCGAAGTACAACAGCGTGGGTGAACATTCTACGGTTAATGACAGAAGCTTCCGTTCGATGGCAGAAAAGATTTCACACATTTACAAACGCTTAAAGCAAGGATAATTACATATTACACCTAAACACGATGGAATTGGATTGAGAAAATTCGAACAAAAGCGTACCTAATAACACCCTCAACACCGAAAAAGATTTGCGGTACAAACTCTCTTTTAATGATAGTGACTTCTTTTTTTTCTTTTCTTGGCAGACAAAACGAGTCACCAGCTACAAAAAAAAAACGCAACAGCAGTTGGAAGTTTCTCACACAACATTGCGGCAGCATGCCGATAAAGAATACATCGCTGGGATGGTGTGCTTTAAACTTTAACTTCCGTGGCTGGGCATTGACCAGGCTTCGGCGCATCACTGGCTGCCGGCGGTCCGTTCAGCCGTTTCTAAATCCATTGTCTGACCGAGCGGGAAGAATAATTCCACAAACATCTTTTTTGAATCTTAGCTAAAATGTAACGGTGTTGAGGATCGGTTCCGGCAAGTCAGAGAGAACTTCCTCATAGTTGTTGAAGCATGTCTGAATGCGCGGACTTTAGTGGTCAAAGGTGCCCCCCTTTTGTAATTCAAAACAAAGCTACTCCCAAGAAGAGTGGAAATGTTTGTTTCTGCTAATGAAGGAACAAACGAGGCAGATACGCTGGAGTGCGTTTAACACTCACTTTTAATACACTCTGATTTGCATGATTGGAAGAGCTTTCATTTGCCTTGGAATCTTTACGTTATTTATTCCATTCAATCTTTTGAAAATGAGCTAAATGCCTTTGGCAACTAATATGAATACTGAAAAACCACGTAGAATTTAATACAAAGGAGCACTCAATAAGTCTTGAAACTGATGAACATGTATTTAATTTGACACATGAATTAGCAGGAGGTTAATTTAATTAACAGAAAATGATTTCCTTTTCAACAAAATAAAACTAGAAGGGTTCTTTTTTTCCCCTTTAGAATTCTAGTCTGATTTGCATGATTGAAAGTGCTTTCATTAACCCCTCAACGATCGGTTAATTTTCAAGAAAACGGTCATAAAAGTGCCTATTTCTTATCACATATCACAAATACACGTATTTGATTAGTGCTGACATCTAGTTTAAAATAAACTATCTACAATTACCTAAAAAATATCCTGGTACTGCCATCTAGTGTGCAAAATGATAAATAAAATGTTTTCCAGACAAAAGAAATGAATTAGTTTTATTCTTATTGGCGCGTTACTACTGAACACTTCAGTCCGGAAATATCATGGGAGCGAGAAATAGAGGGCGAAACCACACGGGAGCGAAAGGAAAGGGTTAAGTAGGAATCTTTCAATATTTTTTTTACTGTTGGAAACAGTGACGTAGTTTTAATGTATGTTCGAGGAGGTTATCGGTCATCTCCTTCTAATACATATATATATATAATATAAANGTATGTATGTATGTATGTATGTATGTATGTATGTATGTATGTATGTATGTATGTATGTATTAGAAGGAGATGACCGATAATACATACCCCCAAACCCTCTCCAAAACTACGCCACTGGTTGGAAATAGACTAAATGCTTTTGGAAATCAGTACAGAAATTTAAATGCCAGAACTACGAGGAATTTATTACAGAAAATTAATTTTAAATACTTTTTAAAGATTTTTTGAATTTGATGAGCATGTTTTAAATTTGGGGACTGAATTAGCATAATTTTAAGGAAAAATTACGTTCAATTTAGAAACGATTTCTAGAAAGTGAAACTGGAAATTTTTTTTTCTATACACAGATCCAATCATATTTGAGTGATTAAAAGCGCATTCATTTTCATTGACTTGGAATCTTTTATTATTTACTCCATTCAACTATTGAAAATCAGCTAAATACTTCTTTTGATAACTAATGTCTAAAAATAAATGGAATTTTTTACAAATGAATCTTTCACAAAGCTTTTGAATATGATGGATATATTGTTAATTCGACACATATATTAGTACGAGATTAATTAAATTTTAAAAAAAAATTATTATTTTTTATTTTCTAGTACACGAAGCTTTATTTTCTACACATTTAATATGATTCACATGGTTAAACGATGCTTTGATTGACTTGGAATCTTTTATTTATTCTATTCAACTATTGAACACAAGTTAAATGCTTTTGACAATTAAAGCAAAAAAATTAATACCTAAAACTACGCAGAATTTATAACAAATGGGCAATCAAAAATATTTTAATCTGAAGGATACGTAGCTAATTAGACACATTCATATGAAGTTAATTAATTTAAGAATACAATTAATTTTCTAGAAATCTAGAGAAAAACGTAGAGAATTCAGTTTAACGTTGAACTATAACATTGGTAACATAATATCGCGCAAAATTTGCTGCAACTTTCATAAGGTATTAAGTTTAACGATATTTACGTTCCGTTTGAACCATTTTATCTTTCGCAATCAATTTCGAGAATTGGTTCAACCTTGAACCATAATATCGATACTTTTAACCATAATTACCATTAACCAAACAAAAAGGAAGGGTGAGAAAGAAAGGACGAAAAATAACATCGATGTTAAAATTCTTAAATAGTATAAAATTTAAGAAAAAGCTATTAAAACACAATTCAAAAGACATTTATTAATACTATGCATATCAATACATCACATTCATGAGAAACGGAGAGGAGATGTATTGCGCATTTAATAGGAAAAACAAGCATACACTTTAATTGAAAAGACAAGTGTAAACAAGAAGGGATGAATGATACTCTAAAAACTTCTGCTCTAAAAACTTCTGAATCTTGGCGGAAGTTCACGTCAACATGGAGAAGAGGTGTAATGTTCTCATATCCATCATTTTCTTGAGGAATGGGGGAGGAGGCAGATGCAGAATTCGAAAGGAAATACATACACAAAAAGATAAAAAACCAAACCCTCACCTTTGCATCACGATCAAAAACAGAAGATCCAAAAGAAAGGAAAAGGTTTTTCTGGTGGTCATTGAAGATGAGGTGAAAGCGAGATATATTCGCTAATAGCAGTGATTTGGCGAAAGTGCGTGCGATTTCACGGTGACTGACCGCCAAAATGCCAATAAAAGAAAGGCCATGGAAGAAAAGAAATCAAATTAAACAGAATGGTTGGAAGTTGATATTCGAATGAAATTAAGTCACCGCAGGCAAAAGATCAAACGGGGGATAGCTGGAAGTTGTTTATAGTCACGAAACTTAGATATCAAATAGCCAGTTGGAATGATAATGCATTGAAAGTAAAGCAATATGGTATGAAAAGAAGGTTTCTTTTAGTGAAGTAGGAAACTTTGTTTATATACACCAAAGAGACGTAATAGTTATTTTAAGTCACACGTTTACTTTTAATGCTTTATTGCACGTGTTTTATTCTTATAAAAGCCATTGCCATAGGACAAAAAAAAAAAAGAACGTAAACATTTCAAGGAAAATGAAAATCATGAAAAACAATTTCCGTCTGAAAGATCATGCACATCACGGTATACATTTTTTATAAATTCAGTATACATTTTTTTTCTTAAAAAAGCATATTCTTTCCATTATTTATTAAATACACTGATTTTTTTCTTCTTTTGTATCAATTTACTTAAAGAAACATTAGAATATTGAAGGGATATAAACATAATTACAAGTTTCAAAAATCATAACAGGTTAAAATGAAGTTCAAACTTTTGGAAACCTCGTGACCTTTCCACGGAACACTGTTTAGGAACTAGTGTAATAATTGTGTTAAAGTAATAATACAATTTTCAAGAACATTTTCGATTTTTCTTTTCTATTTACCCTACCAGCAAAACAACTTGAGCCCTCATTGGACTAATATTCACGTATCTTGGCTCAATAAGGGTTCAAAGGGCCGTTATTTCTCCGATGTTGGCATTATCTAGAAATCCCTGGTTCACCCGATATTTTACAGCCATTTTGCAACCAATATCGGTCTTATATAGAATTGTCTGATTCACCCGATATTTTACAGCCATTTTGCAACAAATATCGGTCTTTGATAGAAATTTCAGATTCACCCGACATTTTACAGTCATTTTGCAACCAATATCGGCCTTATATAGAATTGTTTGATTCACCCGATATTTTACAGCCATTTTGCAACAAATATGCGACAAATATATTGAAATTTTAGATTCACTCGATGCTTTATATTTATTATGCTCCAATATATGCCTTATATTGGCTTTATATAGACCGATATTGGCTCTATATATTAGCAATATTAAAAATATAGACATCCCAATATTGGTCCGTCAGTTCATGTTCATATAGAACTCATATTGAGCCAATTCTTAGCCCAACTGGAGCCAAGGTGAAATAATTCTAGAATAATTGCTAGATAAGCTTCTAATAATTGCTAGAGATGAAGTAAAAGTTATCGGTTAATTAATAAACTTCTTTTGTATTCATTTCAGGATTCAGCAGCAACCAGTAAGCAATGAAGAAAAGAATATACCCATGCTTTCTCGCATCGTGGTGTTGCTTCATATTAATGGTAAACACCCAGTGTCCCTGGTCCAGAGAACTTGTAAACTTACACACTGACTGCGTATGTGCGTACAGTAACAGCCAGCGCATTTCCATCCAGTGCAGTCCAGTCAATTTCACACTCCTCATGTCTACTCTCAGAGGTTCGGTAAGCAACATCCCCATCGATTTACTGTACGTAAGCAATGCCACAATCGAAGTGCTGCGCAATGGCAGCTTCGAAGACCTCAGAATACAGAGCCTGCATCTTTCGAAGAGTAAAATACGAGATATTGAAGTTGGAGCGTTCTTCGGACTGAAAGAAACGCTCACCAGTCTTAACCTCCAGGACAACCTGCTGAGGGAGATACCCGTGGAAGGAATGAGAAGTCTGAATTCTCTACAATTTCTGGACCTGTCTCATAATGTGATACGTAAAGTACAGGATGATGCCTTTAAAGGTAATTATTTCTCTAATTTAAGTAGGAAAAAAGTTTTTCTGACTAAACATAGAACACGGAACGTAAACTTACAACTGTACTAGTCATATCGTGAAATTCGAGCAACAGATATCTTATGTGCTAGCAGAAAAAAAAATTCGAGTTTTATTTTTTTAAGTTGACGTCCCGCAGTGGACTGATCGTAAAGACACGATTCCCGGTGGAACACCGAAGTCAAGCCTCACTGGCTGCGGTCAGTAAGCGGGCGGGTGACCACTTTAATCAGCCTGAGTAGGGACGTGCTCGGTATAGGTCCTTGTTAAACTGTTCTACTGTAAAGTGCTCAACTTCTAGAGCAGGTCGTCGGGCTACCAAAGCAGGGGAACCATTCCCTTTGCGGAGGATAAAAAATTGCGATGGCACGTCTTCGGATCACCCTAAAGAATGTTTCCCAGACCATAGCTCATTGTGCAGCTCTAGTGAGACGGAAATAAAGTATATACCTACCTTTTAAGTTCACATTGGGTATCAGCGAACTATATAATAAGCAAAAATAAAGTTCATACAATATAACTAGAGAATTTCGGACAGCGTGTACCTTTAGGATGTACCTTAGATAGGAATGAAATCACGAAGTTATTCTTGAAGTGGTACAATTCGACACAGATAATTCTCTTGCATAAAAACTGCTTCGCCAGCAGTTGCAATGACAACGACTCGAGATTTAAACACTGTGGAAAACGTATTTTCTAAGGAGGTATCTAATACTATAAAGCTGAACTACATCAGTTGACCAATAGTTCAACTATTTGCGTCCTTAAATTTTCTACAGGCAAGTCTTTAATGCATTAAAGCAGGATTGAAGGTAATGTAACTTGAAGTGGAGTGTGTTTAGAGATCCACAAAAATACGCATTTCAAGGAATAAAATCAAATTAAGAATACCAAAACGCTCATTTCAAGGAAATTAAGGCAACCATGTCATTCAAGAAAAACAGTAAAGGAGCACATTTTTGTTTTAAACCATAACTTAAATCAATTTCATGCATAAGCGATTTGCTTTGGATAGAACAAAACCAGCTCTCCAAAGATATAGCCTAAAAGAATGAGCAACAATAACCTACCAATCGCGTTACATAGATTTCTGAAACTTGCTTATGCATAGTTTAGCCTAGAAATGCACGTGTTTTTTTCCTTATGTCTACTAAATTTGTTCAAGTCAATCCACTGAAGATGTTACTATAGATTATGCCAGATCTCGATTGTTTTAGGAAACAAAAGTGCGGGTATCAATTCCGAAGAGACCAAGATGATAGGCTAAACAAGATTTGGGATCGACTAATCATTAAGTACATTTGAAATGTCGAATGAGCACTGTTTTGTATTAATTTTGAAGCAAATAAAAAATTTAGGGGGGGGAGAGAAAAATCACTAAAGTAACTCACCAAGGGGATCGCAAATCATGTCTACAGAGATTGATTAATAAATCGTGAATCATAGAAGCTTTGGAAAGCTTCCAATAAATCAATGCTAGTTTTAAGACTAAAAATAGTTTTGCAAAATGCTAGTTCACAACATAGTTTTGCTAGCTCACAACAACAGCTTAAAGATTTACAGTAGTTAATATAAGTTTAAACTAACTTGTCAAATAAAACTGTGCCTTATTGATTCTACGTTATGATTGGTTTTATTAATGTGGGAATGATAAAAAAATTACACTGATTTTGAAACTATCCCTAGCAGCAAAACAACTTGGGCCCTCATTGGGTCAACATTCATGAATCTTGGCTCAGTAAGGGTTCAAAGGGCCTTTACTTTTCCGATATTGGCCCTATATGGAATTTTCCGATTCTCCCGATATTTTACAGCCACTTTGCAACCAATATCGGTTCTATATAGAATTGTCAGATTCACCCGATATTTTATATCCATTATTTAGCCAATGTAGGTTCTATATTGGCCAATGTAGGCCCCATATAGGCCATTCTAAGCTCAATTTTAAACAAATCTAGAGATCCCAATATTAGTCCCTCGGCGCATGTTCGAATAGGACGCATATTTAGCCAATTTTGAACCCAACTCGGGACAAGGTAAAATTGTTGCTACGAATGTTTCGAAATTTTTTTTCGATCGGAATTATTTTAATTAAATTCAAACAAAAAAACAACATCGAACGTATCCATATTTTATAAATTTTACAAAGGATTATGGAATTTACTTTGTGCTAATTTAAAACTTTTTGTTTCTGTCCTGCAGGTCTACCCCTGTCAACTCTAAAGCTGTCGGACAATTCCCTCAACATATCTGACGTGGCTTTTCGTGGTCTAGAAGGCAGCCTGAAGAGTTTAAACCTGCAGTCTTCAGATCTCAGAGAGCTGCCAAAGGCCATCCAGAGACTCAAGTTCTTGGCTCTTCTTGATCTTGCACAAAATAAGATAGAGACCATAGAGCCGGACTTCTTCTCGGAGATGCAGTCTCTGACGGCCATCAATTTGGAAAGGAACAGGATAAAGGACATCGATTCCAAATCCTTTGCCGGTGTCAATGCCACCCTCAGTTCGTTGTCGCTGCTAAACAACCACTTGAAGACATATCCTCTGGAAGCTATTTCTATTCTCTCCGAAATAAGGGTAACTACCACGTCACTTGAATTAAATAATTCATGGATAGGAATAAAATCCAGTAGATTTTACGAAATAATATAAATCTCAGGATAATTGTTGCAAAACATACTAAATATTTTACTAAATATTTAAAAAACTGCAATATTTTCCAGTTACGATTTCACATCAAATGATCTTGAAATGTTACGTATTATGTTTATTCATAATTTTGAATAATAATAGCCATTTAATTCTTCAAAGATGACTGAACTGAGTTTTATAAACGAGGTTCTCTTTATTATGTATTAGTGAGACTTATTTAAATATTCAAGCAAGCAATAATCTGCATTAAAAATTCTATTTCAAAAAGGATTTTTTAAGGAAACTTACTCAATTTTAGGGATTTTTCTAAAATGTACAAAAACCAGTAGAATTTTTACTAAAGCAGTAGACCAGGAGAAACTGGCAAAATCCAGTAGTCTACTGGAAAATCCAGTAGAGTTGGCAGTTATATCATGAAACAAGATTACCGATGCCTAATTATTAGTTTATTTTTTAGGTGTTCCTAAACGTATTGTAGTGAGAAGCCTCTTTCGTTGTAGCGAAATTCAATCATCAGAATGGGAAATGTGTCTAATCCTTTTGAATCATTTGCAAAACTAAATTAATCATTCCTATCTCTTGCTGTCATTCGCGTTTGAGAAATTTAAATTGCTCGTTTAATCACTAAAGCTAAATTTCCAACAAGGATTGGAAACATCGCGAACGGAAATTTAGTGTTGATGTTTAGTTGGTTTAGAGCTTGATTTATTTTATTTTATAACCGTCGTTGAACAGCCGATAATAAGCCTCATTGAGCCGCGATGGCTCAGGGGATAGAGGTGAACGGGTTCGAATCCAAGCGATTGTAATTTTGTTCCAGACGAAGCTTGGTAATTTTGAATCCAGACGACTTCGGAACTGGATCAAGTATTGCGAGAAATTTGTCTTCGTGGCGGACTTTTTAATGGAACTAACCGCATTTGCATTACATGGAGAGAAGAACCACGAGAAACTCCCACGGTTAGCCTGACGGCAAAGGGACTCTAACCCATGATTCGTCTACCACTAAGGATATTACACGTCAGCAGTGTGGTCGGTGCAAGCCATGATGCCGATTCGTATCGACCATCCATCGCTGGGATTTGAACCCGGTTCACCTCATTGGAAGGCGAACGCTCTATTCCCTGAGCCATCGCGGTTCCGGTATTCATATTGCCGCGATCATCAAGCTACGTATATCATTCACACGATGTATGAATCAAACGTCGCGAGTTGCGTTCACCTGGATTGGGTTCAGAATTACAAGGGCACGGTATTTAACATTGGTAGTCGTAAACTCAAAATTAGATCGTCTGTCCAACGAAATAAATAAAACAGATGTTTAGATTTCATAAATGCATTGTATTGTTAGAAAGCGCGGATAGAGCGTTCGCCTTCCAATGAGGTGAACCAGGTTCGAATCCCAGCTATGGCTGGTCGATACAAATCCGCATCCGGCTTGCACCGACCACAGTGCTGACGTAAAATATCCTCAGTGGTAGACCGATCCTGGGTTAGAGTCCCTTTGCAGTCAGCTAACCGTGGGAGGTTCTCATGGTTTTCCTCTCCCTGTAACGCAAATGCGGATTAGTTCCATCAAAAAGTCCTCCACGAAGGCAAATTTCTCCCAATACCTGATCCAGGAGTTCCCTTATCTTCTGGATTGGGTTCAAAACTACAAGGCTACGTAATTGAACATTAGCAGTCGTAAATCCAAAGAAATTGAGTCGGCTGTTCAACGACGCTTATAAAATAAAATAAAATAAAATAAGCCTCTTTAAAGCAATAACGTCCTTGAGAGAAGAATTGTAAAATTTCATCAATTTTATAAACTGACCTTACACATTTTCTCCTTACATTACAGGTATTAGATCTTGGATTTAATGGAATCACGGAATTACCAATCGATGCATTTAAGAAAAACAAAGTATTGACACTCTTAGCGTTAGACGGAAATCCCCTCACGACTATACCAGTAGAAGCATTCCTTCATCTCAATTCCACATTAAGAGGACTCAGTTTAGGAGGTAAGTTTTAAGTTGAAATCTAATTGATGCGCATGTTTTTTTAATAATTACGTCTCAGTGAAAATACGTCTTAAGTGACATTTTAAAAACACTCAAATCAGACGATAACTTTTTGTTCGGCCAAATTTTGACGTACATGGTTTTCAATGGAAGGTATATTTTGGAAACAGTTTTTGTTTTTCCTTTTTTTTAACAGCTGACGTTGAACAGCAGACTCAATTTTTCGATTTCACGACTATTAATGTTCAACTACTTAACCTTGTCATTTTGAACCCAATCCAGAAGACAAGAGAGCTCCTGGATAAAGTATTGGGAGAAATTTGCTTTCGTGGAGGACTTTGCGATGGAACTAACCGGCATTTGCGTTACATGGAGAGGAAGACCATGAGAATCTCCTATGGTTAGCCTGACGGCAAAGGGAATCTAACCCATGATCCGTCTGCCACTGACGATATTTCCCGTCAGCACTATGGTCAGTGCATGTCGGATGCAGATTCATATCAACCAGATATCGCTGGGATTCGAACCCGGTTCACAACATTGAAAGGCGAACGCTCTATCCCCTGAGCCATCGCGGCTCTGGAAACAGTTGTTGTAATTATTCATTCAAAATCTGATTTTACAAAAATTTACTAAAATATTTTTTCAGCATGAATTTTTATTGTGCTCTTTAATTTAATCAGATTAAATGTTTTCATTTACAATGAAAAGGACTTGTATCGTTTTAAAACTCTTACACTCGAAAATATAAATGGACAAGAATAGACAAAATCTGGTCGTCAAGGCGAATCACTATATTATGCTGTTTTTTTCTTTCTTATTATTTATTCATTTCTTTCATAAATATCAGAACATGAAAAAAAAGCCTTCGTAGTTAAATCTTGAAAATTTTTCCAGCATACGACCAATGATGCTTCTACTGGGAACCGTGTCTTTACGATAAGTCCACTGCGGGACAAAAAAAAAGTTACTAAGTAAAATAAGAATTTGTAAATTAGTGGCGCTGCAATGAGCATCAACTTTTTTCATCTGCAATGAGCATAAAATTCCCAACAGCAAGATTGTGAATTTAGCTATTCCTAAAATTAAAAATTTGTGATAACCAATTTGAAACAATGTCCGAAGAGCTGCGATGGAGATCTATTGGAAGGCTAGAAGCAGGACAAAGTTTTGCAGAAGTGGCCAGAAGGCAAAACGTGAGTCTTGTGGTTCATAGAGTTTGGCAACAACTTCTACCCACAGGTTCGGTATTCAGAAAATTCAGCCAAGGGCAGCCAAGACGAATTTATTATTATTGCATTGTTCAAAATATTTTAAATAAAAGCAAAGTATTTTGTAGAATAAATGTATACTTTCAATGCAAATTACTGCATACAGGCTGGTACCAATTTAATCATAACTCACGTAATTATAAACGTTATTTTTGGAGAAAAAAATCTTAAAAACTTCAATTTCCAGCTCTATTTTAAACAGTTTACACATTATTGTTAGTTTTCACATGTTTATATATGTATGTTAGGATCAGCATTAGAATGTGATTGCCGGATACGATGGGTAGCAGAGTGGATTCGAGATCGAGATCTTCAAGTAACCAGCCGAGAGCGCAATCCGCAATTTTGTGGCAGTCCTGAACACCTGAGGCGTCGCAACTTTTTCCAGATTCAGCTATCAGACTTCTACTGTGCCAATGAAACTCTGAAGCCTCGCCAAGCCACAAAACGTCCCAAGAGATTGAATATGAACTTTGACGAAAGACCCAACGATGTCTCGGAGGATGGAGAGAAGCTGGTGCAAATTGTGACTGTGGACACACACGTGGATATCGCTGGAATGTCTAAAGGTAAGCTTCATTAAAACAGTCAAAAACCAGACGTGTGATTGCTGGAAGAAGAAATTATCTATTTTTTCCCCAATGTGTAGTTTTTTTAGTACTTTTTCTAGTGAACGATCTTTTAAATGTTTGTCATTTCGGAATTACCTTTTAGATTATCATTCGGATACTTTTGTGTTTACCTCAGTAGTTCGTTAGTTCTAGCAACACCTCCTAGAATAAGGAAGGCCTCAGCACGGATTAATTTAGTAGTCCGATGTGACGAAGTTAACTGTGCAGTAGATGAAAAATAAGAAAGATGTCATTACATTCGGGGTACTAAGCTGCGCAGTGGTTGAAAATACGAAATATGTCATTACGTTTAGACTACTAAAGGATATTTATGGTAACCCGTGCAGAGGCCTACTCCTTTCTAGGAGGTGTTGGTTCTAGCCGAAGTATCTAATGATTTTTTTTTTCTTTCAATTTCGTGTTCTCGAAGTTTATCCAAAGTTGCAATTTTCTCTTATAAATCTGCGTAAAAAAGAATCATGGCTCGCGAATGAGAACATAGGAAGAAAAGAAAAGAAAGAAAAAAGAGGGTGCTGGTAAAGGCGGAACAAATACCTCGGTGACGAGATTTTATATTTATATATATATTTATATATATATATCAGTCGTAGGACAGCCGATCCAATTTTGGATTTACGACTACTAATGTTCAACTCCGTAGCCTTGTAACTTTGAACCCAATCCAGAAGCCAAGGAAACTCCTAAATCAATACCCCCAGAGGTAGAGCCCCTGAATTAGACAGGCTGACTTATCATTTATTGTTGGAGCAAAGAGCTATCATAAGCACAGCGAATAAATATTTTCAAGTGGTAGTTTATTAATTGTAATTCTTGGTTTCATAAGTTCGATTTAGTAGATTTTAATCCACCACTATTTCTAAACAATGCGTAGGCTTATATAATTCACCACTTTATAGAACTTATTACATGCTTTACATTCTTAAAAGCAAGCAAATATTGTCAACTATTTGCAAAATTTACTTTGTAGTGATTTACCGTTTTTCAAATTATTTTGGCGTGTCCGCAGCAGTTGGCATCTCTGTAATAACATAACGAATACTAAAATAACGTTAACTTGAGAACTTGTTTGCTCCAATATTGCTTGATAGGTCAGCTCTGGTAGTATAGAAGCCTTACCCAGAGGTATTGATTTGTTACGGGAACATGTAGGACTTTGAGACTCGACAGATTTAACGTGCATCAGTCACCATTTACTACTATTAGTCTTCGGCCGGCGGGGATCGAACCCACGAACTGTTGGACATGGGGTAACGAGACTTTGGTTAAGTAACCAAATTTAGATTAGCAGAACTTAGAGAAAGTTTTGTCGGAATATAAATTACTCATTCGCAGAAGTCCGCGAATCAATGGTCTTGATATTCGCGGAATTCCGCGAATTAGCAGAAGAATCACATGCCTGCAAAAGAGTAATTTTCAAAATACCAACGTCATTAAATACGAGGACCCATAATGTATAAACATGACTGACACGCCAAAATATTAAATTGTACAGTTTGTCTACGGTAAGAACTCCCCCCGCCACAAAGTCTGAGTCTGCTATGGAAACAAGAAAAGCGCATTTCAGGAAGGGTAGCTTCTTTTCAATCTAAGACTTAACACAGTAGACCGAAGAAAATAAATTCCTTTCCTTTTGCCAACCAGAGCCGAAACTTATCCTAAACAATGACCCCACACCCCCACTTGAAATATTTAAACCGCCAGGGGCCCAGGGGAAAGGAATGGGGAGTTCTTACTTTACTAAACAAACTATATATGTATCACCTCTTGAAAAAAAAAAGATTTGTTACTTTTTAGATATTAAAGGCAACACCACACCTTTAGGATCATTGGCACACAGTGGAACGGTTAAAAAGAAACCAAACCAACATCCTATTAGAATAAAGCAAGCCTACAAAAGAGATTCAACACTGATGTTAGAGTGGGAAACAGGAAAAATAACCAACCGAGGACATCAAGTAAATATTTTTACATAGAAAAAAACATTTATCAGTATTTGTATATTTAAATAACTAATTATGACTCGCTACCTGTGTACCCATTCTTCATATAGAGTAAAAATATCGCAAATAATAAATAAATTGATTTTAATTTACAGTACACTATTATGCACCAAATTGAAAGACATATAGTAACAGAACTAAAAAAATTTAAAATAATTTCATTTATTTATTTATTTTTAATTGATTGCTGCCTTTGCAGGCAACATATTACACTATTAGCTTAAAGAAGAACGCAATTTTAGAAACTCAACTTATCCAAAAATGATTAACTACACCTATATCCGACCTGCCAACCTCAAAAATAACAAAACCTGAGATTTTTCTTGATTAAGACATAACGTTACAGCTATAATAAAGATTAAAAATAAATTACTTTAAATCATGTTTTTATTAAAATAACTTTTTTATCAAGAAAAATTATAAATCAATCTATTTAAAAAAAATAATAAATTAATCGCTTTAAAACAAAGTGATTAATTTAGAATTTTAAAAAAAAAAAATATTAAGTAAAAAAAATTTTTTTAAAACTCATTATGATTTGCCTTTCCAATCAACGAATTCTCCGAAGTTTAATTCCGCAAAAGAGAACAGAATTAAGTCTGGATTTCCTTATATGGCTGAATATTCTCTTCCAGGTTGCATACCTGACTGAATATTCTCTTACAGGTTGCATACGTGACTGAGTATTCTCTTACGGGTCGCATAGCTGATACCGGATCCCCGATCAGGCATTTTTCTGATGAATTGGTACTTAGGTACATAACTAATTTTTCCTTCAATTACCGTAAACTTAACCATTACTTGGAATTAAACTAATCATAGAAACATGTTTTAAAATCATAACTACGACAGAAAATAAACAAACTGTTTCAGGTAGCTTTAGAAATACTAATTTGGTGGTGGTGTCTCTGCATGCCTTCCCATCTTATTAAACAGCTGTAAACTAGCAAACGTCACTAAAGTTATCTTTTGAATAACAGAAAAGAAAAAGTTCTAGCTGTTAAAATTACAACAATGCGTAATGGTAATCGTATGAGAAATTAACGCTTTCTTGTATATCCTCCTGAAGGCTTAAGGATTTTAAGAATGTGGGGATAAAATTTCCCCCTATAACTTCGGACCGAATCCCAGTACGAATACTTTTCTTTTATTATTATAGACTGCATAAATCGTAAAGGATGGATTTCAAAATATAAAATTAAATTTGGAAAAAAAAGGATCAAAAATCAAATTTGATTGTTATGACGGTGATCGTTTTAAATTAATTAGCGGATCTGTACTGGTAGCATTATTGACTTTTTGGCCGTTACAGATACATCTTAATTTGGATGTAATAAAATGATAATTGCCTCAGAGAAATAAATAAAATTGTTTAAGAAAAATTGATTTATTAATTATTGAAAATGGACATATTTCAAAAATATAAAAAGAAAAAAGAAAAGAAATCCCTTAAAGGGATCAAGATAAAACATTCTCTTACTTCGAGATTTTTAGTTTGCATTTTTATTTATTAAGTAAATATTTGTAAATTAAAAATAACCATATTTGAAATATAAAAATAAAGAAAAACCCCTTAAAAGATAATTCTGATAAGATTGATATTAAACGGTTGGGACTGGGATGCCCAAAAGGGCACCCCCAGTCGCCAAAATTTGGAAATTGAAAGTGAATGAATTGTTCCCAACGGACAGTTAGGAGCATGGGAAGAGATCCAAGGTTGGTGACTTATCGGTAGATAACATCGCCACAAATAAAGCCAACCCCCCAAAATCAATATTAGGTTTGAAAATACTTTAGCGATCGCGAATCGTCAACAAGACTGAGAATTAGTAAAACCATGTATAACTGAAACACATTCGTGGCAAGAAATTAAGAATAAAGAGTTATAAATAGACTTTAGTTTTCAATTAGTCGCGACACTGAATTAATGAGTCTTACATTAGTATTGAAATAAAAACATTTATCTATAAGTAAAGAATAAAATATTCTATGTTTGCTTTTTATAAATTTTAATAAAAAACTAACTAATTGATTTCATTTAATTACAATTCGATTAAGAATGATTAAAAAAATAAGTTTAAGAAATCAAAGAAATTTTAAAAGCTAGGAAATATGTAATGCCGATTGAGGCATCACATATATCCCGGTAATATTTTTTTTTAAGAAAAATTGATGTATTAAATATTGAAAATTTAGATCCTGATAAGACTGTTTGGAAGTCAAGAATTTAAAAGAATTATTCCCATACCAAGTGACGTTCATAAACTGCAAGTTGATCAGCTACCTTTACATCAATGCATCATTGTCTGCGTGATTGAATATGAAGAAATTGCAAATATAAAAATAGACAATGTGCCAGCCAAGCAGTGCAGAGAGTTAAAAGGTATGTTGCTTTTAAATAAAAATGCAATAACATGTGTTTGTAAAACAAAAAGAATTGATTGCAAAAAAAGATCTAAGAAAACTTAAATAGCAAATAAAAAACAATTTTATAAAATGCAAATAATTTTAAATTCTTGTTACTATAGTTCGTTCACTAGGAGTTGGCACTTGGCTCCACCTCCAAGAACGAAGAGTTCATTTCAGTGCGGGAATAAAAGGGGAAACTTCTCCGCGCTTGAAATTGAGACAACCCTTAATGTGAGCCAAACGCTAACAGTGAACTATTTTTCAGTCACTTACTTCGCTTTATCATCTGCTATTCTACTTTTCGTTACTCTAGTTAATTAAATATATTGCAACAAAATGTTTCAAAAAGGACGAACTGTTCACTCAAAAGATAAAAATATCATCAAATTTATGAAATATTTAATGTTAAAAAAATGCACATAATGTTAGCGAAATAAATATTTTTGTCATACGATCACCAAATAGCAACCTTGTTCAGGATTGTTCACATCCTTCTCCCAAAAATAGCAAAATAGTATCGTCGGATACCACGTGATGAAGGCGGGGCAAAGTGCCAACTACTGGTGAACGAATAATAGTAGATAGGAGATTTTCAAAATTCAGAATTATCTGTTTAGCTTTGAATAAATACGCAATTCTGAAAATTTAAAATGATTAAAATTTCTATTATATTAACTATCATTTATTTCTATTATATTAACTATTATTTATTTCTATTATCTTAACTATTATTTATTTCCCATATATTAACTACTCATTTAGTTTACAATAACCAGCACTTTCATTCCATAGGAGATGACAGTCGAATTCTTTCTCTGGACAAGGTGGTCATTGCGGCATCGGCAATCATTTGCATCGTGGTCATCATAGGCGCACTGATAGTTATCCTACTCTATTTTCGAAAACGAGAGGGACGAAACGGATCGTCTCTGTCTTCAATGCATCCACATCACACAAACACTCTAACAGCTGTGCTACCTCCTCTGGTAAAACAACAAATACCACCAGAAACTGATTGGGAAACACTTTCCTGGAACAGTGGCCGAAGCAGTCCGAAAAATAACGGTCACAACTGCTTGGTTGGAAAATCTGGAAGCACCAGTCACAGTTTCGTGCTCAATGATGGCCAGTTCCAGATCAACAAAGCCATAGCAAATGGTTTTGCGAAGTCTTTCTCAACAAGAGATAACGATTCTAGACTGTCTTATTCGCACATCTCAAAAGTAAATTACATTTCAAGTATTTATTTTATTACAAGAAGGTTCGAAATTTTATTATTTAAATGCATTGATAATCAGATTAAAAAAAATACTGTAACTACACAAGCAGCAAAATAAGTTGGGTGCTCATTGGACCAATATTCACGAATCTTGACTCAATAAGTGTTCAAAGGGCCGTTATTTTCCGATATTGGTCCTATATAGAATTGTCCGATTCGCCCGTTATTTTACAACCAATATTGACCCTATATAAAGTTTTCAGATTCACCCGATAATTTCAATTCATTATTCAGCCAATATAGGCCCTATATGAACCGTTATTGGTCCTATATAATAATATTAAAAACCAATATTAAAAAATCTAGACATCCCAATATTGGTCCTTCGGTGAATGATCATGTAGGACCGCAATCGCCAGTTGTATTTGCTCCTAAAATTTACTTTTTGAGGCAACGCAACTATCTCTGACACAGAATCGCAGCGACACGGCGACATTGTCGCAGAACGTTACAGCGTTTTTGCAGAAAGAATTTTCCTTCAGAAAGTAAACAATTTTTGTTTCCTTTTCTGCAGAAATGTTTGAAAGATTTTTTCTCTAAAATTACATTTAAAAGATGCCTTTTTCACGCATCGGAGGGAAAAAATTTTCATAATTTTTCGATTCTTATTTGAGAAGAATGAAAAATAAAGAATATTGAATCGAAAAATTCTTTTCTGCAGAAATGTTTCCAAGATTTTTTCTTCCACAATTATATTCCAAAGATGCCTTTTTCAAAGTCCTTTTCTGCAGAAATGTTTGAAAGATTTTTTTTCTCTAAAATTACATTTAAAAGATGCCTTTTTCACGCATCGGAGGGAATAAATTTTCATAATTTTTCGATTATTATTTGAGAAGAATGAAAAATAAAGAATATTGAATCGAAAAATTCTTTTCTGCAGAAATGTTTCAAAGATTTTTTTCTTCCACAATTATATTCCAAAGATGCCTTTTTCATGCATCAGAGGAGAATAAATGCTCGTCATTTTTTTATTCTTATTTGGGAAAAATAAAAATGAAAACATTTTGGTTTTCTTTTCCTTCACAGATTTTACGATTTTTAATTATTTTCTTTACCTGATGAAGATTTACAAAAAGCGAAAAAATAAATAATTAATGTGTTTTCCTCTAACAAAATATGAGAATATCGCCCACTATATTAGAATAAAAAAAAAATATTAAATATTCATTTTAAAAAAATGCAAACAATTTTATTATATCAGAATAAGTTGTTTTTTTTTTTTTTTGTAAATACAACGTTTCTGTTACTTTAAATTTAATTAATATCGCATATTAGTTATTATTAAAAGTATTTTGCAGAAAGATATTAGTGTTAGAGAGGTTTGTCGCAGAAATCTCAAAAAAATTCTGCCACAGGGAAACTATAACCACGCATATCAATACTTTCCTTCATATTTGTGCTCACAACTGATTCTCTATTTTTTGTTACAGATATCACCAAGTAACTTTAACATCCAGAGGTCAAAATCACTGACTCGACCGAGTGCACACCACATGTCGACCGGTGGATATATCCGAAAGAAAAAGCAAAGGCAGAGTGGAAGGCTGGCATCAGCCAGCTCATCCACAGAATGCGAATCGGACTGGAATGGCAGGTCCATGTGGAAAGATAACGATGTAGACATCTACATAAGCCAAAATCACATGATGTCGGGAACCAACAAGTACAGAAAAGATTATAGTATAAGGTGATTCACACCATAAATATTAAAGTGATATAAGTCCATTAACAATACAGTGAATATGTTTCAAGGACAATTAAATCACTGTTGCCCTTATTTCACATTCGATTTGTTTCAAGGAAAAAAACAAATGCTAGAATTCTATAAACTTCGCATTTATTTTAAATGTGTTTCATGGAAGGACAAGAAAAATTGTAGAATTCATATATGTTTTAAGGACATATATGTTATATGTATGGACATATGTTTTAAGGACAAAAAAGTACAACATACAATGAGCTTAGAGGCACATCATTTATGTGCTTTTCACATTATTTGTGAATCAACAAAATGTTTGTAAATAAAAATGTTGATTGGGCTGGAGATTTTGAAGAAATTTCCAATGAACTCTGAAGAAAACAAATGGCAGCTGCATTTTTATTTCTTCCCGAAAGAGTATATTAACTGTATAAATCTTATATTATTTACATCGATTATTGCAAACTGAAAGTGAGTTACGGAAACAAGTCACTCCTTTATTTTTCTCAAATGAATTTTAAGTATTTGAAACTGTGGTACAAAAAAAACTTCATTACAAAAATAAAAAAACTTTAAATTGTTTAAAGCACAAATACTGTGTGAGTTTTATGTGTATGTCGAACACTAAAAGTTTTTGAATTATTTGAAAATCATTATTTGAATTTTATGAGCTTTATTCACTATATATTTTGAAATGGTAAAAAGTTTATTCTAATTAGAATGGTGATTACAAACTAAGGTAAGTTGAAACCAATTACAATCAATTTAACAAATTAAATTCAGAATACATTATAGTTTAAAATGTATTCTAATTCTTATACTAATACCATGATAGTTTATATGTAGTAGGACTGTGCGATAAATCGATACATAGGAAAATATTGATTCTTTGCAATCATCTCCAATCCGATGCTTCTATTGGCAATTTTGCGAAGCATCGGAAATTGTGATTTACTGAGATGTGTATGATATTTCCCGATGTATCGTTTACATCGATGTCTACACGCACGATGTTGAGCATTGTTTCCGATAGTTCATCGATGTCTGCAAGCTCGCGCGAAGAGCATTTTCCTCCGTAAGTATGCAGTGATAGCTGTGGAGATGATCGTTACCTTTCTCCGATTTTTTTTGCATCGTGATTCACAGTCATGCTGACATGATGAATCCGAATGTGATTGAAAATCGAAATGTTGTGCAAATCCTGTTGATTTTTTAAAAATCATTTCAACCGTTTAAGGCTTTTTAACCGCTATTTTGCAGACATCCACGTCTTTAAATATTGAGATATAATTATAAAAAAAATGCAACGCACAAAATTGCAAATTTATGCAGCACTAAATATAAAACATGAATGTACCGAAACATCGCAAAGCATCAAAATATAGCGATGTAAGCGTGACGATACATCGCAATGCCAAAATCTCAACATCGCCCAGTCCTAATATGCAGTATAATATAGTTTAAAATGTATTCCTTCACATTAAATTACTTTAAACACAGGTATTATTCTCAATTAACAATGTCTTAATTTTTAAAAAAATGCATATTTTATTTTGTAAACACAATTGTTTAATTAATTGTATGTCATTATTTGAGATATTTGAAATAGATCTTTGAAACAGTTTCCCTTTTTCCTGAAAGCAGCTATTCCTGAATTATAATTTTTTTTTTGCAATTAAAAAAGTGATCAAAAACGGAAATGAGTAGTCTCTACTTTACTAAATGAAAATCTGTAGACATTTGATGTAAGGGAAGAATATTTAATAAAAAGAACAATAACAAAACCATATACAATTTATTAAACTACAGTGGAACATCGTTCATACGACGCCGAAGGGACCACCGAAAAACGTCGTATAAACGATAACGTCGTATAATCGATTTTTACTTCTAAAACTGAAACTTACTCTGTTTTCAGTTAATTTTAATGTTTAACGTGTTGATTTACATAAATTTCTAAATTAGACAAATCAAAACAAACAAATAACCAAAGAAGAAAAATTGCAGTGAGCAATTTGAATGTATGTTAGCTTTAATTATATTTTCTTGCTATTAGTCTCTACAATGCTTTGAATAGCGAGTTGAACTTATTGCTTTCTACTTGTATGATGTAATTGTAGATTTCTAATCACGGCCAAATCTAATGGCTGAAGTGCACTTGTGCAATTTGCAGGAAAAAAGAGAGCTTTAACATTTTCCAAAATAATTAGTATCGATGGGTGCGCTGGACATTGGTTGATGAATAGCAAAATTTTTCGTTTTTGCCTCTTCATAACATTGTTTAGTTTTTTCAGTCATCTAGTAAAAATTACGGTCGTCATCCAAGCATTCTTGTTGGCACCCTTTTCTGTATCATTCATGTTGGCAAATTACGCCCTTTTTTAAAATACACAAGAAAAAAGAAAAAAATTAAATAAACGTGAACAAAATCTAAAAACCGACGTATAACCGATTCTGTGCGTCGTATAAACGATATATTTTTACATTAAAATGAATAGGAATGATTTGGGACCACACTAAAACGTCGTATAAATGTAAACGTCGTATAAGTGATCGTCGTATAAACGATGCTCCACTGTATATATTAATATTTGATTATTTTAAATAATTTTTAACATAAAAGAGTATAATTTAATTTAAATTCATAAATATAATATTTAAATTGAAAATAATTAATACTCCCCAAACAAAATATACACCAATACAGTTTTAATCTTAGTTCGATTATTAACAATACACAAGAGCTATATTTATTGGCAGAGAGGTAATCCAAAAACAAAAGTAATACATGTGCGTGCGACATTATCACAATTCAGATCAGAGATTTATGAATAAATGCTTTCAGAAAAAATGCCCTTTCAGAAAAAATTAAAAAAATAATAAATTCAAAAAAAAAAAAACCTAAAGCATTATTGAGGTTAATATTGCAACTAATTGATTTTTTTGAAAAACATACCTATTTTTTAAAAAGACATTCATCACATGAGTCACATTAAAGCTAAATTCTATATTGTGGTATAGTTAAGAAAAACTCAATACTAAGACTTAATTACTAAATTTAAAATAATATTACTTTCGTAATTGAATTATTTGGATTATTCAAAATAATGTTCGATCATAAGAACTTCATATAATCTAGGTCTCATAAACTTATTAAATTATGGCATAATCTGTTAAACAATGCCGTCTTTAAAGGGCATATATATATATTAACTTGTTTTAGGTCCATTGATCATTTTATTATAAAAATAGAAAGTCTCATATTTTAACAAACTTTTACTCACCTTAATTTTTTTTTATATTAAATGTTACAGAAAGAGAACGTATTTTATGTAACAGGCAGAGTATAGTTATTTTCCCACATTATTTGCATGAAATGTTACAGTAAAGAAAGAGAACGTATGTTATATAACAGTACATACCATGGCAGAGTATAGTTATTTTCCCATCGATGTCTCATCTCAAGTAAAAAGTCTTGCCAGAGCTGGGCCACTGCTGGCAGACCTCCATAGCTATGATTCACCTGACACATTGCAAGAGCTAAACGCCACGTAAGGCTATCGACAGGTGCACTTTTGAAGGAACGCATATGTTCCTACAAAGAAAACAAAAATTTTGATTGAAAGAAAACACTACTGAAATAACCCTAACAAAGTAAATATTTATAATAGCAATCAGAATTAAACCTATAAACACAGATAATTTTACCAGCAGGAAATAATTATTTAAACAGTAGAGTTAATTTTTTTAAAAATGGAATATGAATAAAAAGGCAGTGTTTTTAGGGGGTTGGGTGGGGTTTTTTTTTTAAAAAAAAAGGACAAAGAGGGTGCATTTACAGGGATCAAAGGTAAGGCAGGGTGGAGTGCCCTTCCAAAAACACTTAGAGAGAACATTGCTGAAGCTATATTTGTATCCAAAAGTAGTCAATAATTTTTATATTTCAGTTAATTTTACAGAATTGTTAATGTAAAAGCCAATGGAAAAATGTAACAAAATTTAAAATGCATGCATGTATATTTTCCAATAAAAATATATTAAGTAAATTACAAAAAAGGAAATGGATTGACTGATTCAAATTCTTATCAAACTTTTCAATTGAAAATAACAACATTGAAGAATAAAAAATTATGCTTCTCAGATAAACGTTCGCACAATGTATGAGCATTTTACATTCAATTAGACATTAGACACTTATTCATTAGTTCTATTTAATTCTCAAGACCTGTGAATTCAGCAGCCTGATATTTCAGCTAATTCTGAAACTGTTATTTATATAACAATAAAATAGGTTCATCAAGTTATATAAAGTCAAATTAATTTGCTTTTTTTTTCCTTCAGTATATTCACAGCTATTAATGAATTTTATCTATAACGTTAGAGTTCAGTCAAAAGAAGCTTGATCATCAGGGTTCAATAGTAAGAAGCACTGTCCTTAATTAAATCATTAGCTGGGTTTAAGGTAAATTTCAGGCATATTGTGTTGCCTGTCAAGAAAAATTAGTGATTGGTTATAAACTCAAGAAGACAAATCACATGATTTTATTTGGTAAATAAAAGCTGGAATGACCTCAAAGGTACTGGAGAGATGCTATCAAGCAAAAAAGATAGCACGATATGGTGTTAATGCAAGCTTCGTAGTGTTTCAAAATAAATAAAAAAAACAGGAAAATATTTTCCATAAAAAATATCAGTACATTTTTTGGTATAATTTGTAATCAGAACATTTTAAATATAAATATATACTAGATAATTTTTAAGAAGGGGAAACAAATAGCTTCTTAAAAAAAAGTGCAACTAACAGGTTTGAAAATTTCCCTTTTTGTTTAGCATATTTCTCGAACTTTTTTTAAAAAAAAAAAAAGAAAAAGAAAAGGCAACACTACACTTATTCAAAAACAATTAAGATTTACAGTGTATTAAAGCTAACACCATAAGAAATTGGTGAATTTCCCCACACTTTAATGATTGTCTTCGAAACTTATCAAAATAATAAGCACTAAAATAATTCTCTACGATCTAAAAATAAAGTGCAGTACAACGTTACTTTACCTTTTAAGATAATGAAGACTGTTAGTGAAAACTATGAACTATTTTAAACAAAAGTAAAAGCATTGAGAAAAAAACCTTTTTTCATAAGGCAGAAATTCATTACTCACTCAAAAGAGTGACACATCTGCTAGAAGACTAGTTTATTCTAATAGTTAATGCACTTAGAATTCACAGATTTATGTTATTGTTTAATTGTGTAGATACAACTAATAAATTTAGTTCATTTTATTAAGCAGTATGCAGTTAACAAATTTACATGAAAAATTAGCATTTTTTAGACAACTGCAGTAGTGCAAATTGCGAATAGGGATTTAAACTATTTTACAAGAAATAATTAAGTACAAAAACAAGGAACAATTGCTCCATAATACTAAGCTAAGTAAGAAAATAAATATTAGAAAAAAAGATTAATAGTTTTTCAGTACATGCAAAGTTACTCAAAAACTCAAATTCTGTTTTATTAAAAAAAAATATGTATTTTTCTGTATTTTCATATATTATTAAAACTCTGGCTAATTTTTACTTATTTGAATCTCTATTATATAATAAGATCAACTATGAAAAAAAAAATTTCATAGTTTCATACTTTATATTTCTTTAGAAAAAATATTATTTTACCATGATTAACCATTAAAAAAATTTTCCACAGAAGTACTTCAAAATTTTTTCGGATAATTATTATTTATTATTGTTGAATTTTTTTTGCATGTTTACTTTTTCATGTTTTAAAGAGCAAAATTTTAAATTTTTATTAAGTTTATAAAGAATTTAGGGTAGGGTGCGAAGTCAAATTTCTTACCAAAAATAATCACCTCTTTAAAGTACTTTTTAATCACTCAAAAAATATTTCTAAGCACTATATGCATTAACAAAATGCAAAATGGTTTTACATGATCATGATAAAATAACTAGTTTCTGACAAAGAACTCTTTTCTTGAATTTATTAGCCAACATAAAAAGATCGAGAGATTTTTCGGTTCGATTCCAGAGGGTGGAAAATGAAGCCTGAAACTAAGAATATCTTGAAAAATGCAGCAGAGTTGCACATGAGAGAGCAAGAATCTCACCGAACCAAACTCAGTATACGCACATGCAAACCCGCAAGTATTTCATCAAACATGTAATATGATTGGCGCTTTTATGCGCTACGAACTGACGGTACGCCGAAATGGATTGTGGTTGACTGAATTGTGAAAATGTTGAATAGAACAATGATAAAATCACGCTTTTGCATAATGCGCAGCAAAAATCGACACGGGGAAGAAAAAAAATTCTCATTTTCAAAAAGGGAAAATTAAGCACTTTTTAAAAACTTCCCATGTAAAAAGCACTATTAAGGGCTTTTAAAAATTGAAAATCAAAATTAAGCGCCTTTAAGCACTTTTTAAAAACGCTCGCAACATGTAGCAAAAAAGAATAAATATGCATCTTAAATGATATAAATGATTTTTATACATCGTTCCATTTAAAAGAAATTGATACTACAAACTAAATATTATTACATATAATCACAATCTGAAAAATGCAACTGCATTATAAAATATAAACGTACTTGAATTTTAGAAAATGCAGAATTAGCATGAAGGTCACTCATAAAATTCACAGAGTCTTTCCATTCATCACAATCCTAAGTGAAAAATAAATAATTATATTAAACTGAAACCAAAAAGAACATCTTAATTTAAAGATAAAATTATCTTTTTGTCAATATAAACTTTAAAGAGGCTCAAGGGGTGGAGCGCTCGCCTCCCAATGAGGTGACCCAGATTCGATCCCAGCGATAGCTGGTTGATTTGAATTTCGCACCCGGCTCGTACCGACCACAGTGCTGACATAAAATATCCCTAGTGGTAGATGGATCATGGGTTAGAGTCCCTTTGCTACCAAGCAAACCGCTGGAGGTTCTCGTGGTTTCCCTCTCCATTTATCGCAAATGTGGGTTAGTTCTATCAAAAACATAATGAACAGTGGAACATAAATAATTCAAGTATTCAAAATCATCTTTAAATAACAAATGTAATGCATTTTTAAGAAACTTTGGCAAATCTGTCAATGATTTTTTCAACATCCAAATCAATTTCTCGATGAATGTTTAGTAATGCGAGTCCATTTAATCGTTCTTGATTTTGAGTTGCTCTAAGCCAAGTTTTGAGGCGTCGAAGAGTTGATGAGGAACGTTCTGCTGTTGCTGCACTAACTGGCAGAGTTATTCAAATTCTAAACAACATATTGATTGATTGGTACAAATCGATGTCACAGGCATTAATAATCTTGGAAAGATCGTTGGGCACTTCAAGTCCTGCTTACAAGTCTAGAAACCGTGAAGAACATAATTAGATGGGGGGGGGAATCGATTTGTCCGGCCTACCTAGGTGTATATGCCTCCTTGAATAATTTTTGAAATATTTTATTTCTTTCATAAACTATAAAAAAAATATAAAAAAATTCTTTAAATTTTTTTTTTGGGGGGGGGACCCTCCGCTGGATCTGCCACTGATTCAGGAGTTCCCTTGTCTTCTGGTTTAGGTTCAAAATTACAAGAGTACGGAGTTGGACATTAGTAGTCATAAACCCGAACTTGGGTTGGCTGTTCAATGACAGTTATAAAACAAAATAGATACTTAAAAGTACTTAAATCATACTAAGAATACAATGACTCTTCTCAATACTTACAGGTAACACATAAATTAGTACAACAATTTCAAAACATGAAGAAATGTAAAATTTACAATTATAGTCAGAAAAATCATATTAGGTTAGAAAAAAAATTTTAAGCTAAAACTCAGCAAGACAGTTATAAGGTAAAATAAATAAATAAAAAGAAATCATAAATAAAAAATTTTTAAAACACTTTGTTGCATGAAGCAAATTAAAAAAATATATGTTATTAAAAAAAGCCGCAGCAAAATTAACTAAAAGCATTTCCTTTCGAAAAAATTTCAACAGCATTCTGAGAAGAAAATAACTCATTTTAAAACTCTTAAGTTTCAAGGATCTATTAACATTAACCGGCTCTAAATAATCTAAAATATGAATAAATTTTTAGGCTTTTAAAATTCAAAAAAAAAATTTTTTTTTAATTTTTGAAAACATAATCTTAGCCTTAGTACACCTGAGCCGAGTTATTAGAATTTAAGGTAATCTGAAAGAGGTTGAAAAAAAACAATTTTGAAACTCCACTTTTCAACATGAGAATCAAGCGGAAAAAAGAAAGTGTTCAAATAGATATCCGCAAAACCACTTCAGGATCAATCAAAAGTTAAAAAGGATTTACAAAAAACTCTTTTAAATTAGATGAAAACAAATAATTAATGATAAAAAACAAATAAAAAACAGATCACTTCAAATTTGAACAAAACTAAAAATAACAGTACCATGCATATATTTCTGAGAATATATCGAATTTGTATAGACGTGAATTTTCACTAAAATTTCTCATTTTAAAAAAAAAAATTACAATAATTAATAATTCGAACTAATTAATAATTCGAAAATAATTAATAAAATAATTAAAATAATTAATAATTCGAAACCTGTGCATAGAAAAAAACTTTTTGTTGTCCTTGCCATTAAGGCAAAGGATGCCATTCTTGTTTTCCAGTGGCGCCATCTATGGCCAAAAATTAGACTTCTGCACATCCATACGTCAAACCCGTTTATAGAGCGGACCCATTCATGCATCCGCAGATTGTAATTTTTTACTTGAACCAGAGAACGCTCAATATCCAACTCATTACCTACGGAGATATAATTTGTTATAGGGACATGGAGGACTTCATGACTTGACAGACTTAACGTGCATCAGTCACCATTTACTACATGGGAAGTCTTCGGCTGACTGGATTCGAACTCCCATTCTCACAAACGGGAGCCCAGTGCCATGCCAACCAGGCTATCCTGGCCGTAAAGTGAAAATATACAAAAAATAGTCAGTATAAAGCTCACCGGTTCTGCAGGTGTAGGAGCTGAATCAGGAAAAATGTACTGCAATATTTTGATAAGAACTTCTTCACTTATCAGTGTATTTTCGTGATACTCAGACTGTCGTCTTAACCTCGGTTGGGGAAGGATAGCGGAGAGGCTCGGTAAAGGAACAGGATGATTGGGATGGGCAAGTTTATCTAAAGCTTGAGTAATATTTTGACCTCCTGCAATGAGAAATGAATAAATATGCCATACATAACATATGCAATAGTGATATCATGTAATAATGGTATTGTATAATAATAACGGTATCAAGTTAATGAGAATAAAAGCTATTCTGGAAAAGTTCTTCATCAAAAAAAAAAAAACTTTTTTTAGAAAATAATGTGCTAGTTTCATAACTGTAGAGTGTTCTAAATAATTATTCATAACTATGAGATTAAATTTCGTTCATCTATGTATAGTGCAGTACTATACAAAATATTCGTTTATCTATATATAGTGTTATATGAAAAGGAAGCAAAAAATTACAATGAAGAAAAGCCACAATTTTTTTTAAAAATCTTTTACAATTTTATTTTAAAAAGTAACTACAACACTATTCTGTTTGGGGTCATAAAAATATCCAAGCATTGTGAAATGACAATTCATATGAATAATCAAAGTGGAAAAATAGTATTTCACAGTTTCTTTTTTTTTTTTTTTTTTAAAGTTTCGGAAATTTTTTAGTATCAGAGAATAAAAGAGGTATAAGAAGGAACCTTTCTTTAATATCTTTCTGATCTTGATTTTGCAGACACCTTATGTTCAATAACCAACACCATACATGCAAACAAACATGCATCCAGACATGCAAACAAACGCAAACATTTTAAATGTAGAGGCAAAGAAAATAGGCATATTATAAACCAAAATAAAACTAAAATTTTGAAAATTAATCCTAAGCAAATTAATGATATAATCTTAGAAAACAACAATCTAGAGTAAATAAGCAGTTTTAAGTTTCTTGGAAGTATAATTAACAACAAAAGAGTAACTGATGAAGATATATTAAATAGATTAAACAAGCCCGAATTAGTTATGATATTCTCGATAAACTCTGGAAAAACAAATTCAACAAAAATTAGAATTTTCAATACTAATGTTAAATCTGTTCTACTATATGGATCTAAAGGAAAGCAGTTGAAAGTTGGAACTTTTTAATATTGATTCCACTTTTAAGTACTTTGCTATATCTTAAAAACTTTTTAAGAAAATTAAAAATACGCTATAAAATAAACTTGCACATAATTACAGAATTTGTTTGTCCAAAGAAAAATACATGGAAAAAAATTTAATGATTATTTATAATTTTTATTATTTTGATGATAATTGATAGCAAAAAAAAATTACTTGTAAGATATTCAAGTGTTTATATTATTTTAAACTATCTAATTAAAATAAGAAAATACAAAATTTCAGCCAAATCGATCACATAGTTTTCCCGCAATAAAATTTCTAAAAATCCAAATTTGTAACATTTGACTCCTCTCCTGACTTAACCAATGGCACCATACCTTATTGTTTATTACTACCTCTATATTTTAATGCTCAAAAATCAGAATCCGCCAAAAAAAAATTTTCATTCAGAGAAACATGTTTTAATGTTTGATTCTGTAACTTAGTTGATAGTTGGCACTAATTAATTTGCGTATTGGAGATTAACCATTTGAACCATTAAGATTAGGTTTTAGTATGTGAAAATTCCATCATTAATACAAAATTCATTTAGGGCAATAACTCTTCTTTTTGCTAACACTACATAATGTAATAACTGATTAATAATAAGAACTATTCATTTATTTAATAAACTGCTATTATTATATTTTTTGTTTGAGAGTGTAAAATGGTTTTCATTTCATAAATTAAGGCCCCTTCATACAAGTATTAAAATAAATAAATAATCAACCACAAACCTTACCTGTTTCATCTTCATCAGGAGGAACATTTCCCAAAAGTTGATTTTCAGAATAATATCCCAAAGAAAGTGACACAAATTCTTTTAAATACTCAGCTGCAAATGTTAAAAAGTGTGAATATAAAACAATAAGAGCATAAAAAACTAGTTAATTCAAGTAATATATATATATATATATAATTTCGTCTGATTCATTGTCAAAGAAAGAAATAAGTTCATTTGCACAAAAAATAAAAGTTTGTCATATATTGTACTAAAGAACAAAATAAATAAAAAAATTTTAAAAAAAAAGAGAAAAAAAAGCATTTCTATACTTTTTCAAAGATTTATTGTAATTCTGTATTCATTAGTAAAACCTATTAATCCGTTAATAATAGCATAAAGTGTGAAGTTGTGATTGAAATTCCTGCATTTTATAATTACTATATCTATTCACTTTTAACATTAGTAAACATTTCAGTACAAAAATGTTGTCTTACCCATAGAGCAGCTAGGCTTTTCAGCTGTTCGCATTCGCATAGACCACTTAGGTGACAAAACTGGATTCAAGTCCCTTAATAATAAAGAAATACATAAAATAATCAGTTGTAATCAATGAAATACCTAACTTTATAAGAAAAGCATATTAATAAAAATATTTTTTTTTTACTTATATACAACAAACATATTTGGTAATTTATTTTTAACTATTACAATTAAGAATATATGACATTTTAAATATACAGATTTTTTATTACTTAGTTTATGATAAAAGCTCTTAGTCCATAAGATATTAAAGGTTGATCTCATCCTAGGTCATAAAAAAGTCCTGCATTCTGATTAATTTAAAAGTAGTTCTGATTCCCCAGTGTGCATCCTTTTTAGTATTTTTATATACATTTAAATAAAATAAAGCAGTGTTTATTTGAAAAGATAATTCATATGAATTAAAAATTTTCATTCATATGAATTTTCATATGAAATGAAACAATGGACTCAATACTTACATTTTAGTAAAAATTTATTATAAAGATAAATTGGTATTATTATTGATTCATTATAACTATAATGAATAATTATTATTTATGCATAATATCTATAATAAATTTTTATAGTAAGTAATATAATTATAGTTATAATGAATAAATAATATTTATTTATTGCAGATATAATTAATTATATTAATAATACAAGTAATATAATTAATTAAATTATTAATACACTATTAAAAATAATTATAATTAAAACTAATTGTAAAAAATTTTGTTATTTTTCAGCTGATCTAAAATAATGCTAGGCTTTTTATAAAATTATCAAAATTACATCTCCTAAAAATTACAGATATGGCAAATTAAAAAGTAAATATCTTCATTAAAAATTAATCATCTTGTAAAAAAAAAAACAATGATTCAGGTAAATTAAATTGATGTCTTGTTGTAAGCGGTTGACAGCTTAAAAATTGAATTAGATCACTAAATCATTATTCTGTTTATAAGAAAAATAATCTAAAAAATTTTTAGAGATTTAATACAAAACCAGCATTTTAGATCAGGAACGCCACCTCAGCAAACACATGGCTTAAAATATTTTACAACTGATAAATTAAACCTAGATTTAAAGCCAAAAATGCAGCAGATTATAAGTGAAAGAGTTTAAAAGTATGAACATAAACAAAACTACAATATCCAAGAAAAAAATCAGTAGCAGCTAAACTATTTGCTTTGCAGATTTTCATATTTAAAATAAAATTTGAAAAAATAGGAAAAAAAAGTTTGAAATAATAATGAAACCGATTAATATTAATGAGAAAATATTGAGATATGTAATACTTACGAATGCACATCATTATCCACTATTGCATCTTCAAATAAATGAGGCCATGTCACTGACAAATGAAATTCTCTAAGAATAAATTTAAGAAAAATATGTTAAAAATTGTCAGTGAAGTAAAATATTTTATAAAAGATAAATAATCATGAAACTTAGAGTGAATTGTGTTTTATTGAGGAGATGCTTTTCTCACCAAGATCTACTTTTATGATATTAAAATAATAGTTAATTAGCAATGTAATAATTGATAATAAACAATTGATTATTGATTGTTTACTAACTGATCTAACCTCTACTATTAATGTTTTGAACCAAGAATAATCTAAAAAATCAATTTTTCCAATGCCTGCAGTTTAAAAATTAATGTATTTTTATTATTAATTTATTATTATTAATTTATTATTATTGACTTATTATTCTTGATTATTATTCTTGATTATTATTATTGATTTTTATTAATAATTTACTATTATTGGTTTAGTATTATTATTATTAATTATTATTTATCTTCAGCAAAATCTTAATGAAAAGGTGAACTTTATCCCCCTTGCCCAAAAAGGGGCAGATATTTTCCAAGAATTGTTAATCTGCCTTATGTATTAAAAAAGATAATTAGAAGAAATAAAAACTTTATATTTTATTCAAAAGTAACAATCACACTAATCATTAAAAAATATTTTTTAATAATCATATTTTAGTATTGGGATTAATAAAATATACTAAGCATTTCTTTAATTTGTTTTGGTATTTTATTGGCACATAGATTTCGCTTTAATAATTTCAGTATAAATTCTGCTCCTTTTAAGACGTTAGCAGTAATTAAAAAAATGTATTGTTGGAATTCTATGCTCATTCTCTCCTCTAACTTAAATATGATGTTTGCACTATTGTGAATGCCTAGGTAAGCAGCTATTCTAAATTAATGTGTTCTTGTTCAAGCTCTTATCGTAGCAACAGCTGCTTGTGTTGTTTACTTATACTTGCTCCCATTACATTCATCATTATATTTATTAACCATAACAATAAAATGCTACAATAAATGTTCCTACTTTAATATAATTAATCTGGCGCCAAGCCAAAAAAGACTTTAATGAGTTTTCTCTTTCTAAATTAATTCCTGAAACTAAGATTTTAAATAAAACATAATTTCTTTAATATTAATGAGAGAGCCCTAATGGCTCAGGGGATAGAGCATTCGCCTTTCAATGAGGTGAGCCAGGTTCAATCACGGCGAAGGCTGGTCGATACGAATTCTGCAACTGGCTTGCACAGACCACAGTGCTGACGTAATAATATCCTCAGTGGTAGAAGACGGATCATGGGTTAGATTCACCTTGCCGTCAGGCTAACCATGGGAAATTTTTGTGGTTTTCCTCTCCATATAATGCAAATGTGGGTTAGTTCCATCAAAAAGTCCTCCACCAAGGCAAATTTCTACCAATACTTGATCCAGGAGTTGCTTTTTCTTCTAAATTTGGTTCAAAATTACAAAACTACGGAGTTGAACATTAGTTGTCGTAAACCCAAAAATTGGATCACTGTTCAACCATGGTTATAAAATAAAATATCAATGAAAACCACTTTTTTTAATAATGACCTAATATGTAAACCACTTTTTAACCCTTTGAGTTATAAAAAAATAACAAAAGTTATCATCAGGATCTCATGATAAGTGTATAAATACTTACAAAATTGGATCTTCTATTGCTCCACTAGGAAGTCTACCAATATCAGTTGGTGTTATATCTTCACCTAGCTCATCAATTTCTAAAATTAAAAAGAAAAAAATGAGAGATAAATTAATTTATTTCAGTTATGGTTTTTCCAAAAAAAAAAAAAACATTCCTGCAATAACCATTTTTTTTTTTCGGTCATGGGGTTCATGGTTAAGGCTCTGCAATATTGAGATAAACAATTTGGTGATATGGTAAAGTAGCAGCATAGTGCAGCAGTTGCCTTTACTACCCAGGTGAGCTATTACTCATAGATCTTAAGTAGAGAGGGTTACAAAACTGGGTTGTTGAAAAATTTAATATAAAATTATCAACAACAAAAATTAATCAATAAATTTACCTGGTGGCGGTTGAGGCCAACTACATGGGGACCAGTCTTGCAGTATATAAGTAAACCGGATTGATACTGATACTGGAGGAACATCGAAACTTGAAGAAGCCTATAACAAAAATATAAATAATAGTATATGTGATACAGTCATACCTATATTTAACGAATTTCCATTTTGCAAATTTCACTATTTTGCGATTTTTTTCCAGGAACCAAGATCCTTTTGGAAAATTGTTTGCAAAACAACTTCCAAATAGCGAAATGTATTTTCTATTTAGCGAACTTTTCCTTGAGATCCACTTACCCTATTTCCCAAAATTTTTCAGAACATTTCAAACTTGGTCATGCCTTTTATGGGAGAATATTCGAGGAAACTTAACTTTTAGAGAAAGCAGTAAAATCCCTTTCCCTTTTTGTTAGCATTTCAAACGAAAAACTCACACAAAATGAACGGATTTTATCAGAAGCAATTAAACTTAAGAATGCATGTGGTAATGTATGTTTAAAATTACTTTTATAATAAAAGCAGCTATAATTTTATACATAAATTTAGCTTTTTTTAGTTGAAAATGTATGTAGCATGATAGTGTAACACTGGATAATGTTTTGCTCTATTCTTGCTTTCCATGCAGATTTTTTTTTAATTGTTAAGATTTATAAAATAAATAGTAGATACTAGTTTACAACATAAAAGTGTATCCATTGCTATTTTAATTATGTTTAGTGTTTAAAAATTTAAAACTTGTTTTGTGTTGTTTAAGTATTTCAAAAGGTGATATTCCATTTAAAAAATTTTCCATAGAACGAACTTATTATCGGGATTTAGCAACTTCGCTAAATAGAGGTCCGACTGTATTTGTAAAATATATTCTGTTGTCAATACAAAAAATTTCACATATTGTCACCACTTTTATAATTTTCTAAAATATAATAAGTTACAACTTTTGCTCATGCTGTAACTCTCAAGGGTCAGTCTAGGTTTTCTTAAGAGGTACCCCTATTTTGTAAAAATTTAAAATTATATTAAAAAATTAACACAAAAATATGGTAAAGCAAGAATTGTCACTACAAATAAAAATCCTTATGACCAGTAAATTTCAACATATTTTTCCCCATATATTCAAAAAGAATTTTGCTATTTTAAAATTCGGGGCTAAAAATTGTACCTAAATTTAAAAATCCATAAAAAATCATTGTTCATAGTTGAATTTCAACTTGAATTTAATAAAAAAAAAACATGCATTTAACAATACTAGCACTATTATTCCTGAAATAGCATACCAATTTTGACTTGAAAAGAGATAGCAACCCTGAAAGGTGACTGTACTGATTAAAAGCACGATGCAGGTGGACCATATCAAAGCTTGTTCGAACACCTCCTCCTTCACAGACGCCGAGAAAGTATTTTTGCCTCATTTGCTGAAGTTGCACAAACACAGGAATTTGGCTGAAATTAGAAAATAAAAATAGATAGATAGCCCAATAAAGATGATCAACTATTGGATATTAAAAAATATTCATATATTAATAAAATAAATAAATACTTTAAATAGAAAAATTGGAAAAGAATAATTTTTATAGTTTAAAACTTATCCTTTGGTACAATTTTTAAATATGTAGAAACAAATCTTTATTTAAGTTAGACTAAAATTAAAAACTTATAAATGACATGAAATACATCGATAACAAGCCATAAACTCTGCTAACAAATAATAGTGAACCTCTCTATAAAAAGATTAATAGCTTAAAAGTGCCATTTGATTTCCATATTGTTTATAAGAAAATTATGTAAAATAACAATTTAACTTCCTACATTATTTACAATTTCATTCAGACACTCACCCTAAAATCACAATTGCTCCCTAGTTTTCTTTTTATTCTGATAACACTATTGAAAGGAAAACTACTTACCAACTAGTATTATTTACAGCAATATAAACAGAACTTATTAGTTTATAACATTGTTTAGTTTCCACTTTGTTTAGTTTACAACTATTAGTTTACAACATTGCTTATAGTATTATCTTCACACATGTAGAAACAAATTTGTATTTAAGTAAAACAAAAATTAAAAACTTATAAATGGCATTAAAATACATGAATAACAAGCCATCAATTCTGCTAACAAAGTAAATGATAGTGAACCTCCCTAAAAAAGATTTATAGCTTAAAAGTCTCATTTAATTTCCATATTGTTTTTAAAAAAATAAAGCTACATAAAATAATAGTTTTATTTCCTACACTATTTAAAATTTTATTCTGACATTCACCTTAAAATTCAAAATAGTTTCCTAGTTGTTGTTGTTTTTTAAACACTATTGAAAGGAAAACTACTTACCAACTAGTATTATTTACAGCAATATAAACAGAGCTCAAGAGCATTTTTGTACGATCCTCAGTCATTATGGCGTCATTTGTCTTAGCCGGATGAATGACAATAAACTCTCTTAGTCCATACCTGAATAAGTATAAGTTGCACATAAAATTAATTTTTAAAACAAATTTAAAAAATAAATAACACTTAATTTTAAAACAAAAATTTAACTGAAGTGGATCTTTCATAGATTATCAAAAAAAATTCTAACATTCAAATTGTTGTTTAATAGAAGAATTTAATATAAAAAGCATCAATACACAACTATCAGCCATAGAAAGACAAAATTAATAAATAATTTAATAATTGACTGAAAATTTTAAAATTTAACAGAAAACAGCACTATAACATCAGACGGTATGTATAAGTCTCATACATCTAACGTGTATATAAGTGTATCAGGTAATTACCACACATAATATTTTGAAGCAATAACAAAACATTTAACATTTACCCCTGTAGAAGAATTTTCAATCTGCGACAAACCTCTCTAGCACTAATATCTTTCTGCAAAATACTTTTAATAATAGCAAATATATATGTTGCAAAAATTTAAAGTAACAAAAGTGTAGTGTTTACAAACAAAAAACATATATTGATAAAATAAGCTGTATTCAAATTTTTTTAATGGAATATGCAATATTCTAAAACTATGCGATATTCTTTGAAGGAAAAAAATGTCCTAACTATTTCATTTTTGGGCATTTTGCAAATCATCACATTAAAAAAACTAATTGAAAATCGCAAAATCCGTTGCAATAACTACTGAAAAAAGATTGACGACAAAATTACACGAACCAAACTCTTTAATAAGGGAATTCTCAAATGCGTGTTTCATTTCGAGATTCGGTTTTTGCAATAAACATCACATTAAGAACATCGGATTTCAAAAACTACACGAAAATCAATATCAATAACAGTCGAAAATATAATCGTAACACTATGGATTTACAAAATCATTCCAAAACAAAACTACAAAAAATTTTAAGAAAATCTTTCTGCAAGAACTTTCTTTGACAATGTCACCGTAATTCTGCTACGAGGCTGTTTACAGTGCATAAGTTAACATTTCAAACTCCTAAAATTTCACGAGAGTCAGGGGGTCAACTTGTACATTAGCAATAAAGTGAAATATTGTTGCATTATAAACAATGAGATAAATATAAATAACTAATAACTAAAAATGATTGCATAATAATTGGCGTTTGGTGAACAAAATGGACAGAGGAAATTTCGAAATTTCATTATAAATGCTAGAAGAAAAAAATCCTGAAAAGCTATAAAAGTTCGTCCACCAAATAAAGATGGGACAGGACATCCTGGTTTGTAGGGCACTGAGACAATCTCGATGAGATTGTGGGTTTGATCACCGCCGACCGAAGATTCATCGTGTAGTAAATGGTGACTGATGCACGTTAAATCTGTCACGACACAAAGTCCTCCATGTTCCCATAACAAATCATACCTCTTCGGTACTGGTCCAGGAGTTTCCTTGTCTTCTGCATTGGTTCAAAATTACAAGGCTACGGAGTAGAACGTTAGTAGTCGTAAACCCAAAATTGGGTCGGCGGTTCAACGACGGTTATAAAATAAAAAATAAAATATACTAACCATCGTACTAAACAATGCGCTTTGGGAGGAAAGTCATTTTCTTTGGACATCATATCTGCCAAACAGAAAGGTAGAGGTTCACCTAAAATTATAAAATGATTAAATGCATTGTAATCATCATCATATGATTTGAGAGAAAGAACGTGTAGATATAAAAGTCTATGACAAAGTTTTATATGAGAAGAATAATAAATGCTCATAATTTGTTTTATGTGAAAACTTGGTACACAAATTAAATCTGCAGTCTTAAAAAAAGGCTCAGCAAAAAGGATTAAACATTTGCAATCGATTTTGACTATTATTTTTCAGATTTATCTTATCTAAAGTTAAAGACTCGTGTCAAATCATCAAACACTGAACGACTTACGATATTTTGTTTACAGGCAAAACAACATATACACACACAAAGATTGTATGCAGTCAGATAAAAACATTTAAAAAAATACTTTTAATTCTATTTTAATTTATTCAATTTTCATGAATTTTATTTCTAGGTCGATTCCTTTTCGCTGAGTCGATTAAGAAGATTGTATTGATATGACCGGAATAATAAACATATTAAAAGTCTTAAAATAAAATCCTCCTGAATCTATTGGTTATTTCCAGAGAGATTTGCAGGGTCAGAAGATCCGCTCCTTGAATCAAATACAATGTATTTAAGTAGCCAAACAAGTTAAACTGCGAAAAAAATATTGAAAGTTTGATTACAATCCTTACAATGTTTGGAAAAATAATGGATTAAAATTATTGTAAGCATTAGAGTGTTATAAAACCTTAAAAAAAAAAAATTTCAATGAAATCCACAAATATTTTTTATTGATTTTGAAAACAATTTTTAAAAAAATTTTGTATAAATGCAAAAAAAATTTTTTTGGAAGACAAACATTTCATTTAAAAAAATTAATAAAGTTTTGTAAAAATTTAAAGGAGAAAAAGTATAAATACAGTGAAACCTATCGGGAAAGACCACTCTCTGTGCCACTTATACTTAGAGGTTGGGCAACTCCAAAGAGCAGGGCACATCGACCAGAGGTTTATTGCACCCAAATCCTAAATCATGATTAACAAGAAAGCTTTACTGCTGGAACGAAAATCAGCAAACACCTGATAGGAATACCTTGCATTCCCAGGCCTTAATGCAATGTTGTCTTAAATGCTCAAATTTTTGAGTAGAATAGACCTCACAATCACGAAATATATGTCGTGAAGTCTCCTCCTCAAGAGGACAACCACGAGAAAGAGGATCAGTTGCAACACCCATAATGCATAGGTGTCTCCTGAGATTGCAGTGTCCAGTGAGAAGACCAATGATCTTCCTCAACCTGTTCCTGTTTAGCTTAAGAAGCTTTTTTTGGCAACAGGAAAATGGTCGTTTATGGAGGTTGGTCGTTCTTAGAGGTTACCTCCAGTGACTTAAAAAATGTTATCGAAGGTTCAAGATTTTTCGCAAACTATTTTAATTTTAGTCAGTGTTATTTTCTTGGTGAGAAAATGCAACTTCTGTTTGCGTTATGAAAAGACGGATCGATGAATAAAATTTAGCATTTATAAAAATGATCTCAACTGATATAATTAAGTGCAAAAACAAATTTACCAGTTATGAATGATAAAGTTATTTTAAATTTAAAAAAAAAAACAATTGTGTTTTATGTTTAAGTTGGCATTAAATTTTATATCATAAAAATTAGTTAGCTTTAAAAGGTGAGAAGAGGTTTGTAAATTTGAGATGCTTATTTTTTTTTAAATAACGTTTTTTTTTTTTCTTATTTAACTTTTAACTCTAAAAGTTAATCATTGATAGCATCGGCTTTTGCGTACACTGAATGAAACATGAGGTCGTGAATTTTTTTCAGAGATCGTTAAAAAGAGCTCTCCAAATAAATGCCATTTACAAATATTTTCAATACATTTGAATCTATTTATTTTAGTTAAGATTTTTTCATGTTTACTTATTGGACATTTTCCACATTTGGTGCTCAATCACTGGTAGACGTTTTGATTGTCGCGCTTAAAGGTTTTCTTCAATATGAAATTTATGGAAAAAATTCTGTGCCTCATAAAAGTGGTGTAAATAGAGGTGATCGCTACATAGGTGGTCTTTCCTGGAGGTTTCACTATATATACATATATATATANACTTTCAGAGTTAATTGAAAATATATATATGTATGTGTATTTTTTATATGATATAATTATTGTGGCAGTTTAAAAATTTATTTATTCAATTAAATATCAATAAAATTCCATAAAAGTTTTTTCATCACTGTACATATTACGCAATTTAAATATATACATTGAAATTAAAATGCATTCATTAATTAATAATAAAAATAAGTATATCGAACAAGGAAATAAATAAAATGAGATAATTCAACGATTTTTGCTGCACATATCACACACTTCCAAAGGCATACATGTATAGGTCAAGGAAATAAAATATTTCAGTAATTAATAATAAATTGCTCGTGATTAAAAGGGAAATTAACACAATAAAAAATTGCACAGTTTAGTTTAACCAAACAAAATATGGGTTATAAACAAAGAAATTAAAAATTAGACAATAAAGATAAAAATTTATATATTTTGAAGCAATTGAGAGATAATGCTTTAAAATGTTGAAAAAAAATTCATTCAAAAAAGAGATGGTTCAAAGTTAATTTGAATTTGTAAAAGCAATTAGACATAAAAATTTCGAAAGGGGAGAAAACTTTGTGATAATGGGACATTATCACAGATTTGTTCTTAAAAAATTTTAACATCTTGATCTTTTATAATTAGAATGCATAGCCAAATATCTCAACAAAAAATAAGCACCTTTAAAGTACTTTTTAAGCACTCAAAAAACATTTTTAAGCATTATATACATTAACAAAATGCATAATAATTTTCAAAAACTTTACATAATCATAATAAAATAACTAGTTTCTGACAAAGAACTGTTTTCTTGATTATATCAGCCACTATAAAAAGATCAAGAGATTTTTCGGTTCGATTCAGAGGGTGGAAAATGAAGCCTGAAATTGAGAAAATCTTGCTAAATGCAAAGTTGCACATGAGAGAGCAAGAATCTCACCAAACCCAGCTCAGTAGTCACTTCCAAGTATTTCATGAAACATGTAACATAATTGACGCTATCATACGTTACGGACTGTGGCATGCCGAAATCGATTGTGTTTGAATGAATCTTGAAAACTTTGAATAGAACAATGTGAAAACCACGCTTTTGCATAACACACAGCGAAAATCCACATGGTAAATAAAAAAAACTCATTTTCGAAAGGGAAAAATTAAGCACTTTTTAAAAACAACCATTGAAAAAAAACACCTTTAAGACAATAAACTATCCAACGTTTTAAGGCCTTTTAAAAAACGAATTAAAAAGTCCAGGGCTTTTAAAAAACGAAAATCAAAAATAAGCACCTTTAAGCACTTTTTAAAAATGCTACGCACCATGATAATGCAAGTGACATTTGCTCCAATTCGAACCATCATTTTTGCTTTAGTAATAATTCTTCAAATCTCTTTTGTGATTTTTTTGACTATCCCATAATATTATTATAAAATTACAAAAAATAAAACTTCACAATCCTACAAAAAAAAGAAAAACAAATACTGTAATAATCGTCAAATTGTAATAAGAATACGAAATTACTTTCATCATTTTCTTCAAGAGCAACTGTTGAATCATAATCTGTAGATGATGGCTTCAACTGATGATGTACTGCTTCAAATTGAAATGATGCAAACATCAACTGCTCTCGTTTCTCTATCCATGTTCCCTCGGAAAGCTCACCCTGAAATATATCAAACGGTTTAGAAAAGCATTTTTAATTTTTAATAAATCATACATGAGTTTTATTCAATTTATGACTAAAGCTATTTTTAATACTTATTAAAAATTTTATTCATAAGGTTCAAAATAACATTTTCAATCGTTGATAAATTATACATGAGTTTTATTTAATTTATGACTAAAGCTATTTTTAATAATTAAAATCTTTAATTCAAAAGATTCTGAATAATATATTCGAATAAATTATACATGAATTTAAATTATGAAATTTTAATAAATAATGCATGAATTTCATTTAATTTATGACAAAAGCTTTTTCCAATAATTAAAACTTTCATTCAAAAGGTTCAAAATAACGTTTTTAATCTTAAAAAAATTCAACATGAATTTCAATTAATATATATTTACAGCTATTACCATTTGCTAAAATTCTCATTCAAATGGTTTAGAATAACTTTCAATCAATGATAAATTACACACAAATTTTTATTAATGTGTCTAAGGCAATTTCCAGTTTTCTATTCAAAAAGTTTAGAATAAAATGTTGAATACTTTCTAAATTACACATGAATTTTAACTAACATATTTCTACAATTTTTGCTAATAATTAAAAGTTTCATTCAAATGGTTAAGAATAACTTTCAATCATTTATAAATTATAGGCAAATTTTAATTAATGTATAACTAAGGCTATTTCCTATAATTTAAGTTTATATCAAAACACAAACTCAAACTTTAATGGTAAAAGCAGTTTAGGTATTGTCTTTCAAATTAGGACCTTTTTAAGGGGAGGTGCACTTGTGCGTTGAGGTAACTTCCATTCATGGAAAACTTCTTCAATTCTTGCAATGAATCTATCATAGAGAAATATAATGGTTTTGATCATAATTATTTTAACAGTAATATGAAATAAAATCTTTAAAAAAATAATAAAAGAACAGTATTTGATAGTAGAATAAAAAGCCATAGGCAGCATTTGACACATCCAAATTTTAAAAGCTTTTTCCTAGATTAGGAGTCACGAAACAATGGCCATAACAAGCCTGCCAGCATCACCAACTCAACTCAACTTATTATTTTAAAGTTTAAACAGGGTGCGTAGCCAAATCTTTCTACAAAAAATAACCATCTTTTAAGTACAGTACAGAGCCCGTTATCCGGAAATCAGAAAACCGGAAAACCAAAAAATCGGAACAAAATTCGATACATTTTCCCGCCATTTTTTAAAAGAAAAATTTTTTCCCTTATAAGATTTTAGGATTTTTCTTTCTTTTTTTAAATATGTTTACCTTACTATCATTTTGGAAATAATCATTAGTGTATTACTCCATCGCTTTTTCTTCTTTTTAAGATTATTTCCACACAAAAAATTTTTTTATTTGGGTTTAACAATAAAAAAACGGCTTTTTGTAGCGATTCAGAAAACCGGAAAAATCAGTTATCCGGAATAGCGATGGTCCCGATCGTTCCGGATAATCGGTTCTCTACTGTACTTTTCAAGCACTCAAGAAATATTTTTAAGCACTATTTACAATAAGAAAATGCAAATGAAATTTAAGAAGACTTCACATGATAATGATAAAATAACTAGTTTCTGACAAAGAACTCTTTTCTTGATTATATTAGCCATAATAAAATCATCAAGAGATTTTTCGGTTCTATATCAGAGGGTGGAAAATGAAGCTTGAAATTGAGAATCTCTTGCAAAATGCAGCAGAGTTGCACATGAGAGCACAATAATCTCACCGAACCCAATTCAGTAGACGCACATGCGGTCTCGCAAGTATTTCATAAAACATGTAAAATGATTGGCCCTTTCATACGCTATGGACCGACGGTACGCCGAAGTGGATTGTGGTTGAATTAATTGTGAAAATGTTCGATAGAACAATGCAAAAAGCACGTTTGTGCATAATCCGCGGCGAAAATCGACATGGTAAAGGAAAAATATCAATTTCGAAAAGGAAAAATTAAGCAATTTTTAAAAGCTCTTTTAAGGGCTTTTAAGAAACGAAAATTGACAATAAGTACTTTTAAGCACTTTTTAAAAACCCTACGCACCATGTTAAAACTTGAGCAAATATTAAAATAAAAAGAACACATTAAAAAATAAACACAATGCAATTTTACATTTTACACTTCATCAGGGGGCACACTGCCTGCCAACACACAGGAGCCTTTCTGTTGTCAGTGGAAGAACCAAATCTGTCAGTTTTGGTTTTTCCACTGACAACAGAAAGGCTCCTGGGTGTTAAAAAGCAGTGTGTCCCCTGATGAAGTGCTGTCTTACCAACACACATATCTTTTACTTTTATTGCTTTTTTGAATGTCTTGTGAAGAAATTAACACGACGCTTAAATATATTATTCTCCAATATGAAAAGTTAACATTTCTTTATGTTTTAAACTAAACTTCGAAAAACGAGATTAATATAAACTACATTTAAAAAAAGGTAGTTATATTAAATGGCATTTAATTGTATAGAAAACTAATTATTAAAATGTGTACCTTTCCCAATCAGAAGCCGTGGTGAAATCTGTGATTTCAAAAACCTCTTGATCCTGAAAGTAATAATAAAATAAGGTGAAAATAATATTTATTTCTAAGTAGATTAAATATAGAACATATGTTAAAAATTTTGGAGAAAGGAATCATAAAAATTTTGAAACCTCTTCAGAGGACATTCTTTGCATATCTTAACGTAAAAATGGAACTAAAACGCTTGCAAAAACTGCAACTTTATTATGGTGATGTTGCGATCACGTGATCACAACAAAGTGACGTTTAAAGTTATGTTTCTTTGATTTTGAGCTTGCATTAGTCATTTACGATCCAAAAATGTTTGCTTAGTTGACCGACTTACTTTCATAGATTCCACAGTTTCTACTACGGAATGGCAACAAGAACATTAAAACATCCGAGTTATTCGTGTACTAGAAACTTGTGTTTAAACGATTGTTTTTTGTACTTTCTTTGAATTTATATAAACTTTATTTAAGTGCAACTATTTATTCTAAATTTAATATTATTTTCGGGAATATTTCCGTATTGTGATATGTTGCGATAACTACAATCGTCATGGTGCCAAATAGATTTTTAATTTGCAAATTTTTTAAGAAAAAACATGAAGATGTTTGACTAGGTACCTACGAGTTGTACCTCTCGAGTTGGTCCCCTTCAGTGATGTTTTTCTTTATTTCTCGGGACCTGCTGCAGGGAAGTTATATTCAGGTTAGCGATTATTCGGCGATAGATCAGGATACGGAAATCTCCCCTTATTTTCGCAAGCTATTCTAAATTTAATATTGGTATCGCCCTTCCTATTCACGCGGTTTGAATTTCCGTATTTACCTCATTTAAAAGTTGCACGTTGCGATTTGTATTCACGTGGTTTAAAAATCGTAAATTGTGATTCGTATTCATGCGATTTTAAAATCCCATATCGCGATACTTGCAAGAACTCAAATTTTTCTTACACTATAGTTGCTATCAGGGACTAAAATAGAAGTTAATCTATGGTTTCTATAAAGGTGTGATATTCGGGAAGATTTCCGTATCCTGATCTGAGGCAGAATAATCGTCAACTTCTGGGCAGTGGCCCGCGAGAAACTAACATCATATGATGTTTTTTAAAAAACATCAAATGTTTTTTTAATTTATGTTTTTTTAAAAAACATCATAGAAAGGGACCAACTCGAAAGGTATAACTCATAACCACCCCCAAACAAACATCGAAATGTTTTTTTTTTAATTTGCAAGTTTAAAATCTATTTGGCACCTTGATGATTGTAGTTGGCGCGACAGATCAAGATACGGAAATATCCCCAACCCCTGGATTTATAATGAACAAAACTTAGTATGTGATTGATTTTTTTTAATATTCACTATGGATGTAGGCCAGTGATTCTCAACCACTGTGCAGTTTCATCAAAATGAAGATAATAGAAAACTATTTCAAAGACTCTTAAAAATTGTAGCATGCCTGACAGCTGAAGAGGCAAATTTAGCGATTTTTGAAAACCACACTCTTTCTTCCTCTCAGTGTATAACGCATGTTGTGAACGTTCTGTTAGATAATATGTACTTATAAGCAACTTCTATTAACGCTAGCAATAAATGTTCTTCTTAATATGACTCAAAATAATAAGTTATTAAAAAATTCACAACTTATATTACAGGGATCTGTCCTGGGTAAATTTACTACCGTTTAGCGGTACCTTCGCAAATTCAACTTTATGTATAAACGGTAGTTTCAAAATATACTTTCAAAAAAGCAAGTTCTCATGCAAACCTCGTTCTCGTTGCAATCTATGAAAAAGAAGAGCTTTTCCGCCAGCCGTCTTTACGAAAAGGTAACGCGTGTTTGGTCAGATAGTGCAATGTGGTAAGCCTAACCGATCGCTTATGCCATACCAAAGCAAGCTTTCTTTCAGAGTCAAATTCGAACATTATTCTAAACATTTGAGCATTATGAACGCTATTGTACATTTATTCAAACAGACCTTTATTTTTTATGAAACATATTTTTTTCTCAGTGAAACTTTTTTCTGTATGACCTATTCGAAAATGTTCTCATAAATGAAAATAACTTTTAATACTAGTATTGTTAAATGCATGTTTTTATTAAATTCACTATGGACAAATTGAAATTTAACTATGGATGATGATTTTTAAATGAAATTGGTGGAATTTTCAAAATCTTCTTTTTTTTCTTCATGTAATAGGGCATAATTTTATAAGTTTTCATAATTACAAAAATATTGAATTTATTTGTTGCATTTTTTCTTTATTTTTATGATTAAGTTTTTAATTAAAATTCCTTTAAAAAAAAAGAGTTCAAATTCTACATTATTTTTAAAGTTAAAATATGCATCAAAACAATATTTTGAGTATAATTGAAACCAGTTTAGTATGAACTGAAAAAAGGTTGCTCAAAGTCAGCTACTTTACGAAGCTGATAATTTGTTCATATTTTTATAACTTCATATGTTAATAACTTTTTAAATTACTTTAATAGTAATGCTTTCTGAAGTTCCATGTTTCGTTTAAATAAAAAGTATAGGAAACAGATCAAAAATAGTTGTAATACTGAATAGTGGAGTTAAATGAAAAATGCGCTTTTAAAATGAAAATTAAAGACCAGCTTTAGTTAAATATATAAAACAACCATATTATATTAGGGCATTAGCTTATGTGTTAAAAGATTTCCAATCCTCTTTAAAATCATAATTGAAAAAAAATATATAACTTCTCAAAATAATATTAGCATATCAAAGATAATATTATACAAAATAGTATTATGCATATCAAAGATGCTGAAGACTATAAATTTTTTTATATGGTCTGTCACTTATTACAATCATTTTAAAACGTTTGCGTTTAAACCTTCATCGTGCTGTGACCAGACCGACGATAAAAATAAATAAAACAGATTTTTCTCGTTAAGCTGCTTCTTAGACTATTTGTGAGTTTACAGTAAAATTAGTGTTCAATATGTAAGCATAAATGTGCGTTTTTAAATAATCGCACTATCACTTTATACAAAACCCAATTTCTGTTGTTAATTTTCACAAACATGAAATCAAAGTGAATAAATAACAGTTTAATTATAAAATAAATTTATTAATAATTCAGGACTTTAAATTGTTTTACATTAACCATATTAAATGTATAGAATATTTTTGATTGATTGTTATAAATAAAATAATAATGTAAAACAAAGTTTTGAACACTGTTTTTTTAAAGGAGTGGAGATAAATCGATTTTGTCACAAAAAGCGATATAATTACGTTAATAACAATTATAATAAATGTCTTAGATAATAAGAAATCTTTTATAAATTCATGGAGAACTGTTACAGGTTTCTCAACATACTAAGAGATAAAAAAAAAAGAGTTGTTTGTTATTTTTATTGATTATTAATTTCGTTTATATACTGAATCGAGCTATTGTATGTTTTTATATTCTCCATAAAAATTAGTTAAAGTTCGATAATTTTTTTTGACGTAAATATTAACTTGACACCCACCATGTAAAATATTTTCAGCAAAAATTTAAAAAGCATATTCGAAAAAATTACATAACACCCGGAAATTTTGAGTAAAAAATTAGGTTAAATTTTATAGAACTAAATTGAAAAAAAAAAAAAAAAAAAAAATAGAGAAANTAGAACTAAATTAAAAAAAAAAAAAAAAAAAAAAAGCTTGTGGGTCAGGAATTTTTTTTTTTTTTAAATTATATACCAGGAATTTTGAAATAATTTTTAATTGCTCCGAAATCAAAGCATACGTGATTAGCCTTGAAAAACTTTCAGAGTTAATTGAAAAATTTTGATTTCTACCAGATTCTCTGCAAAAAGTGCTAAATTTGGCAGTTATATAAATTTATTTATTTTCGTGAACTTACTTCAGATTTATTTAAGAAAAATATTTTTTTCAAAAATTTACATTGATCTTCTTAATTACATTTAAAGATCTTTAAATTTAATTAAGAAGATCAATGTTAATTTTAAAAAATGTAAGTGCTTTGGACCTCTGAGGTTCTTAATCCGGCCCTGATGATACTCGTATGAGGAGATTGAAGCATTTTAAAAAGAAAAGGATAGTTTGGACAAGGGGGATACTGCACATGGAAGAGATAGTGCTTTTTTTTTGGGGGGGGGGGGGGTTTTNTGGGGGGGGGGGGAGTTTTTAGGCACCTAACTAGAAGACCCACACTGACCTTCAAAACTGACAGAATTCACTAAATTCAGTTGATGTACTGGTAACGCATCTGCTTATAGGAATTAAGAAAAGAAGTATCAGAAAAAAAAAATCTTGAAGAATTAAATAAATTTTTACAATATTTTAATGTGTAATAAGTAACTGTAATACTTTTACTGTGATACTTTCCTTTGTTCATCGGAAAGGAAAGAAATACTCCTGATTTTTCTGTTCTCATTTCGGAATTAAAAAAATTCGCCCATGACTGGCTTGCTTCAGCTTGAGTTTTAAGTTGATAAAATAAAAAAATAAAAATTATAACAAAAATTCTGAAATCACAGAAGTTTAAAAGATAATTCGCTCTAGAAATGTTTTTCTTTCATTTTTTGAAAGAACATCATAATCTTTAAAAAAACATGATAGAAACATTTTATAATTTAATAAAATATGACTGTGAGTGCGGATTTTGTTACAAATTCAGACATGAAATTGGTGGAATTCCATTCTAAAAATTAGATTTTTCGACGACCTAAATCTATAACTTTTCACGATTTTTTTTTTTTAAAAAATGGTTAAAATCATGACAAATTTGGTTCAATACCGAAATTTATGACTCTCCATGATTTCTTATGACTTTCCAGGTGCGTAGATACCTTGTATATTATTCCCAATTTAGCGTTTCTCTTTTTGATTTACCTGTTTATGAATGAAGTATCAAAACTGTACACATAGCCTAGTAAATCTACAAGGAGTAAAATCTCCGTTATTTTGAATGACATCTCCAAATTTCTTTTCAAATATGTTCATCGACCATATTTTTCTGGCTTAAAAATTACATGAACTCTTTTGGTGAAATTTCGTTGTGAGACGGTTGTTTATTTTGGAGTCAAAACACGTGGACGCATTCCTTCATTTAGAGAAAAGGGATGCTCCTAAACAAGTGTTTAGAGTGGAAATTGAAAATTTTAAAGAAAGTGGACTGAAGAATAACACAAATTCCTCAAGATCCCGTAAAGCAATTTAATAATAAAAAATCGTAATTTAATTCTAAAGGCAGAAAACAGGTTCTAATTTCATGACATCGTTATCGTGAATCAAAATTTAGAAAAAGCACTAAATGAGTAGCTAAAATTTATGCATAATGCGAAAAGATGTCATTTGAAAAAATTTTAATGTAATTTTAACCTTTAATGTACTATGTTAAATAATACTTGCTTTAAAGCGTACCACGTTATTTTATATCCGTCGTGGAACAGCCGACCCAATTTTGGATTTACGTCTACTAATGTTGTTGTTCATTTACGTCACACTAGAGCTGCACAATGGGCTATTGGCGACGGTCTGGGAAACATCCCTGAAGATGATCCGAAGACATGCCATCACAATTTTGATCCTCTGCAGAGGGGATGGCACTCCCGCTTCGGTAGCCCGACGACCTGCACGTGAAGTCGAGCACTTTACGGTAGAACAGTTTAACGAGGACCCATACCACACACCCTCGGTCCCTACGCAGACTGATCCAAGTGGTCACCCACCCGCACACTGACCGTAGCCAGTGATGCTTGACTTCGGTGATCTGCTGGGAACCGCGTCTTAATGATCAGTCCACTGGGGGACGCGTTATATGTGGGAATAACAAACGAAAATATCTTGATTATGAAGACAGTGATTCGGAGTACTCCATAAATCTGGGCTCTTCTTTTATTTTTTCTGTTTCATTACAAAATTTCTTCTAACATTTTTCGAGACAAAATATTTAAAAATTATATTCATCTGAACATAAAAATATCGCAATGGATTTTTTCACGTATAAACCCTGCCCGCTGAAATAGCGGGAGTCGTATTACACATTTCTTGAAAACGTAAAAGCTAATAATATTCTTGTGTTATTTTAAAACAACTGATGAAGATGTGAACTGTAACATGTAGATAAAGAAAATATAAAAAAAATCTCCCATTATTTCAGGACTGGAAAGTATAAAAACTGAGTCGTACACAGAGGCTAAGAAATAATCTCTCCATACTTAAGAATTCTATGAAATCATTATTGCCTTATTGAATTGAATCGGCCACATTTAAAATCGAGTGAAAGAACCAAATCAATAATAATAAAACTAAAAAACTCCATGCTACAGATTTGTAAATGCAGTTCTCCATTCCGGAATGGAGTGCGATTCTCTTATCACTGGGCTAAAGGCCGGGATAGCCTGGTTGGTAGGGCACTGGGCCCTTGTCCAAGAGGTCGCGGAATCGATACCCGTGGGCCGAAAACTCTCCGTGTAGCAAATGGTGACTGATGCACGTTAAATTTGTGGAGTCACAAGGTCCTTCATGTTCCCACAACAAATCATACCTCTGGGGGTACTGATTCAGTAGTTTCCTTGTCTTCAAGACTGGTATCAAAATTACAAGAATACGGAGTTGAGCATTAGTAGTCTTAAACCCGAAATTGGGTCGGCTGTGCAATGACGGTTATTAAATAAATCAAGCTCTAAACCAACTAAACATCAACACTAAACTTCCGTTCGTGATGTTTCCAGTTCCAGTTGGAAATTTAGCTTTAGTGATTAAACGGGCAATTCAAATTTCACAAATGCAAATGACAGTAAGAGATAGGAATGATTAATTTAGTTTTGCAAATGAATCAAAACGGTTAGACACATTTCCTATTCTGACGATTGCATTTCGCTACAACGCTAGTTATATTATAACGATTATAATATCACTGTACTACCATAGCCCTGAATGGATGATGAACAAAATAAATATTTTAGTTAAATGAATAAACAGCAATCCAGGAAAATGCATTAACAGTAACACTCTTACAACACTAATATTGTTTAATTTGAACAAAATAATATATACAGATAAATTATTTGATATCTTACAAATTCAGCAAGCATCGACAATTGAAATTAAATAGTGCATTAATATAGTTCACGGATATCAAAGTTAACTCAATTCTGCAGCAGCAACACTGTGTAGATTTGCTAGAAAATTGGTCAATCAAAATACTTCTTTGTCATTCCTATGGATTGAACACAACAAAGTTCATTTATTGAACTTAAAGCTTCTTTCTTAATAAGTCAAAATATAATACCAAACTACATTCGCTAATAACAAGAAAATATTCACGATAATAACCCTTATTAAAATTATAAAGAATCACAGTACAATTTTAGGCAGAATTTTTATGTTTGTAGATGGCTTGTTGTTTGCGTTTGTAATATGAGGGCAGCCGCTTATTAAAATCATTATTTGCAGTCTCGGAAAAAAAAAGATTAAAGTTTTATAATAAAAAATATTTTTTGTGTTATATAGAGATGTCCATTCATAAAATATTTCAATATATATAAAAAAAAAATCTGCACAAAAATTCCAAACTGTGCAATTAAAATTATAAAATTATTGCTTTTCCAAATTTATTTTATTAAATTTTCTCGATTTCTGCAACTCCTGGCACAAACATTATTATTGCTTTTTAACTTATTCTTATTAAACACAAATTCTTGCTATTAGAGTTCAAAGCAAAAAAAAAAAAAAAAATTTAAATTATTGCAAGACTAGTTTTATTTTTTTGAAATAAAAAGTTAAACTGAAATTAATTTATTTTTCATTACTTTTTGAGTAATTTATTTGAATTAAATTCACTGATTTTTCTCCTGGTTGATAAAATAAAATTCAGTGAATTTTCCCTGTTCTCTGATCACTTTATTTACAAAAGTGACCAAGTTAAGAAACAAAGCAGTTTTAGTGTAGGTAAATTTGATAAGCAGTCATAAAATTTTTTTTTTTACAATAACGGTGAATATCACAAACAAATTTACAATAACAATCCTTATAACATTAAAAAAATTCAAAACATTTACACATGCAGAAATTATATATAATATTTTATGATTAAAAACTGTTATTGTTTTTTCAACACTCATTTAAATAGTATAAAATATATATTATGATAAAGTCATATATGCAAGTTAAAAACCAATATCTTTGCTTGTTGAAACTCTACAGGTACACAGTGTTAGAACGAAAAATAATTACTGTAGGTGAAGTAAAAAAACAATATTTATTACATTTTATTTATTTTTTTATATGTTTCAAACTAATATGTAACTAATTAAATATAATAAAACAAATTAAATTTTAAAAAATAAAAAAGGAAAAAATATTTATAATGATCAAAATATTTTTTTTCTCTTTTGGTTTGATGAACGCTTACTTGAATTGTATCATTTTTATTTCTATTTCTATTTATATGTGCATATAATATAGGTCAAACCGAAACCGTTTTTATAAAATAAGATATGTGAAAACACCATTTCAGACAAGCAATATTTAAAATGGAACACAAGGCTGCATTTTATTGCAAGTAGTAGAAAAAAGAGTTGAGTTGTGCTGAAACTATGTCTGGCCTGCTTGCTCACCAGATCTCAACTAAGATTTTTTCTTCTGGGAGTATATGAGAGCTTCAGCATACAAAACACATGAAATTTTATATAAATAAGTGCATGAAGCACATGAAGTTGTTAGGGTATGGCTAGAGTTCTTGTAGCCATTAAAAAATAGAATGAAAATTTATACAGAAAAGAAAACCGAAATTTTTTACTTCCCAAAGGAAAAAATTTTCTGCAAGAACTCGGTAACATTGTGTGACAATGTCGCACGATTCTGCCACGGGGGATGTGACTTTTTTTTGTCAGATTGTGCAACACTGTTGTCAGTTCATGATGAAGTTCTAATTTTATTGCTTTTTTGACTTCAAGAATGGAATACAACACTGTGTTTTAGGTTAAATATTGCTCATTTGCATAGGTACTATCACCCCTTTTATTATGTAACTATTGTTATTATGTAATTATTGCTATTTAATTATTATTGTTATGCATTTAATCATTATTGTTATCATTTATTTAATTATTAATTTATTATGTTTTACATTTAAGACACACTGAATATGAAAAAAATAAAAGTATTAAATTCTCACAACTTTAAACTCTGACATTCTAAGACATGAGGTATTAAAATAAAACACTTAATTAAAATAAGTAATAGAATAAACAATTTGTGTTGCTTTTAAAATATTGGAATATAAAGCAACAAAAAATTTTTGGTTTTTCTTTTCTTCTCTCACAAAAACACAGTTAATACAAGGCATCTATAACAATCATCATCCAAGAAAATATTATTTGTAAAAGCATTTCGGGGGAAGGAGTGATTTCAATTAGAATATGTCATGAGGGCATACTTTTCAAATATTAGATTGATGAGTGGGACTTTTTTTAGGCAAAATTTTCATCTCTGAAGAGTTTAAAGAAGAGGAAGGAGATATCTGATCTTGAGCAGTAACATTGACACTAGAAGATGGTAAACACTTATCTGCATTTGATCTTTGACCAGACAAATTATTGCACTGATTGGTACTATCTTTTGAAATATTCAATTTCGTCTTCCCGTTGATATTTTTAGAAATCACGTGTGGTTTGGCATTCTCGGAAGCACCTTTTGCGGAAGAACTTTCACAATCAGTTTTAGAAATTAACGTTGAGGACTGTTCCAAACTCTTTTCACTATGCACAACTTTCACTTCTTCAATTTTTTGCCTCTTGAGGTGAGGTGTTTTTTGTGCCGTGCCAGTTTCATGCTCTTGTTTTTGTAACCTAGCTGGCATTTTTGCTTCGTCTTCTCGGACAGCTTTAACAATATTTAGTCTTCTTACCTCTGATGGGTCCGAGGTGATTTCCATTTCAACAGATATAGCCTCATCGGGGGAGCGTTTGAACTCTTTGAGATGAGGCACCTCTTGATCTCCAACATGAGACACTTCAACCCTTTGAGCTGATATTCTGGATTGGTTTTGTGTCTCTTGCTCTTGAGCTTGGGGTTCCAACTGCAAATCTTGGTTTTCAAGTTGAGCAGCTTTTATCTCCTTCTCTTTCTGCAGGGCATCAAGTTCTTTTTTAGCCCTCTCCTGCTCTCTTTTGGTTTTCTCAGTACGGGCTTTATCAACCATTGCAGTTAAGGCTTTCTTCCTCTCTTGTAACCTTTTGCGCTTCATTTCATTGTTGAGAATTCTTTCTTCAAGCATTTTTAGCAGAGGGCCACAAATAACCTCAGCAATTTGACCCATCTTTCGAAGATAAACTAAAAGTACAATAATTATTAAAATACATTTTAATAAAGAAATAGTAACTAAACGTTTTAATACCTCTTGAATTTCAACTTTATTATGAATTTATTATGTAATTTTTGTACAAAAAGTATGTTTTTTTTATAGTTTATCTGAAATTATTTAGCATGTTTTTCACTTAAACTTTGAAGTTTAAAGTTGCTTAATAATAAAAATTATAAATTTGAGTAAACATGATTTCATGTAATGTAAGTATATAAAAAGAATTTAATCGCTAAGTTGACAACAATATAATAACTATACTATTTATTATGTAATCGTAATTTAATAATTTATTATGTAGGTAATTTTTGTACATAAGTATGTTTTTTATAGCTTGTCTGAAATAAGAACTCTCCCAGACATTCGTCGGGACTAGTGGCAGTGACTATGGTAACGAGGTATGACTACTTCAAGTAGGGGTGTGGGGTCACTGTTTCAGAGTGGTTTTAGCTCAGGTCAGCAAGAGAAAGGGAATCTCTTTCTTCGGTCTACCGTGTTAGTCTTAGAGTGAAGCAACCCTCCCTAAAATGCACCATTCTTGTTTCCATAGCACCAGACTGCCTCAGACTTTGTAGTGGGAGGAGTTCTTAGCTTCGACAAACTGTAAATGCAATTTATTATTTTTATTTTATTTCATTAAATCATCAAACATACTTTCGCTTTAAAAACTGTCTCTTTTAAACACTTATAATAATAAATTAATATTCCATCAATTCAAAGCTTGTAGGTAAATATAACTTGAAAATTCAAGACTTTCTAAAATACAATTATTTTACATGTTTCTCACTTAAATTATGAAGTTTGAAATTGCTTAATAAGAATAATCATAAATTTGAGTAAACATGATTTCATGTCAAACGTGATATAGGTATATAAAAAGAATGTAGTCGCTAAGTTGACAACAATATAATATCTGTACTATTTATTATATTTTTTAACTATTAAGAAGCAAAACAACATGAAATACAAAAGTATAATAAACCTTAATTATGTTTAAGTAATAATACAACAGTCCACCCTTAAAAAAGAGTTGGCAAGGTTTAGGACAGAATGGTTTAATCTATGGTTTCAACTAGGGTTTAAACCGTCCTGTTCAAAAAAAATCTTTGTCCAAAACTGTTTTAAAGTGTCCAAAACCCTTTTATTCAAATCATGTCACAATTTTAAAAAAAAATATAGTGAAAAATGAATGGTTAATTTTTGAACAAGAAACAGAATGAAGACAAGTTTTTGTTTCATAAAAACAGTTTATTATTATTTTTAATAGTGTATTATTTATCCTTATGGGAAATCATAATTTATCACTATTAAAAGCACATTTGATCATATTTAAAGGATAAGGTATTCATTTTTGTTGTTCAATACCTTTACCTTTAATAAGTTAATACCTTAATAAGTACAATTACCTTTAATAAGTTAAAGCAAATTGTATAAAAAGTATCAAATATTTATTAATATATGTAACTATTATGTGTGCAATGGTTACACCTATAGAATTTTTACCTTTTACCAAAGTTAAAAATTGCCAAACCAAAGTTTTGGACACTTTAAGACAGTTTTAGTCAGTTTAAGACAGTAAAACCCATGTGTCCTGTCCAAACCAATTTAGGACATCCAAAACTCCAACCCTCCCTTAAACTAAGATTGCATGCCAATGTTCCAAAAATAAAACATGAACTTAAGAGTTTGAATTTAATGAGCAATAAAATTTTGAATAACATTTTTCATGCATCTAAAATTTACATTATGAAGTAGATTTTGCATTTACTTCAGTTTTACTTCCATAATTATGCAATTTCGTAAGAATTTTAGAAAAATTGATAAAATTTGTTAACTTTTTTCCAGCTTGTAATATAATTTACCAAAATCCCAATTTTTATAATGTAAACAATAACTACAAGAGAGTTCCCAGGGATCAGGGAGAACAGGAAATTTTATTTTAACTCTAAAAATCGAGGAATAGACAGGGAAAGTTTCAATATTTTTACAAAAACCTGGAATATTCCTATATCATACCTGGAAAAGAATCAGTCTTGAAATTGTCAGTAACAGTAATCAGTTATTGAGATTCGAGTTAAATAATTCTAACATCTATTACAATTATTTGTTGCAAAAATTTCACATTTTAGTCAAAATTTTCCCTCCCTCTTTTAATAATATTTTTTTACACAGAAAATCTAATCTTTCACATAAGTAAAAGAATGAAAGTTTTTTGATGAAAATATGGTCTCAATTTTCATTAAAATTTATGGTATACCTGGAAAAGTCAGGGAATTTTTTTTCTAAAATTGAGTGGGAATCCTGCTACAATATTTACAAACTTTCAGAGGGATAATATGCTAGGCATCAAACTCAAATATATTTTTTTTTAAATTTCAAAGTGAAAATATCAGCTTAAAATCAAATATTATATTTTTATTAGATTTCAAGTGATTCATTGAGCTATGTTGTGAACAGTTCCTTCAATTAGCTTCATGACAGTTATTCAAGGATATATAATAGTGTTTGCCTGGAAAAAAGGAGATGAATGTGTTTAGGTTTAACTTCTTTTGACATGAATTTGATAGAGTATTAGTAACAAAATACTTAGTTATTGATGCAAGATTTAATTGTTTGTTTAAATTAATCTTTATTAGAATAACCTTTTGCTAAAAATCTAATTATTGAAAAAAAAATATTTCTGATAAGGAGATGACTTTTAGTGGGCTGTTATACTTTTTTTTCATTCTTAGCAAAAATTTAACAGTCCCGTAGTAGACTGATTGTAAAAACACAGTTCTCGGTTAAAGACCGAAGCCAAGCATCTAAATCTGGGTTATCTTCAACTCACTACTAGGGATCAAATTCAAGTCCTTCACAATGACAGCTCAGTAACTTAACTTAACCACTGAGCTATCAAATTTAACACTAATTGGAAGAAAAAAAACATTATAAGAAATAATATGCAAAAATAATATATTTAAAGAAAAAATAATTAAAAATTAACTTATTTATTTATTGATACCCCTAAGAATCCATAAAAAATTTCTATACAAAAATGCTTAAAACATAATGATAAAGGTAACAAATATGAACTAAAATTTACTAAACCTGAGCTATTATGAAGTCTTGTTAAGTAATCCAGAGGAACTTGATTGGCCATTTGATAGGCCAGCTGTTCTTCTTGGCACAAAAATCGAGGTAACTGTACCACACTGTTCATACAAACGTCACTAATATTTCTACTAGGTACAAGTTGTATGGGGATTTCAATATGGCTTTTCCTACAAAATATTAAAGTAGTTAAAAAACATACCCAACCAAATAGTAATACTTTTCTATAGTAAAGTATTTATATCTTAGGGGATCTACAATTTTTATAAAAATTTGATATTCTATAATACCATTATATTAGCTTAAAATCCTGGTAGCAGAAAATCTCCAGTACAGTAGCAGGCACTGCAGATTAACACAGCATCTGCAGATTATTTTCACCTCAAATTTTTAAAAAATGGAGAAAAAATTGTTGGGACTCTTCTCAAAATTATTTCATAACTTGCTTTATGCTTTAAATTAAAATTATGAAACTAGATTGAGAGACCACCACAAAAAACTAAAAGTAAAGAAAACAATTTTTGGTCACTTTACAGAGTTGCCACAGAAAAAAATTAACAAAATAGTTGCTTTTCGTAGCTTAAAGCATGAAAATAGTTTCGGAAAACTATGAAACTAGTTGCTTAAATAAGAACACAAAAATTCATCAAAAATATGACTAAAATTTAATTAAATAACTTATAACCATGATCAATTAGTCAAGTTAGTGGCAAATGTGATAATTTTTATAAAAACGTTAGTGTTCTAGCACTAAATTTTTATTGCAAAAAATTTGTATATTTGCAGAAAATTAAATACCTTTAATTACTAGAATTCAGTCAAAAAAATACTTTTTTATTAAAAAAAACATACTTTTTTTAAAAAATTTTTCCCTTTTATCAATAATTGATTTAGCAAATGTATATATACTTACATATATATATTGAGAAAAGTGATTACTCAAATTCAAAATTCTCGTATTGTAATATCGTATTAAAAATTGGGTTTTTTAAAATCATGTGGAATTTTATAGCAATAAACATTGAAAAGGTAATTTGAGAAACAAAATAGATTTACAATGGAATCTGTGCAAATGGAACAAATTAAAAATTGACTTAAATTTTCAATTCAAAATGTTCAAAAAATTTTTTATTTTTAAAAAGAAAAAAAAATTCAGTGTGTTTAGAAGCTCCCATGGACCGCAGGTTTTCAACCTAATTTATGCTAAGAAACATAGCTAGGAGTACAGAAAAGTATCTTTTTCAAGAAAATAGTTGCCATAGTCGCTTTATGTTGAAAATAGCTGCATTTTAGTCGCCTGTGGTAACCCTGCTTTATTACATGATTTTGCAGAAAAGGATACCTTATACCTTTTGCATACCTTATATTTGTACATTTTGCACACATATTTGTGCATATTTCTGATCAAGTTTAATTTCTACAATACTAATCTCTGTCTAGCTGGCATCACAAGCACATTTAGATTTATGTAGATAGTGCTGCAAATTTACTCCACAAATTCTGCTACCAGGTAAAAAAAATAATAAATTTATAACATTAATCATTGCTCAGTAATCACTTCTATCAGTCAAAAAAAACATCAGTATAAAATACTCTCAATTGGAAATAACTCGTATACTATTACTTTTTAAAGCTTTTTTTGTGTCAAATTGGTAAAAAGTTTCTCTAGGTCTCTTTAACTTCTTTTTTAACTTTAAATCTTACAAAATAATTATTTCATATCATAATTTATTTAAAATAGTTAGGTACAGGTTATTTTATAAGTTCATATGTAAGCATACATTTTTTATACAAATTGGCTCAACATTTAACGTATCAAAGATTAGAGTTGCAGGTCATAACTAATCACATTTTTGTTACAAGAGTTAAGAATAACAAAAAATAAGGGCCAGCAGGTATTTGACTCTCTGTGTACTTAATCTAAAAATTTTCACCAATCCATCTAGTTTTTTTTCTTAGTAATAATATAAATAGGTAATTTTTTCCATATGAAAACATTATGTGCACTACAAAAAATAAATAAAAAATGTAAAAAAAATTGGGCAGATGATTAGTGGTGAAAATGAAAAAAGTAAAAAAAACAATTTTCAATAATCAACCTAATTTTTTTAGTAATGATATAAATAAGTAATTATTCACACATGAAGAAATTAATTAATCACATACAAAAAATGGGTACATAATTAGTGGTTAGAGGGTAAAAACGTAAAGAAAACAATGTAATAAAAAAAATAAAGTAATGAAACGAATGCTTACTCAACATTGCAATCAATTATTACAGTTTGGGACTGATAGCAAATCATTTGAATTCGTCCACCCTAAAAATGGAGATATTTTAAAATTATTTTATTAAAATTAATTAGAAATACAGTCAAACTCCACTATAGGGAACATTCAAGGGATCGAAATTTCGGTTCACTATAACCGGGACTTCACTATATCCATTCCGCAAACAATTTTAACTAATGGTTCCAAATAATTCCCCCATTTTATTACACATTATTTAAATAAATGCCCAATAAAATGAAATACAAAAACGACTGAAAATTAATACATAGTAACAAAAATGTGTTAACTTTTATTTTTTATGACTTTTCGTCTTGCATACAAAAAAAAATTTGTAATCTTTAGCTGATGTGCCATCCTCAACATCAGATATGGAAACACTTCCCGACTCCCAAATAATTTTTGCTGAATTTGTGTTATCCCGCTTTGTAAACCTGACTAACCAGCCATTCGAGCACCTAAAAGTAGTCTCACCAAATCGTCAAGCAAATTCATCGGCTTTACTTTAAGCATTTGTCCAGATACTGGAAGAATGCAATCTTCTTTGAATGCTGAACCAATTCAATAATGAAACAAACAACTTGTTGCTATATTCCATGCTATAGATGGTTTTAAAAATCGGTATATGTATGCATTTTGAAGTAGAAATTTCAAAATTATAACAAAAAAATGAAGAAAATCAGTTGAAGACAGAAAAAAGTTCAGAATGAACTTCCTCTCTTTTTTTGATTCACTATAACCACAAAAAATAACATTACATGTGTGTAGCAAGGCACGGGAGCGAACATTTCGTTCACTATATCCCTGAGTTCACTATAAACCGCGTTCACTATAGTGGGGTTTGACTGTATCTCATTTTGATATATTTTTTCTTTCATGTTTTAACAAATAATTCTATACTTGATATCAGATGAAGAAAAAAAAATTTATTTCAAGTTTAGAAAAATCATAATTTAAAATGGATGTGATAGTAATTTGAAAGCTTACAATTATTAGCCAATGATAGAATTGGTATATAGAGAGTAAAATAAAAAACTGAACACCTCAATAACTTTTTATCCCATTGTCACATACTAAAATTCAATCTTAATAAATTTAGGAGTTAAACAAAAAAGAAATGCTAATTAATTTAAGCAGAACATTTATTAAGTTATGAAATCAGGCACAAAGGCATACATTTTCTGAATAAACATACCTTTTACTCAATTGATTTGAGTTATTCACACTTAAAATATTGGAGATAGCTACAATTTGCATATATATGATCCTAATAGTTTAGGCAAGAGAGTGTAGAGTTTTGTCCTTTAAATGCTACCTTTCTTTTTTCAGGAATTATTTGTCTGATTGATATAATTGATATTATTATTATAATTCAAAAAAGGATCAGAAAAGCATTTTAAAATCAAATAGAGAAATTTTTACCATTACATTTATAAATGCTGATCTAAAGAAAAATTTTGAACAAAAAAAAAATATTCATGATAAGATATATGCGTGTTATATAGGGTGCATAACCAAATGTTTTAACAAAAAATAAGCACCTTTCAAGTACTTTTTAAGCATTCAAAAAATATTTTTAAACACTATATACACTAATGAAATGCAAAATAATTTTCAAAGACTTTGCATGATTATGATAAAATAATCAGTCTCTGACCAAGAACTCCTTTCTTGATTATATTAGCCATTATAGAAAGATCAAGAGGTTTTTCGGGTCGATATCAGGCAGTGGAAAATGAAGCCTGAAATTAAGAATATCTTGCAAAATGTAGCAAATTTGCACATGAGAGTGCAAGAATCTCACCAAACACAGCTCATTAAATGCACATACAGCCTCGCAAGTATTCCATCAAATTAGTAGAATGATTGGAGCTTTCATATGCTACGGGCCGACGGTACGCCGAAATAGATTGTGGTTGAATGAATTGTGAAAACGTTGGATACAAGGACTATTTCGCATAATATGTGGCTAAAATTAACACAGTAAAGAAAAAAATCTCATTTTCAAAAAGGGAAAATTAAGCACTTTTTAAAAACACAGAATGAAAAAAGCACCTTTAAGGGCTTTTAAAAATCGAAAATATGCACATTTTAAAAACTCTACACAACATGCGATATCATAATATGAAACAGATTTAAATTTTACGCTTCCTTTATAAAACGAAACACATAAAATACAAACTAACTTTAATATTATAATAAATTAATTTGCTCTCCAAAAAAAGTTATAAGATACAAATTTATTGGAATCGCGTTTTAAATTCCATATTATGCATAAAATTTATTTTTTGATAGAACATAGAGATAATAAATTTTTCTCAAACTTCGATAGTAATTAATTAAACTCTTATTGAAAATAAAAACTCACAAATTTATTGGGATCAGTATTAAACACTGAAAATATCATCCCGATGAACCCTTCATCCATGAGTTGATAGCTTTCTTGAGTGCAAACATCTAAAAAAAATAGAGTATATTCACAAATGTAAAGTAAATTATTTGAAGTGATCCTTTCAGTTAATGAGATAATAACAGCTTTATTTAAAAACAAAAATAACATGCAATAACTAGTTTTGCTAAGAGGAGAAGACTGCAGGTCAAAATACAACTTTTTACAGGCAGAACCGTCAGTGGGTTAAAAGACTTCTCAAATCTGTAGAGATAGCATAAGATTTTTTCACGTTTAAATCATCCTGTTTGTCTAGATTATATTACAAGATTGGATTAGAGCAAATTACTGCCACGTCTACTCAGTTGCATTTAAATTTGTCAGATAATTTGTTTATTAATGTTGGTTTTATATCGTAAGTTTTATTAAAATGTATTAAATATTACAGTATACTCTCGATATCTCAAAATTGAAGGGACACTAAAATTATTTAGAGATAGCGAGATAACAAATTCAGAACTACATATGTTCTAAAAAGTAGAAAAACATATTCTAAAATATTACTCAGAAAAAAAAAGCCATGATGCATGAGAATAAATATGTTTGCATTGATATAAATCTAAACACAATAATGATAATTTTATTTTTAAAAGCAAGACATAAATAATTATGCATTTAATAAAATGGAATTGGTTTACAATAAATTTACATTGTGATTTCCCCTCTCCTCCCCCCAAAAAAGCATTTTCTATTTCAAAACAAAATTCAACATAATGTTGAAAATAGACAATAAAATTTAAAATAGATAAAATAATAACCAATTTTTTGATAACTAACTTTTATTACAAATTGTAATCTGTTGTACTTAACACATCATTAAATAAAATTATTTTGCGAGATGAAAATTTAATAGTTAAGTACTGGAATAATAAATATTAAATATTAATACTTAATATTAATACTTAATATATATTAATACTAAATATTTAACATTAATACTAAATATTAAATATAATACTCAATATTAATATTATATAAAAACACATTTAATATTAATATTAAATATTAATATTAATAACACTGGTGGCTTGGCAAATGGGCAAAATTGGGAGAACATTTCTTCCCAGTACATCATTTTCCTGTCTAATAACATGGGGAAACCGGTCTTGCTGTGCAAGAAGACTGTCGGTTAAAATACGACTTTTTATGTGCAGAACCGTCAATGAGTTAAGAAATACAACCTAGATTCCTGAATAAGCAACTTGGATAAAAAGTTATAGATAGAAGAAAAAAAAAATACATGGAACAAAGGGGTTATGCATTAGCCTGTAAATCATAGAATGACTGTAATACAAGATCATAGAATGCTTAGAAAATAAAATCAGTTATTAACTAATATTTCAATGTATACAGGCAGATGTAAAAGAGACTATGGTATCTATACATATTTTCTGAAGAAGTATAATAGTATAAGTATATTATTATCTATACTGCTTTTTAGTATCAAATATTAGGTAGTTAGTCTTGAAACATAATGAAAGTAAAGCTGTACAGTAAAATTACATTTAAAAAAAAGGAGAGTGATTACTATTTATAAATTGAATTATCAATTACTTACCAACTAAAGATGGATAAACAGTAAGTTTAGGATGGGAATGATACCAACCGACAACACGAACCGGACGCTTCAAAATACAAGCAAGTTTCTAAAATATAAATTCAATACCAATGAGTTCCATTTTATGAATGAAAAATATCAACACATAAAAAACATAGTTTAAGAAGAAGAAAAAAATAGGACTAAAAATTTATCATCTTATTAAAGTTATAGCAGATATGTAAAACTCTAGATAAAGACAAGAAAATTGATTATTATATTATAGTTCAAAAATGATAAATAAACAATAATATTTGTTTATAGCTGTGTAAAAGAATCATCGCAATAGTCTTATCAGCAATGAAAATAAATTATCTCATTAAGTTAGAAACATTTATTATTATCTATTTACATACAAAATCCATTTCATCCCTTTACCATTTACATGCGATTTTAGAAACATTTGAGATTAAGCACACTCCCTGTAGCAGAAATATTTTTCTTTTAAAAAGTAAAAAAAATAACTTTTCCTTTCTACAGAAATTTGAATGTAACATTTGAGTGATGCATTTATATAATAACTTTTTTATGCACTTAATTCCCCACCGATAGTATTGCAAATACATGTAATGTTTTGATTGTATTTTCCACAGTTATTGATATTTATTTTCATGCAGATTTCAAATATCCCGATATATTTCAAACAATATGGAAAATTCCAATAGTGCATTGAAGTAGATACTTTTTAAGGCAATAATGCTATCGAATTTTTGGCAGTTACTCCTATTGATTTCTCACCAATTTTTAAATCCGATATTTTTTATAAGAAATATTAATTACAACAGCCTAATCTCGAAACGAAACACGTATTTGTGAAGTCTGATTTGCTTGAGTTTATTGTCGATCTTTATCTTGGCAATTACTATTGCGGATTTCATGATTTCTATTTATTTTTTTTTGTGATGATTATTTACAAAATTCAAAGATGGAAATAATTTTTGCGCCACTTCGCGCTTTCACTTTGGTTTGCACAAATGAAAGATCCTGCTAATACAAGCAAATGCGTGGTTAGAGCTTACAACACCGGGTATAAACTCAGGTTTTGCGCCCTCTGACATGTCTAATACATATGTATAAATATAATGTCAGTGAAGTCTTATTCTATGATTTTACAAACAAATTCACAGAGTTAAGACAATTTGTAATTGAGTAAACATTTTTTACTTTTGTGTGATTTTTTGTCCGAGACCAACAATTTAATCCATTAAATTTGAACTTATTATTGTTAATTTCTATACAACAAACTATTTTTTGAAAAAATTATGATTTTAAACTTTACTTATAAACTTATATTTTATAAGAGAGTTTTTTTAAGAAATTTATATTCATTTTTTTTTCTAATGTTCCAACACCAAGGAATTGTCTAGCACATAAATAAATCAGTTTAAGGTTAACAAAAAGAATTTAAAGCTATAAATTTATCAGCCTATAAATGCTATACCAGCCATGCAAATTTCTAAAATGTAAGTTGAATTGCCTAAAATGACAAGAATAATTATTATTAAATATTAATATAGTTAAAATTTGATAAATAAACAGTAATATTTGCTTATAACTGCATAAAAAAAAATTATAACCTTATCTGTAAGAAAAAGGAATTTCTCATTGATAAAATGCAAGCTAGTTTCTAGAACATAAATTGAGTTTGTTCCCGTGCTAATCGAGCACTTGCGAAAATATGTATCAATAACACTGTGTATTAATAACAATATGCATTAAAATTAATAGGCAATGCATCAAAAACAAATTGACATATTACATTCTAAGTTTTATATAAGAGTATCAAATTGTTTATAAGAAAAATTTTTGCACAAAACCATTGTTAATATGAATATATTTGTTGGTTCTTTGAATTTTACATATATTGAGCATTTTAAAGAGAAAAAATAAAACTATAAATATTGTGAGGGTCAATTTTTGGAACAAAATATTTATCAAAAGGTAGAAGAAATTTAGAAACAATTTGTAAGATATTTAAGGAAAATTTACTGAATTTAAATAAAACAAAATAAAAGGGTGCTGAAAGAAACAAAAAATAAAAGTCAACATGTAATTGAAAATAAAATTTTGAAAAGATACAATACAATACTTCTACTTTTTGAAAAAATATCTAGAATAGGGGTGCACAACCTGCGACCTGCCGATGTTTGGCTAACAAGAGCTTCTGAACACAGTCTTCTTTTTTTTTTTTTTGAGAAGTAAAAATTTGGAATCTTTTGAATTTTTCTTCACAAAATGATGAATCATAATATGTACTATAATAGTTAAGTTTTGATTTTTGTTTAAAACCTACAGATTTTCTTTAAAGTATTTACAGGGGTAGAAATTAAAAAAAAAAAATTACTGGTTCATAGGACCAGTAACTAAAACATTTTACTAGTCCGCACAATACTTTACTGGTCCGTCTACGCGTTCCTATTAGCTGCAAATAAAAAAATTTAAATTTTTGATTGAAAAAATCATGATTTTTTTTTTTTAAATCATAAATGTTTGATTTAAATCGCATTTTTTTTGATTAATATTAATTTGGTATAAAAAATTTTTAAAAAAAATTGTGAATAAGCTCTAAAATAGTTTTAAGTAAGATCGTTTCAGTTTCGTAAGATCGAGAATAGATCGGCTGCGAGAATAGATTAACGGAGATCGGCTGCGGCGGATGGTGGTCTGGCGGGCCACTGTTTATTATTTTATGCTGGTCCAATTCCGATTTTAGTGGTCACGGACCAACGGACCACCGTTAATTTCGAGCCCTGATTTAGTTCAAATTTATATTACCTCATTAAAATAAGTATGTATTTAGTTTTTTTCACACATTTATTCTATGAGTATTATAGTTCTTTTTTCTCAGGCAAGGTTGACTCAGCCTTTCATCCTTTCAGTGGGTCGATAAATAAGTACCAAGCATGATTGGGAACTAAACACTGTGGGGTCCGCCTTGGGCTAACCACCCAATCGGAACATCTGCTCTTGCACCCCAGAGCACAAAGATAAAAAAAACTGAGATTGGCACAGTAGGCCTTGGCCCTCTATGGACTGTTGTGCCACTGAGTTTAGTTTATACATTTATTAATAAAACGGCAAGAAAAATAAAAAATAAAAAATTTTATTTGACCCTTCGCGGCCCTTCATTAGTCAACCTGCTGTTCAAGTGGCCCTTCTCTTAAAAAGGTTGTGCAGTCCTAATATAGAATATGTGATGCTATATTCATAAATTATACTAACTTCAGCTTCAGTTGATGCATTAGATAACTGTTCAGGTGATATTTCTACTCGGTCCTTCCTCTTATCAGAACGTCTTAAAATTAAGACAGCAACAACGTGAGCAATTCTTTCTTCATCCACCTGCAAATTTTAAACTACATGTGAGTAGTGGATATGTAATTTAATAATTAAGTTACAAAATAATTCAATTGTAATAGTATAACAGTTTATAAAATTACAAATTAAGGTTTTATTATTCTCGTTTATATAAAATATTAAAATAGAGTTATTTTCATTTCGTAAGCAATTCATTGTTTATTCCAATTATTGCTTTTTAGATTTTACTTATCTAAAAATAATATGTAGCTTAAAGAAATACTATAATATAAATTAGTTTACAATTATAAACCTTTATAATTGCTTTAATATTTATCATTTCATTTTGAAAAATGAGTTTCTTTAAATCGATGAAACCTTTTTTTATATATGAGCAGATTTTTTCATGGTTATTTCCTCTTTTTTTTTCGTTGCGAACAGAAATTGCAACCTCTGGTCTAAATAGCAATGCTTTATTAGTAGTATTTGTTCATACGAAACAAAAGTATAAAATGAAAGTTCAGCCCCTATATTTGGTATAAACAACAAAAAAAATTTAAGAAATAGAAATAGACTTACAAATAGGACAAAGGTGGCTTCAAGTAATAAAATTCGAAATAGCCTGATACAAAAAAAAATCTTGTTTTAATTGCGAAAACTTTGCGATCATTTTTACGCAAGTTCTGAAATGGAATTATTATTTTAGAAACTTGGCCAGACTGTTAATATAACATTAACAAATAGAAAATAAAGTTGGTTTCCATTCAATCTCGTTTAATAGAATTAAACTGCCAAAATATAATAAGTAATTCATACACATATACATTAAAATGCATGGTTAAAGCATCAAATAATTCAAATATATATTTACGCATCGAAAAAGACTGAAACTGAAAGATTATATTGAATGTAAAATAAGTTCTTACTTCACCAACTAGTAATCCAACTATCTCTTCACCTTCAGTGCACATAGCATGATTTAAACAAACAAAATATACATCGGTTGATAAATCAACACGTCTTAATGCCATTATTATGGAATTGTTTTAATATTCGAGTTAAATAAATGTATAATTATAAAATTAGATGTTGTTATGGGTTGGTCAAGTGTAGGTAAAATGATTGCTTTTGCGACTATGCATGGAAGTTGACTTTAGCTTGTAGCTTGCAATGGTAGAAAGAAAATTGTCTAAAGTCAAAGGAAATGTATAGCTAAGCACAGATGTCGCTAAAGGGTAAAACTCATCATAAGAAGTTCCTATTCCCAGTGCTGACGTAAAATATCCTCAGTGGTAGACGGATCTGACGCCCGGTGACTGAGCGGTAGCGCTTCGCGCTGTCGTGCCTCAGGTTCCTGGTTCGATCCTCGGGCCGGGCAAGATTGACTCAGCCCTTCAGTGGGTCGATAAATGAGTACCAAGCATGCTTGGGAATTAAACACTGGGGGTTCCGTGTTCGGTTGACCACCTGACCGGAACAACTGCTCCTGCACCCCAGAGCCCATGGTCAAGAAAACTGAGATGGGCACAGTAGGCCTTGGCCCTCTATGAGCCGTCGCGCCACTGAGTTTAGTTTAGATAGACGGATCATGGGTTAGAGTCCCCTTGCCGTCAGGTTTACCGTGAGAGGTTTTCCTCTCCATGTAACGGAAAAGCGGGTTAGCTCCATCAAAAAGTCTTCCACGAAGTTTTTAATCAAGTTTCAATCGCCCTGGATCAAGTACAAATTCCCAGTACTTGATCCAGGAGTTCCCTTATCTTCTGGATTGGGTTCAAAATTACAAGGTTAGCGGGGGTAGAACGTTAGTAGTCGCATACCCAAAAAATTGGATCGGCTGTTCAACGACAGTTATAATAAAATAAAATTTATGTACAAAAATACAATTTTGGGTGTATTTTTAGAGCTAGTTGTTTATTTGAGAGCTCGTAGCGATGTTTGAATTTTAATTTTGCAAGGTTTGATTTCTGTTTTCATTTTTTTTATTCCTTAGAATAGTTTGAGCTATTTATTAGTTATTTTTATTGTGGTCGTTGCATTGCAAAATTTCCTCTAATCAGGAAAACTTAATAAGGCTATGATCATTGTTGGGCAAAGGAGATTAAAAAAGAGCCTGTCTCATGTTCTTAAAAACAATTTTGCCAAGTAAAGGAAGCAAATTTTTCTAGTATCTCATGAATTTAAGAATAAGATTTAGCGATTCTGATAAAAGCAAAATAAATAATGTAGAAATCAAGATATCAAAAAGGTGAACAAAAAGTTTATTTTTTTAGAACAGAATGAGACAGGATTTTTTGGGTTGGAAAGGATGAAATGTGTTCTATATGTTATATAAAAGCAGCTTAATGAATGAAACTTTTTATTTTGTCTTTCCTATTTTCCCATGACAGATAGGGAACAGAAAGTTCTTCTAAAATTCGAAATTGGAGCATCACAGCTGAAAATTTTCTGATTAAAAATAATGTATTGGTGTGTAGTTTTCATAAATTTCAAGTGCTTTAAAAGCAACATGTGTAAAAAAATTTCTAAATCTATAATTTAAAGGAAATAACACAGTAAAAGCTCGCAAAAAAACAAAAAAGAAAAGAATTTTTATCGAATTTTGCAACGATTGTGATAAACTTGACATATTTTTTTTTATCATTGCACTTATTTAAATCTTCATTTTATCATGATACAAATACAAAAATTATCACTTATATAATACAATTTTATAACCTTTTTTAAAAATTATCTATAATTTGCTGTACTTCAGAAGTTAAAAAATTATCTAAATTTGATGTCGTTGTGATTTTTTTAAACTACATGATAGTAGTTTTTGTTGTATGTAGGATTTAAAAAAAAAAAAAAAAAGTATGCAAAATGCAGTGTTTTGAAAATAAAAAATATATATAAAATAAATTACATTTTTGTGGATTACCAGTCAAACCAAATCCTTACGCGCAACGGAAACTACATTTATTGCGAAAATAGCGTAAAAATTTGAAGGAAATTGGTTGAAAAGTGTACTAGTTAGAGATACAGCAAATTAGAGAATCGTTTCTAGAAAATTGAGTTAAAAACTTTGTAATCAATAATCCATATAAATATATAAAATTTTGCAATTATCTCTAATGCATCAATAACAGGTCCATAATATTTCTTCTCTATAATTTTCAGAAGTCTCAAATGCAAGTCTACCTCTTTTACTTGTTGATCTATCCATATGTGATGCTTCATATATTTTTAGAATAACTGCGGTCGTCTTCATTTTGAGATTATTCTTTGGCTGCTAGGACGTCATTTATTTCCAATAGTTCAACAGAGAGCGTAGCTAAAGATTTCAACAAAAAATAAGCACTCAAAAAATATTTCTAAGCACTTAAAAAATATATATATTATATAACTAGGCAGGGTTGGCAAGTTCTAGACAATTAATAAATTTAATCGTTATGTCATAAACCTCTTTTGACATAGTTTTGTTTTTGACAATTGTCACAAACCCAAAATTAACTAATAACATAAAGATAACTATTTTAATTTCGTTTTAAGATAATTTTAAAAAATTCAGGTCAAAATGAGTTGATTTTCGAGTCTTAAAGTATAGACCATTCAAAACAACCAAGATAACGCGATAAACCTATACATGCAGGTTCCTCATTAGTGAATAATACCCAAGTGAAAGATTTTAGAATTGATCGATTTATATGAATACAGCGAGAAGGCCATTAACTTGCCAGTGAAGAAGACGACGGCTCTTCACCAACGATGAAATTAACGAGAGATAAAATTTTATATCGCTATTAGAAAAAAAATTGGACCATGTTCAGTTGGTCCCCGTAATCAGCGAAAATTTGAGAGATTTTCTGTTCGATTTCAGAGGACGGAAAATGAAGCCTGGAATTGAGAATCTTTTGCAAAATACAGCAGAGTTGCACACGAGAGGGCGAAAATCCTTCCCACTGAATCCAGCTCTGTATACGAACAGTATACAGCGAACCCGCAAGTATTTCATCAAACATGTAAAACGAATGACGTCATGAGCTACAGACCGACGGTACGCCGAAATAGATAGAGGTTAAACTGTGAAAACGTTGAATAGAACTATCTCGTTTTGCATTTGGCGAAAATCAACTTAGTAAAGAAAAAATCTCATTTTGGAAAAGGGAAAATGAAGCATTTTTCAAAAACACCTAATGAAAAAAGCCTCTTTAAGGGCTTTTAAAAAACGAAAATAAGCAAGTTTTAGTACTGTTTAAAAACGCTATGCAAGCTGTTCCAAAACTATCAATCGTCTTTAAAATTCATTACTGCTAAGTAGGTTGCAAGTTGAACTATTAATATTGAAAGTACCATTCTTTTTCTTAGATGAAACAAATTATTTCGATAAAATAGTTTAACTGATAGTATTTCACTAAAATATTTTGATTGGAGTGAGCAAATCCATTAATCAACTAAGCGCACAAGTTTTATTTGATCATGCACGTCACAGCACATTCTGCACCATACTCATATTATGCTGTAACTTGTACATTTTTACGAAAATGAATTTAATATTTTGGTACAAACAAATCTTTAAAAGATAAACTATTTAAAAATGCAATTATTTTACTGTTGTTTCTCCTTTAAAAAAAAAATTGGCAAGCTTAGAAAACATTTATTTTTAAATACATTATTTCATTTTTATACCAGTTTTTATTTTAAAAAAAATCTTAATAATGATACGAAGCACCTAAAATTTCCAATCAAATTGAGAAATTGCAGTTTTTCTTCTTTCTAAATAAGGAACGAAAACAGTATTCTATCAAAACGAAGATGATTTATTGATTAAAAAACAAATACATAAAAATCCTTCAACAGAATGTACAAATTTTACAACAACAACAAATATTTATAATGATAGTCTCTTTTTTAAAATAAGAAATAAAAACTAAAATAAACAAACTGTAAATATACATCTTTGGCAGACACCATGTAATTGAAAAAATGATCAAACTTCCTGGTAACATAACAATAATTATCACAAAATGAGATCTTTAGAGGTTAAAACTTTAATGATTCACACAATTGTATTTGGAAATAATTTAAGAAATGTTTTAAATTTGTATGACTATAATAATTATATGAAGAAAGATCAACATTAAAACTGTTAATAAATTAGATAGAAAATGCTGAGTTTAATTACATATGAACTGGATATTGGTACACAATACCAAACTATAAATAATTTTTTTTTCCCATTACTTTCAAGCATTTGTAGAATCAAACCTTTATTAAAACATTTACATAGCATCCTTTACTTAAATTTAACACATTTAATTGATTCAAACTAAAAGAAAATAAGCACATTAGATATCGTTTGTTGTTATATAAGTATTCATAAGCCGTGCAATTGAAATATGAACATAAGCGGCAAAAAATTCATAATTGAGATTTTTATATATTTGGCATCTTTATGTGGTAAGTTACGAATTGCAAAAAAAAAAATTTTTCAAAAATAAATTTTGTTTTATCAGTATTTTAAAATTCTATTTCAGCCTTTATAGCATTAGCAATAGAAGAAGAAAAGTTGCCAAGCATCTTTTCTTGGAATCAACCTTGAAGCACTTACGTTGGTTTTTTCAATTGCATGGCAGTATTGCATAGGGTATTTTATGAATTTATAACAAAATTACATATGAGGTGTGTTTTCTTACACTTTAACTCAGAGCATGACATTTCAGTTCTTAAAGCACTATCCAGACTAAAAATTTTTGCTTCCCACTATTAAAAAAAACAAAAAAAAACGAAATATTTTTTAAAATGTTAGTGTAATAAGAAATTTTAGGTGACCAAACATTTTTTTGAATTAACATGCTTTTTCGAGATATCGAGAATATACTGTATAAGAAATGTTCTTATGCCTTCAACACTTCATGCTTGCATGCATATGCTACTGATTTTGGATACTAAAAAATATAATTTGTCACTTAAAGCCACTTGGTCAAACTATGTCAGGTGGGATTATTTATAAAAATTCTGACCAAATCATTTTTAGAAAATTTTGAGGTGGAAGGTTTACCAGAGTTGCGTCCAAATTTACAGCCCACTCTCAACTCTAGGATTATATTGCAGTTTGATTTTTGAAACGCAACATTTTAAAAGACAAAACATACTCATAAACCTAAATACTCGGCCCCCAATGGCAAGCTGGTAAAAATTTCGCGCCCTGCTCTAACTGTAATTTAACAAAAAGCTTTTGCAAATATAAATTAAGCTATATAAAGTAACATACCTTTACAAAATATTTAAAATAACTAAAAGCTTCTACTTAAACTAGTGTTACAATTTTTATGTGTTTTATTTTGTAGCTTCAAAGTAAAAATTAAGAGTATAGTTTTGCTACAAAGTATTTTTTTTTTATTCACTGTACGTTTTTATCTAATGTCAATTATTAAAATTTTTTAAATTTTCTATTTTTATCAATACTAGTAATTAAAAGTAGTAAGTAAAATCTAATATTATTTGGGCACTTGCATTTCAAGAAGAAGACCATACATACCCACACATGTGACCTACGGCGCCAGTTGATCATTTGTGAGTAAAATGGCGTGCTACAGTTGTGCTAAGCTTGTCCACATAAGTTAAAATGTTAATGACAGTTAATTAAATACAGGACCTTATAGCACATTGAATTTGTAGAAATATAATTCTCTCACATCTACATCTTTTATTAAACTTAAATTTATTATTTGTTTATGTATTTTATTGTAACCGTGATATATTTTTATTTTGCATACGTAGCAAATTCAATGCATAATTAGTTCATGTTTTATGCTTTGTGCCTTTCTTTGTGTTGAATTAGAAAAATAAAGTGAAATAATTAAAATCTTTGTGAATGAATCTAGAATGTGTCACTTAAGAGAATTAATACTTGACAGGCTTGGCTTTCTAGAAATAGAATGGAAAGAACAGTTGCTAACGTAAAAGCGAATAGAACACAAATCAAGTATAGGAATGAACATACTCTATGTTCAGTACATTAGACAAGAACCTTCTAAAGTGTCTAAACACCAATTTTTTTTTTTTTACAAATATAAAAAGAGTGACAATGTTTTGAAAGTTGCCCATACATGCTACAGAAAACTTTTAAAAATGTTCAACATTGGAAAAAATTAAGAAGATTTAAAAATACTATCACAGGGTGCGTAGCCCAATTTTTGAACAAAAAATAAGTACCTATTAAGCACTAAAAAAATATATATATATTCTTACATTCCTTAATTTTTAAAAAAAATATATGGATAATTCCGATTTGTGATTTGTCACACCAACTACATGTGCCAAATAGATTTTAAACTTGCAATTAAAAAAAAAAAAATTCTAGATGTTTGTCCAGGGGTGGCCACTACAAAGCCCCCACTATACTCTTTGGCTACTATTCGAGTATTTCCTTTTCTGTGATGTTTCTTTTAGTTTCTTGAGGGCCACTGCCCGGAAGTTGCCAAGACTTGGCGATTATTCTGCTACCGATCAGGATACCGAAATCTCCCCAAATATAGTTAGGATATGAGCACTGATAAAAATTATTTCTTCCTATTATTGAAAGTTCATGTATATATGAACTTTAAAAAATAGGAAGGAAATTTTTTCATTAGTGCGCATATCCTAATAATATTATTATTACGGTTGAATGAGTTGTGAAAACATTGGATAGAATAGTGTGAAAGAAATGCTTTTGGCATACTCAGGACGAAAGCCAACATGATAAAAATATATCATTTAGGAAAAGTAGGCATAAAACTTAAATCCAATGAAAAAAGCACCTTTAAAAAATGTAAATCGAAAATAAGCACCTTTAAGAACTGTCTAAACACGCTATGCACCATATATTACTAAAGGATATAGATTTGATGCTTAGACACAGAGGAAGGTTCTTGTATAGAGAACTATAATATGCCCATTTCTGTACTTATGTGCTACTGCTATACTTTCACATCGGCCTATGTAGCAAAGTATACCCTATCTTTTTAGATGCAAGTATATTTTATTTTAAAAGTAACAAGCTGATTGATAAATCTCACAAAAGATATAAATATGAACACTTAGTATTAAAAAAATACCAATTTCTCTTTTTTAAAAAAAATAAAAAATATAATAAATAAGATATTGAAACACTACTGATGATCTATACAAGAGTTAGATTGTATGTAAAACAAAATAAGAATGATTTGAGTGAAAATGCAAAACAAATGATTTGACATATTTTTTCAACTTCTTATCTCATTAGCTAAACACATGGTGATCATTGTTCTTTCATTTTCAATGAATGCAAGTCTAAAAGACCAGAGTACTTCACAAATGAACAAATTAAGACAAAATATTCTATCACATTGAATCATCCATTTTTAATGGCTGGTGGTAAATCACTAAAATAGAGATGTAACATTGCTTCATCTGCCGATGTTCTCAATGCTGGATTGCAAACTAGAAGTTTCTATCAAAAAATTATAATAAAAAGATCCATTAATACATATAAATAAGCCGAAAATCAAGGAAATAAAATTTAAGTTGGTGAATGAAATTTCAGTTCTACAGGTACTAGCCAGACTAAAATTTTTGCTAGCCACATTTTCATCAAAAATATGAGTAATATTTAAAATGTTAACAAATGCAGGGCTGATTGTGAGTCCAACTCAAAAATCCTGAAAATTTCTTGAGTAAAATCATTAATGACACATTTCAAAAATTTCATGTCTTTATAAATTTATATCATTGATATTTTCACAACATGAAATTCTAAATAAGTTATATGCAGCATAATTGAAATTAATAATTAATAAGCATACTTTGAAATTAGAAATTAATAAGCATACTTTTATCTCTAATCACATTTATTATTCTACCAGAAAAAATATTTACAAATGAAAGAGATGCCAAATATAAATTCTAGTTCTAATATTTTAAATAAAATATACAAGAATTTTTAAACATAAATGTGATTGATGATTCTTTGAAACTTCTGAACCTTGGATTTCCAAAAATTTCCGGAGCCAAAAACTATAAAAGAATGCAGAAACCAAAAAATGGAAACATATTTAAGTCAAAGAATTAGCAGAAAGAAAAGTAACTTAAAATAAGGTTCCTATAAGGTTTCAATATCCTCCACATATTATTAAAATAAGAAAAAATATTAAAAAATTTAAATAGAAATACCATTGGTCAATTGCAGCCCTAGTGTTAAACTCTGTCACTTTTAAGTCAAGCTGCTATTTACTCGCTACCTTTAATTATTCGGTCGCCGTGTAGCACAGTGTAGAAATTTTGCACAATGATTTATTGTAATATTATATGCAAGGTGTGAAATTATGCAATATATAGCAGACTGAAAATAACAAACATTTAAATATGAGCTGTGATGGATCAGGGGCAATGAGGCAAACCGGGTTCAAATCCCAGCAATGGCTGGTCGATACAAATTCTGCATCCGACCACAGTGCTCAGGGGTAGAAATTAAAAAAAAATTACTAGTCCATAGGACCAGTAACTAAAACATTTTACTAGTCCGCACAACTTTACTGGTCCGTCTACGCGTTCCTATTAGCTGCAAATAAAAAAAAAATATTAAAATTTTTGATTGAAAAAATCAAGATTTTTTTTTTTTTTTTTTTAAAATCATAAATTTTTGATTTAAAAAGCATTTTTTTTGATTAATATTAATTTCGTATAAAAAAAAAAAANAAAAAAAGTGAATAAGCCGATGTAACGCATGCGCAAAACAAGATTTAACTTCGCCTTCCTCAGGATCGCGCGCTAGCTTTATTTATTATTTTAAATGTTTTTTTTTTACGGAGATCTCGCACGCTAGTTTTTTTTTTTTAAAACGCAGATCGGCTGCGGCGGATGGTGGTCCGGCGGGCCACTGTTTATTATTTTATGCTGGTCCGACTCCGATTTTAGTGGTCACGGACCAACGTTAATTTCGAGCCTTGGTGCTGATGTAAAATATCTTCTATCGTAGATGGATCATGGCTTAAGAGTCCCTTTGCCTTCAAGCTAACCATGGGAGGTTTTTGCGTTTTCCTCTCCATACAACACAAGCGCGGGTTAGTTCCATCAAATTAATCTCCCACAAAGCCAAATTTCTCTCAATACTTGATCCAGGAGATTGCCTGTCTTCTGCATTGGGTTTAAAATTACAAGCCTATGGAGTTGAATATTAGTAGTCTTAAACCCAACGACTGGGTCGGCTGCTCAACGACGGTTTTAAAATAAAATTAAACATACATAATTGGTATAGTAAGCACTATTTACAGAAATAACTAGCAATGACGCTATGCCCTATGTTCTCACTTAAAGAAAAACCCTGAAAATTTTGTGTTATAAAATTTATACACTTAATACTTACTTGTAATAAGTCTTTTCCTTTAGAGTTAAGTTTTGGTACTACTTGAGAAAAACTAGCTGTTGGATGGTAAAGAGGAAAAGGCTGAAAAAAAAAATAGACATAAGCAATTAGAAACCACAAGCAAGAAATAAAATAGCCATAAAAAAAACTACTATAAGTTTTACCGACAGCTTCATTAGCTAACAGCAAGAACAATTCACATTGAAAAATATTAATTTTTTTGAGGTGCAAATTGTTAATGCTGTTCATCCAATGAATATTCTAAATATATGGAAAGAATTTTTTTTTAAAATTTAAAGTATATAAAAGAAAAACATTCGAACACTATTTCATAAAAATTTTCATGGAAAATATAGATGTTGAGAATTCGTTCAAATTAATAGTAAAGTAAGCAGACATACCTTATAATCAGGAAGTTGAGTCATTCCTGGCCAAGTTTCTTCCGTTGGTGTCCCCAAAAGTATGAAAACGTTAAAGAAAATAATAATAAATAAAATAAAAAATGAATTTAAAAAAACTTTAAATGCCTTTGAAATAAATATATCTTTTAAGTAAAACAAAATAAATGGGGTGTAATGTATCAGGCCATTTTGTGGTGCACCCTGGGTAATACTAAATCCATCAAAATTTGCATTGTGTGGAACTATTTCACTTCTACTGCTTTACAGTATTGAGATGTAAGACAATGGCCAATGACTTAGTGGCTAAATGCTTGCATTTGTATAAATAAATAAAGAAAATAAATATGACAAAATGTGTCAAGTAATTATTTTTGGAAAAAATTGCAGATAAAAAAAGGCGATAACATATTACTATTTCAAACCAAAGCACACAACCGTCTGAAACTCTTTAACCAAACTGTGTTTTGGTTTGAAATAGGAATATTTTTAAGTAAGTTTTTTCAATGATGTTTTCCTTTGCTTAGCTGTGAAGTTTATGCAATTTACTTTTGTATTTTGCACTTCTTTTCTCTTTTCTTGAACTTTTTACAAAACCTTTCGGGTACAGAGAGAGCAATTTTTAGACTTTTGTCATACTGTTTTGATTTAAGAGTTTTTGTGTTTCAATGACTTCTTACGACGTCAGCTTCGGTTGTCATTTTTATATTTTCATTGTTTTCTTTTTAACATTCTCTATCGTTCTAAATAACATTCTTTCTAACTTTTTGTATTTTACACAAATTAAAAACAGGTAAACAAGCAGATACATAAATTAAATTATAAGGAAATAAGAAGAGTTTGAAAAATATTTTGAGGGCAAAAAGGATACTTAAAAATGCGTTTTAACTGGTCATCAACATCACTTCCAGGAAACAATGGTCTACCAGCATTAGCAAGTTCTGAAATAACAATTTCTTTTTTTTAATTATGAAAGAAAGAAAAAGAAACCAATAAAATTAATAAGGAGGGAAGTTATAATTTTTTTTTAGTTCATTATATGAGATCCCTAACAGATATTTTTTAGAGAATAAAAGAACAAAATAAAAATTACAACAAGTTTTGAATACACAATACATACTTCATAAATAAAAACAATACATTGAATATTTTCAAAGTGACAGAAAAACTAAGTATCAGCTGAAAACAAAACAAACTGGTGAACCAACAGCAGTGGCTTTTAACCACTGTTCCTTGATGCCTTTTCATGGTTTTATGAACTTTAAAAAAGTGCTTCATCAAAAATTTCATTTTAAAAAACAATTTCGAAATGAAATCACATAAGATCACAAAATCCTATTAACTTGGCCGATATTGAAGCCCGTCTAAGCAGGCCTGGACGGTGAAATATCATAAAAACCCTCCATATACACAAGAAGATTACTACCAGGGGTCTGTCTAGGTTTTTTTGAAAGGTACCTATTTTGTGAAAATTTAGACATAATTTGTGAAAAATTAAAAATTATATTACAAAATCAATACAAAAACATGGTAAAAATATAGATTTATCGTTTCTTAAGGGATACAAAAATAAAATTTTAAGAAAAAGTATTTTGTGAAACTACCGTTTTTCCTAAAGTTGAATTTGTGAAACTACCGTTTCACCTAAAATTGAATTTGTGAAGGTACCGCTAAACGGTAGTAAATTCGGCCTGGACAGACCCCTGACTACTGATACTGACGTTGCATAACTTAAAAATATTCCTTTACTGTCACAATAAGACCCAGAAAACATGTAACCTTATGGTGGAATTTTCTTTCTATTGTGACTAAAATGTTTGTACTAAAAATCTTTTTGCAATTAAGCAAAAATATTGCAGTTTTAAACCTTTCATCCCAAAAGGATTAAAAATTATTTTTTAAAGAGTATTGTCACTTAAGTCCATAATGACGTCACTCTAGCGATAGGATTAAATTGCATTGTAAATTCAAGGCAAGGTGAACTGTTACTAAGCATACAAGACTTTGCAAAAAGAAACCTTATAATTACCTAGATTTAAGATTATTTTCACCTTGAGACTAGCTTTATTAATGAATTTTTTCAAGCTTGAAAACCCTTAGTCAACTTTGATTTAAGATTTTTTATATAGAAGGTTGTTTTAAAGTTAGAAGGTTGACATGTAAAATGCATTACAAACCTTATTAGGTTTACATTAAAAGGTTTTTGTTGAGTTAAAATAAACCTTATTTTGCTATCCAGATATCTGTCAAAAATTTTGTGAATTAGTTGTTCAAAATACTGCTAAAATCAAATAATAAATTACAGTAATTTCAAACTTTTAAAAGTTTATAAAACAAATTTAAATACACATATTTTGTAATATATGCATGAACAGCAATGTTCAGAATTGACTATTGGATAATTTCAAAAGATCTATTTTAAGCAAATCAGATTACCAGCAAAAATGCATCCAGCTGACCACATGTCAATTGACGTTGTATAAAGTTTTGCACCAAATAGAACATCTGGTGGTCGGTACCACAGTGTGACTACCTACAATACATAAAAAAAATTACAAAATGAATTTAAAAAAAAAATCATTTAGTTTAAATGTAAAAACAAAACGATTGTCCACATTTTATGCAATGAATGCTTCCTAAATTTAAAAGTAGTTTACAAGTGTGTTTCCTAAATTTAAAAGTAGTTTACAATTCTTTTTGATATATAAATTGCATTAAGACATCACATTATATTTATAACTTACAAACTAAAGACCAAAAAAGTTCAAGCCTTATGAAGAAATAAAATATTTAATCAGGCATGAAAGTGGAAAAAAATAAAAAAAAGCTTAACTTTTACAATGTAGACACTGGGAAGAGGTGGGGGGAGAGTGTTCTATGGAATACTGTGATATCAATAAGATATATAAAAACAGAAGTTCTAACTCTGCCATGAGACTTTTATTTCATATTAAAAGTGTCAGAAGCATTTAGACAGCTAAATCATTATTTCTTAAGAGCATACTAAAGGGAAAAAAATTGGCGCCAAGTACAACTATTGTTCGGACGGCTGGGGTTTCCGCAGTCGGGAGGGGGATCTGTATCAATTGGATCCCCTAAAAAATTACGTTTTTGGAACACTGTCAAGAGAACTATAATGCACGGATGCACAAACTCATTATGCGCCGCACCATAGAGGATAACCCCATATTGAATATCGGTGGCCAAAACAGCTTAGAACTCAACTAAGAACCTCATCCTCTTTGCTCTAAAAGTTGGGTTGTCAAGGCAACGGCACACCTGCCGAAGCTCCACCCATTTCCTTCTGATGATCATTCTTTCTCAAGAGGCTACTGCAGGGAAAAAAGATCACACCAAGTCCGGGTATCATTCGGGTGGCTTGAGTTTCCGCAGTTATGAGGAGCAATTACGTTTTCAGAACATTTTGGGGAATTTTAAACATTGGGAGGAAGAGGATTTCTGCTTTTTCGTAAAAGTCTTTCATCCCTGATTGAATTGAAAGAGAGAGAGAGAGAAAAAAAACACTTTATTACTTCAGCTGAATAACACCTGACAGGTATACCAAAAGCACGTGCCAGACCAAAATCTGCTAACTTCAGTTCTCCATTCTGAAACAGAGAGCAAAATACACCTGAGCTGTAAAAGTTATCAAACACTTATAGTAGAAAAACATTTTTGTTAAAACTTTGTTTAGGTTGTTACCTTATTAATGAGCAAATTTTGTGGTTTGAGATCTCTATGAAGAACATTATGACTGTGGCAGAAAGCTAATCCCCTCAAAAGTTGGTACATGAATGACTGTAAATCAGAAAGAAAAAAAAAAATCAACACTCATAAACCTTAATATTTATAAATTACAGAGTTAATAACTAGGGGTACCAGAATCAACAAAGTTCTAAGAAGGTAAGAATAATGTTAAGACTTTGGGAAAGAGTCTGGGACAGAGAATTTCTTGGGAAATGTAATTTTTAAAATTCCTTTAAATTAACAAAATTTCCCCCTTATTTGAGTTTCACCTAAATTCTGAATCTAAAAGAGAAAACAAAAGACAAATACACAAAAGTTGAAATAAATGTTTCTTTTAGAAGATTTAAAACAATTAATAAAACCAATTGTTTAGTTTTTATGCAAACACATGGATTAAAAAAAAAAAACTATCTTCAAATTAAAAATTTATTATTTCACATACAGAGGTAAAATATCAATAAAATAGGGATAATATTTACATGTTTCTATTTATTGCTAGCACAGAAAAAAAAGGAAAGATAAGAAAAGAATAAAGATAAGGAAAATGCAATCTGCCGCTCACACAGTGTGGGCACTCTATTCCTCCATAGCTGCCAACATGGATAGGAAAAAATCCACTAGATTTTATGAAATATAAATTTCATAACAATGCACTAAATATTTTTAGCAAAGGGAGTTCATAGTCATAAAAATAGAAAAACTGCAATATTTTTTCTGTTATGAATGACATTAAATGGGCTTGAAAAATAACGTATTATGTTTACTGAACATTTCGAATAGTAATAGGCATTTAATTCATCAAAGATAGTTAAAATATTTCTTTTTGATTAATTTAAAAAGGTAGTTTTGAATAAAAAATAAACTGAACATTTTAGAACAAAAACAGTTTTAAACTGATTTTTATAAATGAGGCTAGCTTTCAAAAATACACAAATACACTTATTTCAATATTCAAGCAAGCAAATATCTGAGTAAAAATTCTATTTCAATAGGGACTTTTTTAAAAGAAAACTAACTCAATTTTAAAGAATTTTTTAAAATGCTTAAAAACCAGAAAAATCAAGTAGTCTACTGGAAAATCCAGTAGAGTTGTCAGCTATGCTCCTCTGACCCTCAAACTGTAGCATTCCTGAACTGAATAGCGCTGAATACAAAGCTTAGGGAAACCACCGAAAGATATGTTAACTAAACTCAGCGGCGCGACAGCCCTAGAGGGCCAAGGCCTACTGTGCCCATCTCAGTTTTCTTGACCTTGGGCTCTGGGGTGCAGGAGCAGATGTTCTGGTCAGGTGGTCAGCCGAACGCAGAACCCCCAGTGTTTAGTTCCCAAGCATGCTTGGTACTAATTTATCGACCCACTGAAGGGATGAAAGACTGAGTCAACCTTGTCCGGCATGAGGATCGAAGCAGGGACCTGTGGCACAACAGCGCGAAGCGCTACCGCTCAGCCACCGGGCGTCAGATATGCTAACCATTAAGACAATATACTTTTCGCATATTTTACTATATAGTACTAGAAACAATTCTGTTAATTAAGAACAGGGTTACATTGATAACTTCATAAGAGTATATAATTTAACTAATTGAAATGACATCTAATTTAACTATTCGAAATAACACATAACTTTCAGAACTTAGGTGAAGTTGTAATTTTTCATAGGGAAAAAAAGGGCTGAAATTCGCAAAAAAAAGATGAAAGTAAGGAAAAGCAAATTAAAAATAGAATTACACACAATATATGGATTGAAACATGACAAAATAATAAAACATAAGCACATAAAAGAGTTGAAAAATTAATTCCTTCACTTTTATACATAATCAGGGGTTTGTCTAGGTTTCTTTGAAAGGTACCTAATTTGTGAAAATTTTGACATAATTTGTGAAAAATTAAAAATTATATTAAAAAGTCAACAGAAAAACATGGTAAAAATATAGATGTATCGTTTCTTAAAGGGTTACAAAAATAAAATTTTAAGAAAAAGTATTTTGTGAAACTACCATTTTTCCTAAAGTTGAATTTGTGAAACTACCGTCTTACCTAAAATTGAATTTGTGAAGGTACCGCTAAACGGTAGTAAATTCGGCCTGGACAGACCCCTGATAATGAATATTTATATTTAAATGAGTAGTATCTTGATACAAAACATTGTAAAATTATTGTCGCTTATGTTTTATTGTTCCGCCCAGTGCGATAGCCATGAACTATCTCAAATTTCAGTAAATTTCTTGGTCAGAGGAGGAGTTCACTAAACCTTTTAACCCGTTTACAATTTCATTATACTTTAGTGTGGTATCTTTAATTATTAATTTATCATTGAAAGGGTAGAAAAGCCTTCTTATTTGACAGAAATTGCAGCACTTCTGAATTATTTTCCATCATTTTGTTAGTGACCTATTTTAAATATTTCTACATTGAATTTTGAAGCCGCAGAAGCGTTCTCAATGCTATTAAAATTTAAGTGAAGTATTAAAAAACCGGAATTCTCAAATTCGAAATTATTTTCGCGCAAATAACAGCATTTTGAAAAATTCTGAGATTTCAGGAAATTTTTTTTATAATTTGCGGAAATCATAGCGAATTCTCGTGCAACGTCAAACTAGCAAATCTAATCATAAACAATTAATAATTTAGTAACTTATTAAAATGAAGATAGGGATGACAATGTGCTATATATGAAATAGCAATGCGAATAAAGCACAAAAAAATGGATATACTACAGTTTCAATTCTAAAGACAAGATCTAAAGACAAGTTCCATTTTTTTTTGTTATTGATGTTGTTTAGCTTTATTTATAGTTATCTTTTATGTACGAAAAAAAAAAGAGAGAGAAGATTAAATTATGATGCATTAGCATCAATATATAAAAATTTCCTTTAAAAAAAACACTAACATATTAGCAAATATTTGGGTTTTTCTTAATTGAAAACAGAAATGAGAATGTGCAGCAATGCTTTAGTGAAGTTACAGTTACACTTTTCTGAAAGAGTAGAGATAATTTTTCAGAATATTAATAAATCTTTAAAAATAGTATAAACAATATGGATAAATATACTAACTTTGACAACATCAGCATCTATTTCACCATTCAAACTGTCAAAATATTTTTTCAGATCTTGATCACAATGTTCAAAAACTAAGGTTAACTTTTTTTCACTGTGAAGTACATCATGTAATCTAAAACATAGTGCTATATTCAATTACAAAACTACAAATCAAGAAACAAATTATAAAATAAAAAACATTGAACATATTTAAACAAATTTTACATCAAATTATCTACAACAGCTTTCTTTTTGTGAAAAATTTACAACTTTATTAGATATTTTTCCACATACAATGGCCTTTCATACTGATATTTCAATTGAACACATGTGTCAAAATTATTAATCAAGACTTCAAACAAAACAATTTCGAATTTTCCTGTTATATTTTAGTATAAAATTGAGAGTCGTTTGAAAAAATTCTCATAAATATTATGGTTTGTAATATTCATTCAAGAGAAATTTAGCAGATGATCTATCAATTGACTATTTAAAAATTCTATGATATGATTACTAATCCAAATATATTCTTAAAATCTGATAAAAGAGATGAATCAATAATTGTGAGCCTCCTACAAGATTTTTTACTGCATTTCCTGGAAATAATAAATTACAGTATGACCCTTGAATTCTTCACTATAAAACTTAATAATTGAAAATTGTTAATTGGGTTTTCTTTTGTATGAAATGGCTCAGTTCCCAAAAAGTTTGAAAAAATGAATCCTGCGGGGATGGTTATTTTTCTGAACAATGCATGTAATTCGTGGATGGTCCTATAGGTTTAAACTATTAAATTTTGCAATTTTTATTAACATTATTAATAAAATCAAATTATGTTGGATAGAAAATTTTAATCCATCAAGTCTTAAAATCTATCATTTTAAAACTCACATCTGTATTCGTTGAAAATAACAAGCTCGGTAGACATAGTCCTAGCAGCAAAGGAAAAAAAAAATTATTTTAAATAAAAAAAATCTGTGACTGGTCCCAAATCAAGTTACCCTAGTTTTAATAAATATAATTATACAATTTTATGTATTCATGTAAATTAGCTCGATTTAACTTATGAACAAAGAAAGACTTTTTCAATTTATTATATTTTGAATGACACAAAGATTGTAAGAAAATAATAAATTTTTTTCTGCAGATGAATCACCTAATAAGCCAGACTTTTAATGAAAAGAAGAATTAGTCAATTAAATATTTTAAATTTTGAACACAAATAGGGCAAACTATTGACAAAAAAAAATTCAAACTTTTTTTTCCCCAATGCAGCAGGCGATATAGACATTATCCTAACGCCGTACAGAGATCAAAAGAAAAGAAAAATACAAATACAGAAAGATATGAAATATACAAAATACAAAACATCTAACACAAAAATTAAATCAAGAACTTAAGTTGAACAAAAGTTCTCTGGCCTCCCAGTATCGGGAGTAGATGCAGTTCTAAAAAAATTAAACTAGAGTACCATAATTCCATGAAGATACGCCACTGTGTTTATGATGTGAAACATTAAATTTGGATATGTTCGGCGTATCTAATAGGGCAGCCTATACAGTTTTTTTCCTTCACTACTTTAACTTGAAAACTATATTATGTTGAATTGATTCTTCAAAATTTCCCTATACCTCTTCATATTTTAACCTTCTGCAGAAATCTATTTTTATAATTTACGATTAATAATAATTTTAAGAATTATCAATGCAGGTGAAAAACAATTTGCAAGAATTGTAACAAAAAGACAACAGACACTCGGCAAATTTTTCAACAAAAAATAAGCACCTTTTATGCACTCAAATATTTTTAATCACTTTCCAAACAAAAAAATATCATAATTAGGATCTGCACAGTAATAAAAATTAGTATTTTTTTCGACCTTTTAAAGTTCTTTTTTTATAAACATAAAATCAATAAAATTTAAAAATATTTTCAAAAACTTTATGATCACGATAAAACAAATAGTTTCTGATAAATATTAAAGAGAAAATCATGAAATTTTTGTAATTCAGAACAATTGATACGGCAAAGAAAAAATCTGTTTTCAAAAAGATATTTTTTACAAACACCGAATAACACATGCACCGAATAACACACAAAATACATAAGGCATTGCAGACACACAAAAATCAGAGATATTAGTACAAAAAACAGAAAAATCAAGACAAATGATCTTTTATCAAGAATATCAATACAACTATGAACCCTGTAGGTCTAAAAAAATAAAAACAGTAAGATTTTTTTTTTCTTTCAATAGATTAGATTCTTATGCTTACCTAACAATATTTTTGTGCTTTAGCTCCTTCAGCAAGCATATTTCTCTCAATGCTGAACTTGGAACACCCTAAAAATATTATGCAAAATAATTAAAAATCCACAAGAAAAAAGAAGTAACTAAAAGATATTACCAATCCTTACACGCTCATATGTTTTCGTATCGTCAAGTTTTTGTTAATTGACAGTTTAAGCAACCATATTAAAAACCTCTTTTGAACACAATGTCAAAAACGCAAAATTTTTGTGCAGAACATAATTATGAGTATGCGTAATTATAAAACTTCAAGTTATCCATCTTTAACATTCTTTAATAATTTTGACATTAAACTCTTCTTTTTTTTTTGTTTTGATAAATAATATCAAAAATTTTGGCACAGAGAATAAGAATCTATTATATAAATGTTAATTGTCCGGAATATTTAATCTAAAACTATTTTAACATGCATTAAGAAATTTATTCCAATAATTGCACTAAACAATAAATGTACTATTATTGGAATAAATTTTGAACAACACTTGGATTGAATGCTTGTAAATATTAATAATCGATTTAAGCAAACATTTATATATTTCGTAAGTTACAATTAGTTTACATATCAATGAACATAGAATCATGATTTATAGATAATGTTTATGTAAAATGTGTTAATAACATAACTTTGCAGACATATGAACATCGTGTATAATATAAAATGCTTCCTTTATAATTTCCCATCTTCCTTTTCATGGGTGGTCGAAAATGGCAACTACTGGGAAAGGCTTAGCATCACAATTTCTTGTGCCAAAAAAATCGTTACAGCTCCATTTATAAGTTCTTAACTTATTCAATAAAAAAAGTTGGTGTTGCCATTTAAAATTTTGTCACTTTACCTATAACCATCAAAGCTTTTCCTGTATATAGCAGCATTAACAAAAAATATTGAGAATCAAAAAGAATTTTACAAGTTGAATTTTGGCTATTATTGGCGACCACTTTAGTTTTACATGAGCTAAAAAATCTGCCTAAATATTAACAAAAAAGAATTAAAACCAATATTTAAATTGATAAAAATTAACAGCTTATAGTCATTATCTGTAATATAAACTGAATAGTTATAGAATATATCAAATAATAATGATCTTAAAGTATAAATAGTTCCATGTTTTTTGAAAAGTAGTTAATGTTTTTTAATAATGTTAGCTGTATTTTTGATGCATGGTATATAATGTAAATCATTATTATAGCAGTACTTATAGTGCAATTATTGTGATTGATTTATACACAGCGATAAAACTAATAAAATGTCCTCAATGGCAGTTTTCAGAACCAAATGTGTTGTGTCGACATGTCTTTAATAAAGTTAACTAAGAAAATTTAAATGTAAAATTATTATGTAGAGAATACGTTATATTCACAATTATGATGAAATATGCTATTTTGTGACAAAAATACAGCTTCGAATTACAGTAATACAATTTCCAGCTTTAAGTTTCTAGTTTCGGACTGTATTTCGTCATAAAAATACAGACAAAAACTCAAAATCCCTTTACATTGATTGCAAGTTTAGGGGACCACTAATAATTTATTTAACAAATTTGTAAATACCTCTTACAACCGCGGAAAATAAATTTGCCTTTGGGACACACTTAAGTACTTTAAAAACCATTTCCGCTCAGGAATTTTTTTTCTATTAGCCAGCTAATTTACAAATACCTAAAACTCTATACAATTAAACAAAAAGCAAACTTTTTTAAAGGTTTTTGAATCATAATTAAGCTTGACAAATATGATGAAAAAGCCTGTTTTATTCTTAATTATAAATTAGATAGCTATTTTTGTATTACACACATAAAATATACATGCATATAATTCATTACCTCATCATCATCATCTAATCGAACTCTTTTCAAGGCCACTATTTCTTGAGTCTCCCTGTTTTTTGCTTTAAAAACAGTTCCATAAGTACCTATCAAAACAATAATTAAAATATTTGAACAAAAATCAATTTAATTCCTTAATTAAATTAATTTAATTTAAAGAGTGCAAAAGAGATATTCACAAAACGTATGCTGGAACTTATTTTAAAATCTCTTAACAGGGTTGCCACAGAAAAAAATTGAACAAAATAGTTGCTTTTAGTAGCCTAAAACATGAAAATAGTAGCCAAAATATAGGAAAATAGTTGCCTAGTTAAGAACAAAAATTCATCAAAAATATGACTAAAATTTTGTTAATGACTTAATTGTCATATACCATGATCCATTCAGTCAAGTTGGTGGCAAATATGATAATTTTTATATGAGCGTAAATGTTTATACATATGAAAAGTAATTACTCAAATTCGAAACTCATGCATCGTAATATCAGACTAATTTTTTTTCTTTTCTAAAAATCATGCTGAATTTCGTAGCAATAATCATTGAAAAACGATCGAGAAATGAAATAGACTTACAATGGAGTCTGTGCAGATTGAACAAATTAAAAAGTGAAGACTTAAATTTGCAATTCAAAATTTTAAAATTTTTTTATTTTATAAGGAAAAAAAAAAGTTCAGTGTGTTCAGAAACTATCTTGTGGAGTTCAGATTTTCCACTCAATTTAGGCTTAAAAAAAAAAACATTGCTAGGAGTTTAGAAAAGTCTCCCAATAGTTTAATTTTCCTGAAAATAGTTGCTTTTTTTTTTTTTTAAAGCTTTTTCAGGCAAAAAAAGTTGCCTTAGTCGCCTTATGCCGAAAATAGTTGCATTTTAGTCGCCTGTGGCAACCCTGTCTTAGTTTCATACAGAAAGCTTATAGAGCAGTGCATATGGAACATGTTTCGGAACATGTTTTTGATAACAAAATTCGATTAATAATACAAAACAAATAATAAAATTCGATAAATAAGGTTTGGCAAAAAATGTTGCTAAAATCATACACTTGGGTGACAAATATGTCACTTTAAAATTTACAAAATTGAAAAAAAAAATAATAATAATAATAATAATAACAAATTTGCATTGAATTTCCTACATTTAAAAAAAAAATTTTTGTACCAATTTTCCAGTTCTACGCATGGTATCAAATTCAAATGTATGGTATTCAAATATAATAACTGGAAGTGTCTGGTATAAAATGCTGAATTTTTAAATTTGCATGTTCTACTGTGCTTAGCATCTATTTACTGACAGCATAATTGTTCATCAATAAAATATTTTTTTGCTCCTTTAGAATTGAAATTTTTTAAAAATAATTTAAATAATTAATTTTTTAGAAATTTTTTTAACATATATTTTTTGTTAGAATTCATACTTCTAAAGTTTCAGTATTTTAATCTCTATGTTATATAATCGTATTTTACCTTTCATTCACATAATTTTAATAAATGTTTGGTATTCTGTCCTGATTTAAAATGTTGTTCTTTGTTGTAATCGGTGAGACTTTGGAAATCGCAGGCTAATAGGACGCAAGACTTCCGTATTCCTAGGCAGTGGTCAGAAATAGTGCATTACAAGTAGTGAAACAACTGTAGTCCCGACTTTTTGTTGTAGTTAGTAGTGTGCTACATTTTTTAAAAAGTAGCATAGCGAGCAATGGGATAACATTAAAACAGTAGTTTGCAGCGATTCCTTGCAATTACTTTTAATGTTAATTTATTAAAGAAACACTGCTCTAAAGCAACTAATTTTTCGCATTTGATGGGTACAAACGTTTGTAGGTCTGTCAATGGATGGAATAAAAACAGCCTTGCATTAACAGGGATTATGTATTTAGAATCATATGTAACTAAATATTTAAATTAGCTCTTATGGAAAATAGATAATTTAATCACTTTGGTCACACTTTTACATGCAGATGTACAATCATGAAAGTTTGATGTAATTTCAAAACAAGGAAACATATTATCGATGTACTTAATTTCTTAGAGGAAATAAATAAAAAAACAATAAAAAATTTCAAGTATTTCTTAAATTGAATATGCACTGTCTAGAAAATCTTAAAAAGTTAAAGGTTAAGCAAATAAATTCAAAATTTTTTTTTCTCAATTAATCCCTTACATTTATCGTAAGTTCGTCTCCTTAAAGTAGTAATAACTACAATTCTAAAGTAGTTTGTAATCACTACATTTAAAACCAAATAGTTGTAGTCAACTACATTTGTTACAAAGAAGTTGGAGTAAACTACAAAAATAATGTACTTTTTCCGATCATTTGCGGAAAAGTCCCTTTTAACTAAAAACGGATACCTATTTAAAAAATGAATTCCACAATTAGTCATATTCGAAATATTACTCATAATATCAACACACTCATGCTCTGTTAATAAAAGACCATACTCATCTGAAACATGAAGAAAATTATCATACATTACAAACAGCCAATCACCACACTCCTGTCTACTTGATGATTTTTGAAAAAATAAATAAAAATAGGGACAACTCTTTATTTAGAACAGCAAACCCTCACAGCAACAACATTGTTGAACATTTTTTAATGAATGAACCAATCAACATTTTGTAAAGTTAATTGGTTATTAAAAATAACAAGTGAATGATCATTATACTATTTTTACTTGGGATATTAGGAATGTATCGAGTGTCACTATTTTCCTAACATAGCATAAAGTTGAGCTAGGTTAAAAATTTGTATAAATTCTTGATATCCAAAGCGATAATTTATATTTTGATTCTAGCTTCTTTTTTTTTCCCCAGCAAATGACAAAACAACTCCTTCTGCACAAGTTTTTGCAAATGAATCAACCTGCAAAATTTAAAACTCGCAGAATTTAACCATACCTTGAAAAAAAAAATTATTTCACTTACGATAAAATTGAAAATGCAATGAACAAACAAAACTAAGCAAAATAGGAAATAAACATCTTATAAATACTAACGTTTAGTTATGAATTAGTACTAATTTACAAGTGTAAATCTTAACAAGCACATTCATTTATATTTTTTACCTTCTCCGATTTTTTCCAGTTTTTCATATTTTTGCATTATAACATGAGAAAATTTATAAAATTATATTTAAATTTAATTGCACATTAATCCGTTGACTTAAACATATTGTTGCCAAATTACAAAAATTTCATAATAAATAAACACCATTTCTTAATTTTCGATAACGATTACTTTTTTATTCCTGATGAAAATAATATCTAATTTTAATATAAATAAATATATAATTTCATAAAGGAACGATAAAAAAATTTTGAAAAAATGTATCAGGCAAGAAAATTTAAAAACTTTTGGATTTAAATAGCAAAAAATGTTTCTCTTCGAAAAATCTAAATGTAGTCACTAAGCGATAAATAAAAAAAATGATTTCAGGGACTGACATAGAGACAGAAATTTTCTTTAAAAATCAACTTTTAATTTGAGGAAATAATGCTAGAAAGTTTTAACTTATATAAATTAACAAAAAAATTGCACGTACAGTTAAATTTTTGGACAGTCTCTTGTAGCCAATCATAGCTCTTCATTCAAGTTCGTATTATTTTAATCATATCGATATCAGGAATTATTTTAGTGTTAATCGATTCGAAAGCGGGATTTCATTTGTTGTTGTTGACGGTAATGTTATGTTATCGGCTATCGACTTGTATTTTATGCTTAATTTTGTGTATGTATTAAAAATCCACTTGCATTTTATATTTCTTAGCAACTTAATTTACCTGGCTGAGGGCATTTTATTAGTTTTTCGACCACCAAAAGGTTAATTGTAACTCCCTTTATGGTGTCGCGCATTTACGTTTATCCCCTTCCCAGAATGCAACACCTAAGCCTAAAGTTCCTGTCGTAATTTGAAATGATACTGGTTGGTATCATAAAAGCGGTTGGTACTAATTATGTCCAACTTGAGATTCATATTTACGTAATCTAAAATAAGTGTAGCTGGCATAACATTATTAATATCTATGTTTATATCTTAGAAAATGTTTTAATATATAAAATACATACACTTGTAAATTTAATTTATTAGCATGATAAAATGTTCCATGCATTAATGATTTTATACATATAAGTTTAATTAATTTAATATTTTATTTAGGACTTCCTTGATTTTAATTCACATTGCTTGATTCATGTAATTGATTCTAATTTGCTTTATTTAAATTTCAATTCTGTTTACTGTTAGGGCTCGTTTTTATTAGATTACCAAAAGAACAAATTTTTAAAACCCTACATTAGTATTATAATAATAACTGTATAAGGGATAATCTTAGATTAGCTTGTGTTTATATTGCAAGTTTGTTTTTAATTTAAGGAAACTAAGGGCATCAGGTTATATTTTTAAAATGTTTTCAACTTTGTTCTTAGAAGCTGATTTTGGTTGGTTGGTTGGTTGGTTGGTGTCGTATCCTCTGTAGAATCATATTTCATGGTGTGCTTGAATAGTTTTTGTTATTTCTATGGCATTAAAAGAATACAAATCCTCTTCTGTGGGGTAGTTTAAGAGGTGAAGGCCTGCAGCGACTGCAGGGCAGGGAAGTCCAACCTCTTCGTAGGCTCTGGCAACCCCCCTCCTCATGATGTTTAGAAGCTGATTTTATTTCATTTATTTATTTTTAACTAGTTGCTCTGTCTCTAGCCAAGTCCTGCTGTCTCAAGCTTATCATTATCATGTAATTGACTAGTAGTAAAATTGCATTCTGTATAATTAATTTTCAGTGAATTTTTATTCTATAACTAATTTAAATATATTTTTAAATGTTAAGCTGATCAATTTCTTTTTTTTTGAGAGAGATCTGAAAATTATTCTACTTCATTTAAGTCAGTTATATTAATGCATACAGGGTTGTGAATTTTTTTTTTTTCAAAAAGGATTAGGAATATGCCTATCCTGATATGTTTTGCCTTGCCAAAAAGCACAATAATTGCCAATTTGCCAAAAATTTTGAATTTGCTGTTAAAAAAAAAAATGTATAGGGTTGGCTAAGGGTAGCTACATAGTATACCCTTCAAGTTGGTCTCCTTCTGTGATTATTATTATTTTTTTTTTTAGTTTCTCATGGGCCCTTCCATGTAAGTTATCTAGACTTACCGATTATTCTGCCACAGATAACAATATGGAAATCTTCTCAATTAATTTTTTTAATTAAACGGGACTAAACCATTAAAAAGTATTTCCAAGATATTTTTTTTTAACAATTAATGCTTTAAATTAAAAGTAAAAAAATACACTTTTGTTTCATAAATATGCGAATATGATAACGCAGTACAGTATAATGACTGAAGGTTGCCACCTTCAGTCATTATACTGTAGTGCTACTGGTAACTAAGCTTCTTTCTAATGTTATTTACTTCTATCTAAATGTTATTTTAGCAGTGCCAATAAAAAGTTTCCCCTTTGATAGTCAGTAAATATAAAAATATCATATTTTAGCATTCTTAACATTAATCTCACTGTTTTACAGTATAAAATTTTTAGCATTAATGTTAAGATTTTTTTTTTATTATGAATTTTAATATAAAAGAAGTATGAGATATTTAAGATTGTATTTTTTCTATTGAATAATATTTTAAATAAATAGAATGATCAGGAGTCTGTTATGGGCAAATTTATTACCATTTAGCGGTACCTTCACAAGTTTAACTTTACAAATCACAAATTTAACTTTTGGAAAAACGGAAGTTTCAGAAAATAATTTTAAACTGTTCTCATAGTGAAAATAACTTAAGTTGACATTTTACTATGGACAATGATTTTTATGGATTTTGAAATTTGGATTCAATTATTAGCAAATTTGTTTTGAATATAGAGAAAAATATATAGAAATTTACCAGTTAAATAATTTTTATTAGTAGTGGCAGTTTTTGAAAATATTTTCTTTCTTTGCCTTATGTGTTGATTTTTTAATATATAGTTAATTTTCTCAAATTATGTCTAAATTTTCACAGAATAGGTACCTCTTCAAAAAACCTAGACAGACCTATGATGATGAAAAGGAATTAAATTCATAAATGGGCCACATAAATATGGACTAATAAAATTGTAATGGCATGTTTTAGTAATAAAAATTAGAAAATAAGAAATAAATTGCTCTTTTTATTATTTATTTTAACATAGTGGAGCAATAAATATAATATAACAATGTTCTTATTGATGTAGTGCAGTATTAAGTTATAAATTTTTTTTTAATATCTTAATTCATTTTTATCTAAAAAAGTGACAGGCAACTAAGAAAACCCCTTTGCAGTGCAAAGGCCAAGGTGCAAAGTTTGCACCTTGGTAGTTGGCCCAAACAGTTATCAATATTTCAATGTCTCTTCTGGTCTTTTAGATCAAAATTTTTTTCTCTAAAATTATTTTTCATGCTAGCTTAAAGTTTTTTGCATTTTCCTTTATGTCGTATCTCTTTCAGCTAGAAATGAATCATTATTGTGTATTGCTATATTTTGTAAGCTTATAATTAACAATTTTTGCAGGCTAACTGCTAGAGCTCCTATGTAACAAACATCTGCAATGTAATAATTACTTTGGTAAGTGATTCGTTTATTTCCTTGATACCAGTTTCTATTTTATTGTTTCTAGTTTCTGTTATTGTTTTAAATTTAACTTTGTAATATTTCATTTTAAGTGAGATTGTGTGAATATTTGGTAATTGTTAAAATAGTGTAAATTAGTCAAATTATTTAAATTTGAATATTATTTATTTTTCTCTTTGGTTTAATCTTTATCTTACTCCATACTAAATATTTAATAGTTAATTTTTTCTATTTTTTAATTTCTGTTTTCTGCAAATCTTCAAATTAAATGACATCCTTAGTTTAAGTTTAAGTAAGTCATTTTTTAATGAACTTGCATGTTGCTTTATATCAATTACAAATTATGCAGTTCTAAATTATTGATAAATTTTGAAAATTCAGTGTGCTCTCGTACAATCAAAACCCTGCAGTACCAGTCATTACTACCAATGTTGGCGAGAGAGAAAAAATTAGAAGAAGAGTTGTAGATGCACAACAAATCTGTTCCGCTGTGTCTACATACGCCTACATGCTTACGCATTCGACACACAAAATTTGCCTCGAAATTTCGAAGCTCTAGTTTATATTTCGCTCAGTTTCTTTCCAGAAATTCAACAAAATATGTAAATTTTCTTAACTTTGACTCTAGTGTCGCTATTTTGACTTAAAGTGCCGAAAATGGAAACTTGAAAAATATATATGAAAATTAAAAACTCCGTTAAGAATTTGCAAATTAATTGGGATATAGTAAAAAGTAACTGTTGACAAAATTTTTTCAGTTATTTTGGAAATAAGTTTTTTATTATGTCATTAATTTATTGACAGGGGTCTGTCCAGGCCGAATTTACTACCGTTTAGCGGTACCTTCACAAATTCAACTTTAGGTAAAACGGTAGTTTCACAAATTCAATTTTAGGAAAAACGGTTGTTTCACAAGATACTTTTTCTTAAAAAATTTTTTTGTATCCCTTAAAAAACGATAAAACCATATTTTTGTGTTGATTTTTTAATATAATTTTTAATTTTTCACAAATTATGTCTAAATTTTCACAAAATAGGTACCTTTCAGAAAAACCTAGACAGAACCCTGATTGATTTATTTCATATTTATTGTCATATTTGTTTTGTAAAGTTGAACTTCCAACTCTTAAATAATAAATTTATTATTTAATTCAGTTGAAAATATTTATGTTTTAACTACATTGTTAATTTTGTGTTCATAGGTCTTACATTCAATATACATACCAGTCAATTTCTTCTGTTGAAAACTTTCATAAAACTTTTAAGATGGCAAAGACAATTGGTGAGTGCTTTGTTTTCTCTCAAAATACTGTGTAAAGTAATGTTATAAATAAATTATTTGAAGAATTTCTATAGATCTGAAAATTTTTCTTTTAAGTTCAAATTTTCACTGTATTTTCTTTAAGGAATGTATTTTAATGTTAATATTTTAATCAAAGTTAACTGTTTGTTTTACTATGTAATAGCTAAATACTCATTCTATAATCTATAGCTAAATACTCATCTGCACTGTATTGTGAATAATCAATCTATTATTATTTATCTTCTCTGTACAATTTTATGCAAAACTAAAGTAACCAGTATTTTATGATCATAATTTTATCGGTATTGATAGGTATAAATTATGTAGTTGTATTTTTTAGGTATTGACAGGTATGATATAAAAAGTCATAGTTCCTATTTTCCTTATAACAAATATTTTGTTTTGAATTTTATATGTTTATCTTGATATTCCTGCTTTATGTTTTTGTTCAGAACATCCAAGCTTTTACATATACTATTCTCAGGGTGCATAGCATCTTTTAAAAGTTGTTTGTTTTTGATTTTCGTCTTTTAAAAGCACTCAAAGGTGCTCTTTTTCATTGAGTGTTTTTGAAAAGTGCTTAATTTTCCTTTTTCTGAAATGAGATTTTTTTCTTTACCATGTCGATTTTTGTCATGAATTAGGCAAAAAGTGAGGATTTCACATTGTTCTATTCAACGTTTTGACAATTCATTCAACCACATTCCATTTCAGTATGCTGACAGTCTGTAGCGTATGAAAGTACCAATTATTCTACATGTTTGATGAAATACCTGCGGGTCTGCTCCGAGCTTACTTTTACCTGTACTGAGCTTACTTTTCCTGAAATCGAAACAGAATCTCTCGATTTTTTTTTGTTGCTTTTCACGGGGTACCAACTAAACATTGCCAATTTTTCCGCCTAATAGAAGGAAATTTTATTTCTCATGTTAATTTCATTGTTGACAAATTACGTCTTTTGTCAAATTCACTCTTTTTTTGCGTCATGCCATTCATGTTGACCAATTTCGCCCGTTATTAAAATACACGATAAAAAAGTAAGTAAATAAACAAACTTGTACAAAATCGGAAAACGAACTTATAACCGATTCTGTGCATCTCATAATATAGTTCTACATTATAATGAACAGGAATGAATTGGGACTAACTAAAACTGCTGTATAAATGTAAACATTGTATAAGCGATGCTCTACTGTACTTGTTTTTAGCAAATACAATAACCTGAGCCGTAGCGTTTTAAAGAGTGCTTCTTTTCAGTTTTTGTTTTTTAAAATCCCTTAAAGGTGCTTTTTTTGTTTTTAAAAAGTGCTTAATTTTCCCTTTCTGTAAACAGGGTTGGCTTTTTGCCGGCAGAAACTGGTTTTTGCCATGCCAGTGGCAGAAACTGGTTGTAACCGGCAAAATATGGCAGAAGCTAAAAAAAACTTCTATATTAGTTCAGGTAATTGCTTAATGACATTTTGTTTAAGTAAACTGAAAGATGTAACTGTAACAAACTTTTTAATTCATTGTTTGTAAATATCTATTATTTTGTTTATATTAAATATAAAGAGTGTAGTGCAGTATATCAAATATTTATATTAAATAAAGAATAAAGTAATGTAATAATAAATATAAATACTAAATTTTAGTTTATTATATTAAACTCTGAAATTCAGTAATTATTATCATTTAACTCTTAATGTAACTGAAATAGAGCTACTTTCAAATAGTTTTTTTCTTTTCAAGACATAATTTGCATGGCAACAATCCATTTATTATAACAGTAACAGTTTTAATCTTTGCTGTATGTAAGAGGCAGTGTTTTCATCGCAGAAAAAAAAAAAAAAAATGGGTGAGAAATTCTCACCCTTTCTCAAAAACAGGGTGAGATTTCAAAAAGTTATGTGAGATATCTAAAAAACAAAAAAACGCATAGAGACTTGAAAAAAAAATCATTTCTTTAATTATAATACATTTTTAACATCTTCTAGTTTTTAAAGCATTGTATGTATGTCAATCTCAGTACTTAACTTTTATGTCATTTTCTGAATTTCTGCCATGCCAGTTTTAACCGGTTTCTACCAGTGGTTTTAACCACCTCGGCAGAAACTTGCCAACCTTGTCTGTAGAGGAGATTTTTTTTTTTACCTTGTTGATTTTTGTCGTGTATTATGGAAAAGCATGCTTTTCACTTTGTTCTATTCAACGTTTTCTCAATTCATTCAAGCACTATCCGTTTCGTCGTACCTTTAGTCCATAGTGTATGAAAGCACCCATCATTTTATAGGTTTGATGAAGTACTTGGGAGTCCACATGTGCGTCTACTGAGCAGGGTTCGGTGAGATCATTGCACTCTCAAGTGCAACTCTGTTGCATTTTGCAATATATTCTCTATTTCAGACTTCATTTTCCACCCTCTTAAATCTAACCGAAAAAACTCTTGATCATTTTTTAATGGATAATATATTCAAGAAAAGAGTCCTTTGTCAGAAACTAGTTATTTTATCATGATCCTGTAAAGTCCTTGAAAATTATTTTGCATTTTGTTAATGTACATAGTGCTTAAAAAAATTTTTTAGTGGCTTAAAAAGTACTTAAAAGGTGCTTATTTTTTGTTGAAAGATTTAGCTACACACCCTAAATAACAAACTTTGACTTATGTTTATTAATCACAATGTGTTGCTTCATAGGTATGGCAAGCTGACTTATATAATGAAAAGGAATTTATTAATTTATCTGGCATTAATGTGATTGAGATAGAAAAAAACTTTTGAACTCTTAACTCTGGAGGTTAAAATTTAAAATCTTTTAAATATTGTAAAACTACAACATGGATATTTAAATGTATTTTATTTTTTATTTATTTGGGAATTTAACTGTTTAAGAAGAAACTATGTATATATATTTATATTTTTGAATTACAGACAGCTTGGAGTGTGGAAAGTGTGGTGAGATATTTCATCAACTGGAAGGATTTATCAAACATAAAATGTCTAATTGTACCCCTATTGAGAAACCAATTAAAGCAGAAGATCCTCCAGATAGTGATAAAGATTCTAAGAAATTCTCTAAGCTTGGTATATATTCATCCTTTTAGTTTAGTTCCTATTTTCTAATTTTCTTATTAAAATATTGTTTGTTCATAAAAATTGATAAATTCTTTTATAATAAGTTAATTGATGTTTTAGTCTAAACAAAGCAGGGTTCTCAGTTTTTCTACTGTTTTAATCGTGGATAAAATTGTCATGTCAGAAGCCTAATTAAAAATATATGTTTGTGTAAATATTATCATTCATATTCTAAGTACACTATTGCTGGTTGTGTTTAAGGTCAATTATCTGTGTTCATCAGTTCCACATCAATGTTCACCTGAAGTGTTATTAGAAAGGTGACCTACCCTGCCTGCTCTTTCACTGAGATAAAATGCACCCTCTTTGCCCTTTTTGTAAAAATGCTGTTCCCCATTTTACTTAGGAAAAAAAAATTTTTAATTAGAGAAAAGAGGTTGTAGTAGCAGAAATTAGGAACTTTAGATTACCATAACTAGTAGAAATTATTTTTTGGCGTAGTCTACATAAAATGCTATCTCACATTTATTTGAGTATTTTTAATTCTGTTTTGAAGGGCACTAATCTAGCTAGATATAATTAATATATTTAGTACGATTAGTGCCCTTCGAAAATTTCCCTTGTTTTTAAAAAAGCACTCTGCCCTATTTAATTTTTAGGGAGATTTCTGCAACATTCAATAAAAATTATATACAATGTATATATGCTTTAAATATACATCAATATATACTAACAAAATATCTTATTTATTATACTTTATTGAATAACTTAAATAATTAGATTGGAAAAACTGTTTAGACATTATGATGCTCTCATAGTGGTGTCAGATTAGCAGGATCTGAAATACATGACTCTGACTGAGACTGTTCATGTCTACATGACTGAGACTGTTCATGACTCTGGTCATGATCTCTGACATGTTGACATGATATTGTAATGGTATTTCCAATACTCTAAATCCATACTAATCTTATGCACATATATAAAAGAAACAGATCAAAATTGTAAGTTTAAATTTTGAATAAAATTGCATGAAATATTTAGGTTTTCATTGCATTTAACCAACAAGGACAAAACAAGTGGCTAAAAAATACCTGAGTGCCTCAGTTCCTTTTTTAAGCCTTCTCTTTGACTTAAATAGAAGTTACAATGAAATATTATGTGTTCTACAGTTTCAACATTCTGACCACAAGATCAAAAATTACAATTCATTAAATTATACCTAAACAATTTGAGAATCTGAGTTAATTTAAAATCAAAAAATTTCCTACACTTCAACCGCTAAAAAATAGTTGGAAAAAAGTCCACACAGCTTTTGGTGAAGCTAAGAATTCAGTGTTCCAGTCCAAAAAAGTTTTTTTCCGCAGCTACACGTTTCCAATGTGACAGCGGGACAGACATCAAAAGATCACTACCAAGGCAAGTCGCATAATCGGAAAACTGGTGCGTTCTGTCATTGCCGATATCACCACTATGGTCCCGAACATAATAATGGACTTCAGTAATACCATCAAATCATTATGTTCATATTAACTATTACAAGGCTGATTGTGCTCCGGAAAAATTCCGGATTTTTCGTTAACAGTGATCCGGAAGTTTCCGGAGATCGAAGGTCCAGACGTTTCGAAAAATCATTGATCACAGAAGTTTCCGGAAATCAAATTTTCATAGGTGGAACTTAAAAACACAGTTTATTTTATTTGTTTGTAAGGGTGAGCCAGAGAGATACTTTATAAGCTTATATTCATGATTAATATTAGTTTTTTATCAGTAAATAGTTGTTATCAGTAAATAGTTGTTAAACTCAAGAAAGAAAGACATATTTGTAAATTTTAATTACTTCTCCAGGTATAGGTATGTGTAAATGGTATAGGTATGTTAAATTTTAAATATATTTTAAGTAAACTAAGAAATGTTGAGAAAAAGGAAAAGAAAAACTTGTTTAAATTTTTTCTAATTTTTCAATTTAAACTGTTTTTTTTTTTTAACTCAAGAAATTTTCCAGAATTTCGACTTGGGCTCACAATCACCCCTGCTATTAAAATCTTAGTCCTTTTCTTCTTTTCCTTGATAATGGGATCCAAAGCAAAGCATCTGAACTTGAAGTGTCTAAACTATCCCATAATTAAAATAATAGATATTCAGCAAATCAGGTTATTATAACTGCCAACTCTACTGGATTTTCCAGTAGACTACTAGATTTTGCCAGTTTATCATGGTTTACTGGTTTAATAAAAATTTTCCTGTTTTTTGTACATTTCGGAAAATTCCCTAAAATTGAGTAAGTTTCCTTAAAAAAAATCCCTATTGAAATAGAATTTTGTACAGATAATTGCTTGCTTTAATATTTTAAAAAGTGTCACTAATACATAATAAAGCGAGCCTCATTTATTAAATTCAGTTAACTATCTTCGATGAATTAAATGCCAAATTCAAAAATATGAATAAAAATACTACTTAACATTCCAAGATCATTTAATGTGAAATTATAACTGGAAAATATTATAGTTTTTTCTATTTTGACGACCATAAAGATCCCTAAAATCCCCTATGTGTAAAATATTTAGTATCAGGGATCTGTCCAGGCCAAATTTACTACCGTCTAGTGGTACCTTCAGAAATTCAACTTTAGGAAGCTATTTCTTAAAATTTTATTTTTGTATCCCGTAAGAAGCGATAAATTCATATTTTTACCTTATTTTTGTGTTGATTTTTTAATACAATTTTTAATTTTCACAAATTATGACTAAATTTTCACGAAATAGGTACCTTCCAGAAAACCTTGGCAGAGCCCTGAGTATATTTTGCAAAAATTATGAAAATTATATTATTTCGTAAAATCTACTTGACTTTTTCTTATCCGTGTTGGCAGTTATGCATTATTATTTTGAGTTGAGTTATTTTATTTTGCACTTGATAGAGCTTTTAGAAGTGTTCAGTAATAATATGTTATAAGGATAGCATCTGCCAATTGATTTGATTAGTATTTTCTTTTTGTATTTTCTTTGTAAAATAATTTTCTCTTTAAAAGAGTATAGAAATTTGTATTTTTTACATTGTTTTATAGAATTAGCATCTCTATTTTTGAATTATATATATATATATATATATATATATATATATCGTCGTATTACAATATTTTTCATTTGAGCGAGCTTGAGCAGAAATGACTCATTATTTGTTTTCTTGATAGCTGTGAAGAAATCATCTTTAAGTGAAGTGAGTCTTAAAGGAGTCAGCAAGATGAGTAAAAGCATTGAAAAATTCAAAAAGAATTCGCCGCAGGTATTGAAGCACAAAGTATCAACCTCTACTCCTAAAATGTCTAAATCCAAGATGATGATGGACTCTGATGTGCCCAAGTTAAAAGGTGTAACGGGCTATTTGTGGAAAGTACGTATGATTGTTTTAGTTAATGGTTATGTGATAAGTTTGATTACTCTTTGCAGACAACAAAAACAAAAGTTGGTATTTCAACTAAAGTATTGATATTTATTTTTTAAAATTCTGTCAGGAGTTATGAATGTGTTCTGTATATCATATATCGGTAAGAGGATATGTTTGATAGCTCGAACAAGGTCAAAAAATTCAGGTCTAGTTTTTAAAAAAATATAATTGCCAAAATTTTTTTATTGGGTAAAAAAAACTTGTCACTTTACAAAAATTCAAATCACAATTTGTATTTTTGTGGTTTAAAAATAAAACTATGTAATTTGAATTTACTCTATTTAAAAATCAAACTTTGTGATTTGTAATCTCATGATTTTATATCGCAATTCACGTGATTTAAAAATTACTATTATGATTCGTGTTCATGTTACTTAAAAAATATGCATCAGGATAAATATTCACAAATATACACTTCTAAAACCAAATAACGAGATCTATGTTCACACGATTTAAAAACTATGCAATGGGATTCATATTCATGCCATTTAAATATACACACCCAGATTCATATATATACCATTTTAATCAAACATTGGAATTCATATTCATGCGGTTTAAAAGCAATGTATCAGGGCTCATATTCATACAATTTTAAAATCAAACAGCTTTTTTTTATTCAAGCAATTTAAAAATCACATGTGATTTGTATTCATTGTAATTTTAAAATCAAACAACTTGTTTCGTGCTCACATAGTTTAAAACTCACATGTCACGATTTGTATTTATGTGATGTAAAAATAAATGGGATTCATATTTACACACTTTAAAAATCGCTCATTGTGATTTGTATTCTCATGATTTTATGTCAAACATTGAGATTCATGTTCAGGTAATTTAAAAATCATGCATGTGTTTTCTATTCCTGTAATTTTAAAAGCACACATGAAGTTTGTGATTACATGGTTAATAAGGCACTATTGTGATTCGTTTTCAAATGACTTAAAATTTGTAATATTTACTCAATCTGAAAATCAAACAACGAACAAAATTCATATTCACACAATTTTAAAATCAAACATTATGATTCATATTCCTGTTTCTTATTCATGCTAATTATTTCTAAGAGTTTACAGTACTAACCGATGAATAAAAAAAAAAAAAGTTTTGTATCTAACCTATTTATAACAAGTACATAAGTTTTGTATCTTAACTACTATATCAGTATGAATTTTGAAAGATAAGTTAGAATAATTGTAAAAAAAAACTTAATATTGACAAAATAACCCATGTTAATTTAAGTAAATGCTCAAATTGATATATTCGTGGAAAAATATTTTTATCTTTTCTATAGAAACGTTTAATGCAAGAGAAACTGAAAGAGCAGAAACGGAAAGGAATGATGCATGGTAAGAGAAAGTCTATGTCTCATCATTCTGATGAAGATTCTGACCAAATAATGGACTCTTCAGATAGCGATGATTCTGATGATCGAGACAATGAAAGATGTGGTTTATGCCCAGGGTGCCTTATAGAAGAAGATTGCATGGAATGTCAAATTTGTCTTGTAAGTATCTAATTTTTCTTATTTTGTGACTAATTTCTTTTTTAAATTATAAACATTCTAAAAATAAAAGTTGTTTGTTAGAGGGTGATTCATTGTTAATCCTTATTATTAATTCTACAACTATTTCATTACTTAGACAAATAAATACACGAAATTTTAGTGTTCAAAAATCTAGAACTTTAGTTATTATTAATCAATTATTCATAGTCAATTATCAAATCAAAAATCTAGAATCTGGAACCTACCTACTTTAATTTTTCGAATCCAAAATATTTATACTTTTTTTGATTCTTTAAATCACATAATAGAATCTTGCGTTTTTTTTTTTTTTTTTTTTTTTTTTTTTTTTTTTNTTTTCTGCATTTTGTTTTTTTTTGATAATAAAAAAACTTAAGTTGCAATTATTGCATATTTTATTTTCCAGTATAAATACACAATTTTAATTTCCCTTAAGGTTTGATATATTATACGTAGATATGTGATTCTCAGACTAGATTGAAGAAATTGTGCTGTTTTGAGTTTTTGTATGTTGCATCTTTATTGCAAAAAGTACGATTAAAAAGGATGCAACTAAAAATAAGATTTTTTTTTTAAATATAAAGGAAAATTCTTTCACTTTATTTTGAAATTTTTTTTTTCATGTTGCTAAAAGATTTTCTTATTATGCTTGTGACTTATAATTGCATAAAATAAAATGTTTTTTTTTTTTTTTAAATGAAACTTCGTTTTATTTTAGAAAAAAATGGAATATCCCGATATTGAAGCAGTCTGTTTAATGAGGGAGTGCACTGCTGAAACTGTAAGTAATTTTTTTTATTCATGTAATGTCATTAACTTATTGAGACTTCATATTGTAAGTTATTTTAAAAACTCATAAAATCTGTTTTTTGTTTTGTTTTAGGAAGAAGAAGTTTACAAAGTAGAAAAGATTCTTGCCAAACGTTTCCGTCATGGACGTTATGAATACTTAATAAAATGGAAAGGTTACCCGAAGTATGTTAGTCTTGAGTTATTAGAATTGTTATTTTGTACTAATTTTATGGGATTTTTTTTGTTTATAAGGCTATGAGTATTTGTCTCAATAGTAATAGAAAATAAAAATAATTTTAGTTTATATGTAGCAAATTTTTCTCTTTATTTTTTAAATTTAAGTTCTGTGTTCTAAGACTGAAATGTGCTTGACTGATGTAATTTTCTGCTTAGTATCTTACTAGTATATAATTTTGGCTTTGAATGTAATGTACTTTATATGCTAAAGTTATTTAGGAATTAAGAAGGTTATATGCATATGTCGTGCTCTTGAATGCATCTAATTTCAACAAAATCATTTTATAGCATTTTTAAATATTTTTTGTAATGAACAGGGTTGGTTCATCACAATTTATTTGTTGATTTGCCTGGTAAATATAAAAAAAAATCATGCATTTTGTTGAGTTTGGTAATGAATGTCATATGAGTTATATTTATTTTAATAAACTTATTTTTGGATTTTAGCTCGGACAATACTTGGGAACCAAAAGAAAATATTCTTAGTCGTCGTTTGCTGGAAGAATTTGAGGAGAAGTACGATAGGTTAACAAAGCGAAAACCAGTAATTCCATTTGCTAGAAAGAAACGAAAGTATTATTATACTGTGAGTAATAACTTTGTTTTTTTAAATGTTTCTTTGTCTAATATACTGCTCTGTGTATAATTTGAAATGCTGGCAATTATTAAATTATTGCATCTTTTTTAATGTAATGTTTATGTACTTCATATTTTTTCACATCTTATTGGATTCTTTTCATGTTTATTATTTTTATGTTCATTCAAATTTTGCAAAGAATCTTAAAATTTAATTTTTCTTTTTGTGTTATTTAATTGTAAAAAGAAAGCTCATAAATTATGATATATTTTTTGGAATAAAGCGAGTGTTTCAGTATGTCTGTTTCAAAAAAATTAAACAACTAAATAAAAGTTGATATTTATGTTAAGAATTTTATATTATGTGGGTAATGTAGAGAATTTTAAGCATAACTGAAAATTTAATATTAAAAATTATGTAACCAGTTAAAGAAAATCAGACAAATTTGATAATATAAGCATTATGTATCAATACATTTAAGTAAAATGTATTTTAAAACAGTCAAAAAGGTTATCTTTTGTGTAATACTGTTCAAAATTCTGTGAGACCTTTAATATCTTTACTTTTAAGACCTTTTACTGAACAAAATTATTTTCCTTTTCTGCATTTTGTTTCTCAAATGTGTATAGGTGTAGGGCAGGGGTCGCCAAACTTTTTTGATCATCGACCCCTATATAATTTTTCGAAGTCTCCATCGACCCCCACAAAATTAATTTTCCATTAATTAAAATAAAACTCTATTCGATACTGAGTTTGTACATTTATTTTATGATTTTAAACATTTATTAAAGTAATAGTACATTGTGTAACAATAGTTTTATGAAAAATAAATTAATATTGAAATTTAAATACCTTATTATTAAATAATAAGTAACTATGCATAAGTAGATATATTAAGTAAAGTAACTAAGGTGCTTCTTGATTAATGAGATGGGTGTGCCTGGTGTTTTTTTTTGCAAGGTTCGCTATATTGGTTTCAAAATTGGTCAATTTTAATTTTCGTCAAAATTGGTCAATTTTGTAATTTTCTTAAAAAAAAAAATACAAAGTGTGCTATAGTTTTGTCGCGGCTGTACTAATCCATATTATTAATGCTTACCTTCTTTTTTGTGCATTGATTATTAAAATTGATATCTAAACCAAACGAATGGCTTTATCGAAACAATAACTAATTATCCAAAACTATAAAAGTTTTAATAATGACACTGCAAATATTCAACACAGTTTTCAAAGATAGCTGAAACTGCATATGATATTTGCATTTGTAACGTCAATGCTCGTCACTCGGGACATTAGGACAAACGCACATATGCATATGACTCATAAACTGCCCAGAGTTCGTGCCACTGCGCGGTGGTACGTAAATACTTGTTTCACTCCAATAGATATACGTTTATTAATTTATGTTTTATAAAGAAACTGATATTGAGTCAATTATAAAAAAAATTCACAAATTTTACATACTTAATTAGGTATGTGTGATTTGCGTATTGAGAACTGTTTTTTTTCTCGACCCACAATCGACCCTTCCGATTCGGATCGACCCCCATTCGCCCCCCTGTCTCAGATCGACCCCCGCTTTTGTTAAATAGACCCCTGGGGTCTATATAGACCACTTTGGCGACCTCTGGTGTAGGGTATAAATCATAAATTTCTAATTCCAATACTTTTCGGATCTTTTTAATTTGTGTGTTCTCATGCCTGTTTAAAAAATTGAGGCTAGAAAACTTGAATTACTATTAAATTTTAAGTTAACATATCGCGTCTTTATGTACTAAAAATGTTATGATCTAAACAACTACTCCCATTTTTTTTTTTTTTTTTTTTTTTTTTTNTTTTTTTTTTTTTTTTTGAATTTCTAATATAATATATTATTTATACATTATAACAGAATTTCTATTGATTATCAAATTATCAGAAATCAAATTATAATTTTGAAATTATGTTATTAAATTTGCATTTGATGTTCTAGGTTTTTTTCTAATAATAATTAATTCTATCCATATTACAATGCTTTTAATTTTTATAAAATCCTTTATAAAAAGCTAAAAGAAACATATTTTTCACTGTATTACTTCTTAATAATGTAATTTCTAATATATGTAAGAATGTTTATGTTTAAATCTGAAATTAACTTTTATTAATTTTACTCTAATCTTTTGAAAATTAGCTAACCTGATGGAGAAAAAAATATTCACTTTGAAAATAAGTGTTACTAAAACAAATATTTTTTAAATGATATAAATGTAAATCCCACCTCATAAATATTTTATTTGAATATGTTTTTTTTAAAAAATTATGTGATAATGTCTTTATTTGTAATAACTTTACCTTTACTGGAGAAGAAAATTAAATGTTACAATTAGGAAATATTATTTCTTTTGCATGCAATGGCGACGGCAGAATAATATAAAAGGGGGTGCAATCCTCTAACAAACTACTCCCCCAAAGAAAAAAAATTAAAATATTCTGTTATTACATTTTGTTTTGTTATGACACATACTTTCATCTGTTAATTTTTTTCAAGATACATTTCTTCATTGTTAACAAGATATTAAAAAAAAATTACGAATTTCTTGTACTTTCAAATTTTGCCACGAGAGACTGTATTGATGGCGCTGGCATAGCTACTGACTTTGAAACACAAATAACTACAAACAGGAGTTTCGTATATTAACTTGTTTGTGCACACTTATCATTGGTATTTATTGTTTTGATGAGGTTTTACAGTTGTGAGAAGTCAGTTTGTGTTATACACCTTTGTTAAACTAAATAACTAATAGAAAATATAATATTATTTATATTTTATTAAATGAAATTTAAAAATATAGCTAGATATCTGCCAAGTTTGTGCATGCTCAGTGTGCGTAAGAAAATAATCAAAGATGACTGAAAAGTTATAAACAGATTTGGACAGCTTTGACGATTAAAATTCTTGTTTTATTAAACGATTTTTTAATTGTTAAACAAGGCGACTACAATTCTTGTTTGATTAAACAATTTTTTAATTGTTAATCAATAATTACTTAATTATTTGTTTTTGAATAAAAATAATTTTAATAAATTTTTTTTATAACAAAATTGTTTTTCTGTATCTTTTTAATTGATTTAAAAAAAAGCCAGGGGGGGTGCAAGTGCACCCTCTTGCACCCCCTTGTTTGCATGATTCAATTTTCAGGCCTTGTACTCTTGGCACAAATACTTTCTGCTCACATAAGAAGTTGTAAAACCAACCAAGAATAAGATTTGCTAACTTGAAGTTTCACTTAGTGTGAATGTTTGGATCATGCAGCATTGTACTGTCTACATCTATCTCATTAGATTTAAGAAATGTAAACTGCAAATAATAAGGTTGCCTATTGAGCTGAACAAGAAAGAAATATTCTTGTGACAAATAGCAACAACATTTCTGTTCTGAAGTTAAATTAATAGTTTTAAAAACTATAATGTTTTTATTGCTTTTATCTCTATATAAGTTGACTAGTTTCATGTTAGAGAAGTCTTAGTAATGAAATTTTCTGAGTCAAGCTGCATTGTACTGTCTTCACCTATTGTGTTAGGCTGTAGAAATTAATGCAGCTATATTACAAACTGTTAACTGAGCAAGAGAAAGCTTATTGTGTTTCTTGCTCCAAAGAAGGTTAACAATTCTGTTCATGTATTACAAAAGTAGAAGATATTTTTAAGTTTCTTCTTACAACAACTATAATATTTTTTTTAAAAAATTATGGATATTTTTTATGTTTACGAAAAGACAATGGTCAGTTAAGCTAATTTTCCTCTAACTTTATATTTTATGTTTCCATTGTTAATGTTTTCCTTTGGCTGCAATGTGCTTATCTACACCTATTTTGTTAAATTGTAGAAATGAATGCAGCTATAATAAAATACTGTTTACTGAGCAAGAAAAACTTAATGTGTTTCTTGTTCCAAATAGCAGCAAAAATTCCAATTTAGTATTCTTTTTTCAAGAAATTAAAAAAAATTTATTTTAAAGAAATGGATAAATAGTTTCTTTTCTTTTTTTATATCCATAAAAAAGAAGCCATTGTGTTAGTGTTAAGCTAATTTCCATGCAATCTAATTTTTAATGTTTTCTATGTTAGTGTTGATGAGATTGCATTGTACTGCCTATTACATTAGTAGATAAGATAACAGCTATATTAAAGTGCTGCCAATTAGAGTTTATATCTTCAATTAATGGGTGGAAATGTTGAGCAGGCTAGGCTAATTTGCTTCATTGAACTTAAAATTGCAAAGATCTGCACTTCAATACAAATTTAGTAAACTCATATTTTGAACAGTCAATTGTATTATTATTCATTGGAAGTGCATAGCTGCCAACTGTTCAGAATTTTTCAGATTTGTTTCTAATTTTTAAATCAAATCTGTAATTTTTATAAAAAATCTGAATTTTTGTGAAATTGCAGTATTTTTGCTTTTAAACTAATCCCTTGTTCTAATCGCCCCAAGCGCGCTTCCTGTGATTATTTCGCAGAAGTAATTTTTAGTAGCTTTTTCTTAGAAAATACTGTTACAATAGCTGTTGCTGATCATTTCGCTAAATTGAATCTTAAATAACTATTATTACTTTTTGAAAAATGTATTTTAGTATTTAAGCACTTACATCAGAAATATTTGTTAATGATACAAATTATTATTTACCAGTGTTTTTTAATTTGGAGAAGAAGAAATATATATTAATAGGTAATGGTTGTTTTGAAATTATTATACCGGTATTCCTAATTATAAAAGAATATTAATATTATAAATTTCCCACAAAAGATGGAGTTTATAGTTTTGTTTTACTAATTTACATAAGTTTTACTAATTTAATGATATTTCTATTAATGTTATTATTTAATAGTAAAATTTTTGTCTTACTCTCGTGATTGGTGCGTAAATTTTTTTGCATGTAGCGTTTCTAATTTTTTATTCCTAAGGTTGGCAGCCATGGAAGTGTCTTTTTCCTGATTAGAAGCAAAGCATTGACAAAAACCTTTGTACATTATCAGAACAGGGAAAATGCAGGGAATTTTGATTTTTTCTTTACAAATTGGGAAAATGCAGGGAAATTTGTTTCTTATTTTTGTCTTTTAAAAAATGGTGACCACTCAAAGTGTAATCTATGGGATATTTAACCACAATATTTCTGCTATACTTAACTATTTCATTTACTGTAGCATTATTTAAGTATGTTCAACTGTTCTTTTAGCAATTAAAACTGATAAATACTGTTAGCCTAATATATCTCACACAAGATCACAGTAATTGCTGTTTCCTCTTAATATATTGTGTATAATATGTACAGGGAAAGCATAGGGAATTTTTTTTTCCAGATTTGAGTGGCAACCCTGATTATGAAATGCTTCCAAGAGAACAACAAAAATATTAGTAGAATCATTCAGATTGTGCTGCTTAAGTTTTTATATGTTGACTATTTATGTATATTGTTATATTGATTGCTAGGTTTTATATTATTTATAAAAATATCAATTTAAGTCCTATATTTTTTGAAATGTAATGTTTATTCTAGGAATCTAGCGATTCCAGTCAAGATGAGCTTCGAGCCTCCAGAATGTTTTCACCTGCGTCTCCCATGGATTCTAAGCGAGGACGCTCCAGCAAGAATGCAGCAATGAATTTCATCAAAACTGTTTGTTTGAAAGGGAGGAGGCCTAGTCCTGATTTAATTGATCTTCCAATGTCAATGATGGATTCAGATTCATCTAGATCTCCATCACCCGAACCACCCGCTAAGAAAAAAGTCATAATTGAAGTTCCTGACCCAAAAGAAGCAGGAAAATACATCAGAGTTAAAGGAGAAGCTAGAAAAATTAGATTTTTAAAGGATTGCGATCTGAATCCAATTGTGGAGTTGGGAGAAAAAGTACCCACGAAGGAAGAAGATATCCAAGCTTTAGTTTTTGAAGATATCATCAATAGAAGGATATCTAAATTGAAAGACAAGGAAATTAAAGTTTCCAAAATTCCCGAAACCAAAGTTAAGCCAACTGGTTTACAGAGGCCGAAAAGTAATGAATCTGATAAGTTTATTCCCAAAGTTGTCACTCCCATAAAGACTTCTACCCCTATTCTAAAATTACCACAAAAAACATTGGAAGATTCTCAGCGAAAAAGACTTACATATCAGGATAAAATTGACACTTTGAAAACTAGCGACGTCAATTCTGATTATGACATCGATATGTCTTATGACGATCCGGATGATCCTGACGATGCCTTGATTGAAGGCGAGTCCAAAACTTTAGCAGAATTGAGAGAAAGTTTTCTCAAAAAGAGTATGAAAAAAACTGAACCAGAGCAAAAGCCCAGGCCTAAACCAGTTGAACCTGTTCCAAAAGCAGGTGCACGAAAAAATTTTCAACGAGCTGTGAATGCTAAAAGCACACCTCCTGTGACACCAAAATCTACTGTGACTCAGCCTCGTGTTACTTCTAGCTCATTTACTGGCTCAAAGGGGTCACCTATTGGGGGAACAACTGCTAATGAGAGAGTGTTTGTAGTTATGCCTGATGGTAGTATGGTTGAAGTAAGTCATGCAGCGACCACAGACAGTAGTACTCCAGGGACAAAAGCAATTTCTACTCCAGTTCAAAAGAAAGCACCCATGAAGGATGTGAAATCAACCAAAAAACTTGTAAGATTTTATTTTTTTCATTTCTCATAACATGAGGTGAGTTATAGAAAAAAAGTTATTTGAATATCGGGGTATTTGAAAAACACATGAAAATCAATATTAATAGTTGTCGCAAATACAATTGAAACACCTCATAGGTTTACTATACTGTTGGTGTAAGTCTCGTTCGACAAAAAGTAATTATTGAAATGCAGAAATACCGGAATTTTAAAATAAACCATTTGGAAATCAGTAGCACTAGCATAAAAGATAGAAAAGTCAAAGAAATGATTAAATCGCCAAATTAAAACTAAATAATCAAATGTGCAATATGAATTTCGTGTATATAAATAAATTTAATATTGTTTAAAAATAATTAAATCATCAAATAAATAATCAACTGTGCGATATGAATTTAGTGTGCAATAAAATTGTATAAAAAATATCAATTCAATAAAAAATTTGCAAATTCATAGGAATAATTGTAAAAAAAGGTAAAAATAACGAGTGAAACATTGCATGGATATCATCGCAAATCGAACATGTTAAAGACTGATATGAACATGTTAAAGTCTCAATTACGCGATTCAAACTTAACGTGCCTAATGAAAAGTCCTTTTGCAAGAGCTCTGTAACGTTCTGAGCCAATGTTGCTGCGATTCTGCCAGGGAGATGAATTTCTATAATATATTTTAAAATATACCTATAAAATATTTCAGATTTATAAATATTTCAGATTTATAAATACTTCAATTTTCATTTATTAATTAAAAATAAATAGAAGGAAGGAAGAAAATCACACTTTATATAATAAAAGTCAATTTGAATTTATCTTTTTTTTAAAATTGTGTATGAAGACTTCTATTTGCAATATCAAAAGAAAAAAAAAAGTGGTTTTGAGAATTGTGTCTAAGAATTAGGAATAGATAGAAATTCATTACCCTCATGTTCATTGTTAATAAAAAAAAGTATTACATTTTCAGTACCTTTATTTGCATTTCAGAATATTTATGAATTTGTTTAAAAGATTTATAACACAGTAATTTTTGAAGAATAAATATTTAAACTATAAAAACAGGGTTCCCATGGGTCAGGGAAAACCTTGAATCGTTAGGGAATTTTATTTTAATTCTAAAAAATCAGGGAAAGTTGCAATTTTTTTACAAAAACCTGGAATATGCCTGTATAATACCTGGAATATAACCTGTCTTAAAATTGTTAGTAACAGTAATTAATTATTGATATTCGAGTTAAATAATTCTAGCATCTATTACAATTATTTGTTGTAAAAATTTCACATTTTAGTCAAACTTCCTCATATAATTTTTTTTACGCAGAAAATCAAATATTTCACATTACAAATAAAATAATAAAAGTTTTCTGATGAATATATGGTCTCAATTTTCATTGAAATTTACCCGGCATACCTGGAAAATTCTGGGAATTTTTCTTCTTCTTAAACTGAGTGGGAACCCAGTAAAAATAAATTCAGTTTTTTCAACTATCTAGTGTTAAAATGCTTTGCAAATTTTGAAATCAAAAGATCCTGGTTTATCTGTGGTTGTTTTTATTCTAGCCTCAGAAGAAGCAACTAGGCTCTGATGCAAATGATAATGATGACAACAAGTATTTGAAATTGCCTAATATGCTTCAAATGGTCCAGAGTGAATTGCCTCTAACAGAAGCTGAAAACAACAGCAAATTGATAGGAATGTTCTTATTTCGGCAAGTCATCTCCCCCAATGATACTGTTCAAAAATGCTTGCTCTGTCCCTCCAAAGCAAACTTCCGCCACGTCCTCGAACTCGAAAAACATTATTCCAACATTCACGAACTGGCGTCTCAAACATTCAAGGCTGAATTCAGTGAAAATATTGTTTTCGTTTGCGTACCCCCTGACGTGACAGAACAAACGACCCTCAATTCCAACTGCAGATTTTGCGAAGTGACTCTGAAGAACTTAGCCGAAGTTCGGTCGCATTACCCGGTTGCGCACAACAAGGTTGTGCGTTTGGTGCAAGAGAAGCAAGTTGTCGAACTTAGCAAGTCCCTCTTCTGCAGTATCTGTTCCGAGCAGTCTGACTCTTTCGAAAAGCATCACGCTCACATGAAAAGTGTACATAGAATGCACACCCTGGTTTGCAATTTTTGTAAATTCATTACCTCGCGAGCCAATAGGCTCCGGCAACACATAAAAACGACTCATCCTACCAACACTACTGTCTCTCCAGATAGCATTGGAGCAAAGGGGTCCAAGATAAAGTTGAAATGTCCCGTGTGTCAGCTGTTCATTAATGGAAAAGTCAATTTGGATCAACATATATTGCTGTCTCATTCAGTACAAACAGGTTAGTTTAAATATTTTTTTGACTAATTGGTAAAATTAAATACAATTATTTGAATAATTTAAACTTGGCTTATGATTATTTTATTTTTTAAAATTTAACCTCTCGAGATCAATTTTGAAAATTAAATTTTTTCACCTTCAATACTGTTGCTTACTACAGGCTTGATTGGCTGGATATAACCAATTTAGTTTAAACAGCTTTTAAAACCAATTAGTTACATGCTTGCTAACAGTCGATGCATAAATGGAAATAAGCTGTTTTTCTAAATTTTATTTTTCTAGTTTAATTTCTGACTTATTTGTCTGTTAAGTATGTAAACTAATTTATATTGCTTATATTCATTGGTATTTAATGCTTATTTGCATGTTAATTGCATTTTGGTATTTACCGCTTATTTGCATGTTAAGCTGTAATATATTAAACAAGCTTATTTAAAATCTAGTTATTATACTGTTTTACAATATTTGCATATTTATTAAACAGAAGTGAATTTTTTTGAATTATTTATTCAAAATATTAATCAATCAATAGTTAAAAAAGAGGTCTGTGAAATTCTTTTTAATGATATCGTTATTTTTAATTTGGGGCATAAAATATTATTTAACGTTTTGTTTTAAATGAACCAACAAAAAAAAAAACTTTTTTCCAACCCTGGTTTATTAGCATATTGTATGCATACTGCTTATGTGTTTTGCGTTTTTATAAAATGATTACAATGTTATAATTTTTTATTGTATCAAGTAAATATCTTTGAAATTTTATAATTTAAAAATTTTGTAATGACCTCTTGTATTTTATAAGTTTGTAATAATGTATAATTTTAATATTTTCAATTGAATTCCTCCTTTCTTAGTTGTTGAAATCTTGTGTCATATCTTAGTGCAAGGGTAATTGTTTTATTTTATTTCCCCATAGTTCCAATTTCGGAATTTTTAAGGAATGTGATTTTTATTTTTTTAAATGGAAAAAAAGACACTTAGAAAAAGAAAAAATGCCATATTGTAAGGCCTAGTTGGAACAATAATAGTGGTTCTCCAAATTAAGGTTATCTCAAAGTTAAAAGGACGATAACAAAAATTTTAAGGTAGCGAGTTTTTGAGATAACTAGTTCAGAACTAAATATGTTCTAAAAAGTAGAAAAATGTATTTTAAAATATTACTCTAAAAAGTTAAATCATGATACATAAGAATAACTACCGTTAAATGAGTTTGTAATGATAGTTGAATATAAGTCTAAATAGGTACAACAATAATTATCTTACTTTTAAAAGTAAGACAAAAATAGTTATGTATCAAATAGAAAAGAATTAGTGTACAAAAATTTTTATTAAAAAAAATCGTTGTAACAAGGTTTTGAAAAGAAACTCTTTGACATAGGAATTAACATTAGGTGGATATATAATGCCAAAGGGAAAAATGTTTTTTTGACATCACCAAAGTTTTCAAGATATTGAGAGTATACTGTATATTAAATCCTGTATCAAGATTTATGTAAATTCTATGTTGATAGGTTTTGTAAATATTTTTTACAATTATAATTTTAAAAATATTAAGTAATAGAAATTTATTACTTTGACTGTTCTGTTAATCTGTTCTTATTATCCATATAATCTGTTCCCATTTCAGGCCCTGAAACTTGGTCTTGTGCGAAATGTCTGCGACCTTGTAGTTCTGCTAGAGATTTTACTGTTCATGTTTTCACATGTGCTACTAACAGATATGACAATGCTCCATATAAGCCAGCTTTTGTAAAGCAGACTTCATGTGTTTATAAATGCAATCAATGTGCTGCCACCTTCATTTCTGAAAATCTTATCTTGGTGAGTTATAAAAAAATTTGTTATCTTAAATGTATTTTATTTATTGATATCTTACAGAGTGTAAATAATGTGTAAGGGTAAATGAAAACAGCAACATAACTTCCCCAGCTATAAAATAACTTGGGCCCTAATTGAACCAACATTCACGAATCTTGACTTATTTAGGGCTCAAAGAGCTGAAATTTTTCCGATATGGGCCCTATATAGAATAATCAGATGCACCCGATACTTTACTGCCACTTTACAACCAATATCGGCCCTATATATAAATTTCAGATTCACCCGATATTTTATTATCATTATTCATCCAATATTTACCCTACATTGGCCAGATATAGGCTGATATTGATATGGTATGGTACCAATATTTAAAAATCTAGATTTCCCATATTGTCTCTTGGAACATGTTCACATAAGACCCATACGGAGCCCAACTGGGGCAAAAGTATAATTGTTGCTAGAGTTATGATCTAAAAAATCAGTTTTTCACTTACTAATGAACGATCTTAATAGTTCAAATGATAATGTGTCTTGCTATCTAATGGCTAATATGCTATCTTAATGGTAATCAATTAGTGCAGATATTTCACTTTACAATATCAGACACAAAAGCGTCATTCTCTGAATAAATATGCCTTTTTTTTCTTTTTCTTTCTTTTTATTTATTTTTTTTATTTTATTATTATTATCGATGTAATCTGATAACATTCAAATGCAATCTTTAACTAATGATTTGGTCACTACAGCAGTCAAAATTTTGGAGCCCTTGATGTTATTTTCATTTTTTTTTTTTTTTTTTTTTTTTTTTTTTTTTTTTTTGTTACTGCATGCCTTAACATATTAAAGCAATAATGTTTTTAATTTTTCATCCTTCAAAAACTATTTGAATGATCAAATTCAAATGTCCTCCAAATTTTTTCTTAATAATAATGTGTAAAAATTTTCATACCTTTTAATTCAAAAATTAATTTGTCCGGTGTATTAAGGAAATAATAGTTTATCTTTTGTGTATGTTAGCAGTAATAATTTGTCACAAAAATATTATTTTTTTGGAGGATTTCCTGTGGATTAATGTTATAAACAATTGTGCGCAAAAAGTTTATTATTCTCTTAAAATGTTTAAGCTTTATGGCAAAATATGCTAAAAGTAAAAATTACATTAAGTGATCTATTTCAGTCTGTTAAAACTACTTGTTGACCATATGGCTATACCACATATTTTGAGGGTCAAGATTTCAAATCAATTGAAAAATATTCAGAGGAGGAATCATTATTTTTGTTGTTGTCTGAATTTCTAACTTAAGTCCACACTAATAATCCACACATAAGTCTTATGAACTATTAATATCCTCATAATAATAGTGTAATCTGCCCATTTGCTCAAAAATTATTTTTCTTATAACAATAATAATAATATTAAATTTGAATTTGTGCACTATGCAGTGTGCGAAATAAAAACTGACCACCCTAATTAAGTTTTGATTTAATAATCGAATATTCAAGTTCTAGGACTGAATCTTAATAGTATGAGATGACCTGAAATATGCTAAATAATTAGTGCAGACGATATTTTAAGTTACAAAATCAGACACAAAAATGCACTTTCTCTAAATAAACATATCTTTTTTCAACAGACGCGGATTTCTGATCCCCAAAATATTGGGGGTAGCCGCAATCTGGCAAATATAGTTACCATGTTTGGTCAGGAGAGCAATCCAAAGTTTGAATTTCATTATGTTAAGTTTTTTTTTGCGTATTTCAACAGGATTGCATATTTTAACGAAATTTTTTTGACCAAAATGGAAACAATTTGCACATAATTATAAAATTTGTATATCCGAAAATAATTCCTTGCGAAATATTACTTTTAGTAAATATTTTATTTAATAACAGTTGAGAAATGTATGAATTGTAAGGTATGCAATTTTTTACATAATTTTAAGGATTGTAATTTTAAATTTAAATGAAATCCATCAATTAGTTCATGAGAAATTGAATTTTACGTAAGTCCTATTTTCAAAATTCGACATCTCAGGAAATTGGCCTGATTTCATTCATGTTTTGTATTTTGAAATTGCAAATTTTAAAATGATGTAAAAAAATGTATACCTTAAGGTTCAAAAAACCGATTGTTATTAAGTAAAATAATAAATGTTATATTTTGTATAGAATTACCTGGGGATCAACAAATGTTATAATTGAGTGCAATAATTATTCAATTTGCTTAAAAAGTTCTTGAGATATAAAGTATGCAAAAAGTAAAATTAAGATTTCCAATTAACATTTGGTGGTGGGGTCCAAGCTTTGGACAAACTAATAGGGACCTTATATCCCAGATCGTGACTACCCTCGATATTTTGGGGGTCTGAAAAAAAAGATCATGTTCATGTGTTAAATCATGTATTGTGATTCAAATCTTTTAAGATCGCTTTGTAACATGATACCTTGCCATTTTCTAAATGTGTTGTAAATTTATCTTTCAGCAACATTTGGTCGATTCTAAACACACTGAACATTATGAAGTAGTGCGAAATGTTCCAACAAGTGGACCCCCAGAGACGTGCTTTTTGTGTGAAGAAAGTTTTGTTCATTCTGAAATGTGCAAAAAGCATTATTTGCATACTCACATGGTTTGGTCCGAAAAGACTCCTATTAAGCACAATGATAGCAACAATGCAAGTGAGTATTTTTATTGTAATCACACTATATATGGTGCGCAGCGTTTTTAAAAAGTGCCTAAAGGTGCTTATTTCCGATTTTTGTTTTTAAAAGCCCTTAAAGGTGCATTTTTCATGAGGTGTGTTTAAAATGTGCTTTATTTTCCCTTTTTGAAAATGAGATTTTTTTTCTTTATCGTGTCGTTTTTTGCTGTGTATTATGCAAAAGCATGATTTTTGCATTGTTCTATTCTACATTTTTACAATTCATTCACCCGCAACCCATTTGGACGTACAGTCAGTTTGTAACGTATGATAACACCGATCATGTTACATGTTCGATGAAATGCTTGGGAGTGACTATTGAGCTAATCAGTTTAATATTAAATTAATATAAAAAAATTGTTATTCATTCTGGCAGCGATAATTGTGCTCCGGAAAAATCCGTATTTCCAGATTTTTTGCTAACTCCAATCCGGAAGTTTCCGGAAACCCAAGGTCCAGATGTTTCAAAAATTCATCAATCACATTTATGTATATTTTATTTAGAAATATTAGAACTAGAATTTATACTTGACATCTTTTTCATTTGTAAATATTTTTTCTGGTAGAATAATAAATGTGACTAGACATAAAAGTAAACTTATGCATAATAATTCATTTAAATTATGCTGCGTATAATTTATTTAGAATTTCATGTTTTGATAATATCAATGATTTCTATTATAAAGACAAAAATTTTTTGAAATGCGTCATTAATGATTTTACTCAAGAAATTTTCAGGATTTTTTAGTTGGGCTAACAATCACCCCCTTTTCTAGTATTTAATCTCATTTCTTAAACTATATTCGGTATATGATAAATAAAATTTTTAAGTTTTGTCAAAGTAATTTAATTATCTTTATTTTGATTGTTAACATATAAGAAATATATGAATAACTTAATATATATACAAGAATAAAAATGACTTTTGATGCACTTTTTTAAGTTAAGACACCTAAGTTGTCCCCTAAAGTAATATGCCTTAAGTGGACAATTTACACAGTTTAACAAATAATGAATATTGTTGTTTTATTTTGTTTGTTTGATGTTTTTACAGGTGATGTCATTTCGTGTAAATTAAAAATGGAAGAAATTCCTGATAAGGAAGAATTGAATCAGCTTAAGTTTGCATCTAAGATTGGAAATTACTGTCATATTTGTGACACTGTCATCTCCAGCTATTCTCTTTATTATCTGCATATGCAAGATCTGCATTCCTCTGAGAAGTGTTTCCAGTGTATAATTACATCTTGTGGTAAAACTTTCACAAGTCCTACCGAATTCAAAAAGCACATCAGGTTACATCCTCAAAACTTTGCTTACAACTGTAGCATTTGCGATGCTACATTTGTGAATGAAGAAGAATTGAAAGAGCACAATGTTTCAGTCGAGCATGGTAGTCAATATATGAAAATGCATGTAAGTGGATTTATTTCTATAAATTTGTTTCATATTGCTGTTTTATTTCATAATCAACTTCTGTTTTTAATTATTAACTTCAGTGTTTACTTTAGAAATGCAATTCTGGTAAACTTCTATTCAAGGTGGCAAAAAACCCACCAACCCAGTAAAACCCTACATAAAGTGGGTTTTACAGCATTAAATTGTCATTAATGATGAACAAATTTTTTCCTCTTTATTAAACATGAACATTTTTCAGGAAAAATGCCGACCAAGTGGTATTGAAGCTAGAAATCACCAATGCAAGATTTGTCAAACCTGGTTCGGTTTACGGCATTATCTTGTGCAGCATATGGAGAATGATTCACATGACTACAAGTGTCAAAAGTGTGGTTTACAGTTCTTGCAACCCGGTTCTAGAAGATTACACATTCAACAAATGCATACTGATATTGCAACAGTGTGTGAGGTATGTTGTTGAAATTCTTTTTTTTATATAGTCTAATATTGTTCCCCGTAGCAGAATTTTTTCGAACTATCTGCGACAAAACTCTAGCACTAATATCTTTCTGCAAGATGCTTTTAATAATAACAAACATATATGTTACTAAATCAAAATAACAAAAGTGCTGTGTTTACAAAAAAAAACTATATAATTTTTTTAAATTGAACATATTATAGTTTTTTATTCAAATATTATGGGTGATATTCTCTCATTTTGTTGGGGGGGGGGGTGGCGCCCAAATTATTTCTTTTGCATTTTGTAAATAACCATCACAATAAAAAGCATTATCAAAAATCAGGAATTTCGTAAAAAAGGTAGATGACGAAATTACGCGAATCAGACTCCTCAAATGCGTGTTTCGTTTCGAGATTAGGTAGTAATAAATGTTAAATACTAGTATAAAAAATATCAGATTTAAAAACTATGGAGAAACCAATAGTAATAACTGTGAAAAATTCAACAGAATTATTACCTTTGAAAGTAAATACTCAAATGCACGATTCGAATTTTCCATTATTTTTGAAATATATTGGGATATTTAAGAACCACGTGAAAATCAATATCAACAGGTGCCAAAAACACAATCGAAACATTAATCGATTTATGATACTATCTGCGTAAACTTTGTGCATCCAAAAGTGATGATCTGACTGCATGATTCAAATATTACGCAAATTTTATGTCGATACATTATTTTACGAAGATTATGTAATAAACTTCTGCAGAAAAGAAAAAAATTTTTTACTTTTCAAACGAAAATTACTCAAATTGCAACAACATTGTCACTGAATGAATTCTGTGAAATGTTGTATCACTACGATTCTGCCACGGGGATATTGTTAATAAGATAACATTTTTACTTTAGCTAACTTTAGTGTTTAAAACATGAATTGCTGATCTGTGGCACTCCTGCTATAGTGTTTAAGGGGGAGTTTCAACAGCAGAATATAAAAACCTTTCTGCTGTTGAAATTAAAATATGCTGACGAACTTTGAGATGATTGAATAGATAGAAGAAAAAAATTGATTCATAAGTTTCATGAAATACTGCCTATTTAATTGTTAATTAGGATTACATGTTTCAAGTTATTAGTGGGTCTGAGAGTTATTAAAGATTTGATTTTTAAAAAAGGGTGCCTTAAACAATTCTAAGAATTCTATTATCAGCTTTCTTTGTTATCTTAGTCTTTAATAGTTGCATTAATTTTACTTTGTATAGTAACATTATCTTATTCAAATAAAACTATATTATCAACATTTGTAATTTCAATATAATTTAGACATTTTTCAAATATTAATTGTCTGATTTGTAAATCTATTAGCATCACTATTTTATCAATCCTCTTGTTTAAAGTTTGGTTCAACAATAATTGCTGTTAATTAGGATACATTTTGAAGCTGATAAAGTCTTGTCCGCTTCCGAGCGCTAACACAAAAAATACAGAAGTGAGAAGAAGTAAAGTTCTTCGTTTCTTAATCTTTCTGCTTTGGATTCCATGAACATTGCAAGAAAAAAATATGATAAGTAAAAGAAAATTGAAATATTTCTTGAATAAATGAAGGAAAAAGTGAATGCGAGAAAATAGTGTCCAGCATCTCACATGTTTATCTAATGACTTTATAGAGGTGCTTCTTTTTACTTTGATCGCTGACGTTTATTTCTCACTTTCATTCATCTTGTTTTGATCAAAATGCTATTAAAGTCAATAATGATAAAATATTAACCAAGTAATATTTAATTAACTCTAAAATAATCAAGTGCACAAGATTACATTCTATAATATGTGTTCAAAAGCCTTACCAGTTCTAGGATAGGGTGGTTCTTTGTTTGCAAGCTGCATGATTACCAAAAGCATGCACATGCTACTGGTTTCTCGATCAAGTGCGACATCCCAGACTTGGAGTGAGCTTCACTCCTTTTCTTTATATTCTTTAACAAACAAGTGCAAAACTAAAATAAAATCGAAGATTTTAAAACCACATTTTAAGTGTAGAGACTAATTTTATTTCTGCTACCGATAAACAAAAAACATCGGAGCATATCTCTTTTGTTAAATAATTTCTGACAGTATCTAATATTTCCCACGTTTTACTTTTAGGTGCGACAAGAGCTAAAATAATTTTCTACTACATAACATGGGTTTTTAAAAAACCTTATTTTTAAAAAAAACCTTATTTGTTTATTTATTGTTTTATGTGCGTAGTGAATGAGATTTGATTAATCATTATTTATAATTTATGTCATTTCTGTGTTTGGGGATTGCAAAATTTAATTGATTTAGGCATGAAAATTAGAAATTTTATCATTACATGCTAAAGGATTCCTATATTTCAGTTCTGTGGTATAAAACTAACAAGTACTCAAGCAGTTTGGGCTCATTTGAAAAGCCATGGTATTGTTCACGAATGTACAAGCTGCCATAGACGTTTCCTTCATAAGGAGCAAGTCCTTACACACATGGAAGCTCATGAGTAAGTATAACGTTTGTTCTTCCCTAGCTACAGTAAATATATGAATTGAAAAATACTGAAGACTTTCTGTTGAAGAAAACCTTAAGGAGAGACCATTAAAACCTCTCCCAGCAACCAGGAAAACATCTGCACCAAATGCGTGAATGGAAACATGAGAAAATATCAAAACAAAAAATTTTACGAAACAAATAATTAGGTTAAAATGTATTCAAAATGTTTGTAAGAGGCTCTTATTTAGAGATCTCTTTTTGACACTACAACCTCATGTTGCAGTCAGAGTGTACTAAAGACGATACTATCAAATGATTTACTCTTAGAGTTGAAAGTTAAATTAGAAGAAAAAAATTTATTTTAGAAAAAACAAGCCTCTCAAATATACAAACCTCTTCGCACCTTTTAATAATATGCAAACTTAACGATATAAAATTAGATGCAAACTTAAACAAAAAACATAATTGTTTATTTAAAATAGCTTTATCATTCATAATTGGTAAATTTGTTATTGCACATAGTTGTATCAATTCGGACAGATTTATTCATTGATGTCTTTTCCTGATGACAACAGAAGTGGAATTTACACACCTAGAAAATGACACGGACTAAAATTAAAATCGTTCAAGATAAATCTGGTTCCTTTGATAACAATTTTGAAATCTATGGAGGTAACCTCTAAGAACCTCCCACCTTCATTAACGACCATTTTACTGTGAAACGGAGAGTGGTCGCTCCCGAAAGGTTTTACTGTAGCTCTCTTCTTTCTAGTAAGAGTAGAGTTTCCCCAAATCTAAATATAATTCGCATCAAAAGTTCAATTAAATTTACCTTGTTTAATTTATCTGTTTGATGAAATAAATTGTTAACAAATAGATAATCTTTTAAAGTAATTTATGTAATAAAACAAGTAAATTTATGTGTTATATCTTGTAAATATATGTGTTTCATGTGGTTAAATAATTTTTATAATTATTTGAAATGTTATTGGCAAAAAAATATTTTTTTAGTCATAGTGTTAATTGCTAACGTTTTTTTCCTCATCTGATAGCCCTCCTGTCCAGTGTCCCTGGAAGGGATGTACTCGCCAACTAGTGACAAAAATTAGTCTCTATTATCACTTGAAAACACACAGGGGAGATGAAAATCACAAATGCCCATTTTGCGAAAAAGGTAATTGAGCAAGGGGGATATTTTATTTTTTATATATGTCTTTTCTGAGTTTATTAAAAATATATTTCATGAATATGATGATACGTAATTATGAATTGTTTCAAACTTAATATTTTAGTTGATTGATTTTTGTGTGTAATAAATTTTATGCAATCACTTATAAATTTAATTTCTCTTTCAAAATTGTATGTAGTTATATATTTTTTGCATAAATGACAGAGATTAAGTTTTTTTTTCCAAAAAAAAAAAAAAAGCTAAATTATAATTTTAAATTTAACTATAAGGTGTGGCTACCATACCTGCCAACTTTTAATCCTTTCAAGTATGATTTTCCCCAGTGGTAGTATTCTGGAATTTGAATTACAATTTTAGGCAGAATCATACACTGTATTTTGAAAAGGTTTACACAGATAAACCCAAATATATTACATATTAATATGTATGCTTAATTTTTGTAAAACTAGTGGTGGTCAAAAAGATAATACCGTTCATAAATACAAGAAATATATAGAAAGCATACATTTTACTACCACTTTAAATATAGAAATAAAATTTTACGCCAAATGCGTAAAAGTTGGCAGGTATGAAGTCTTATGTGACATTTTAAAGAAACAAGGTTTAAGAACACCCTTAAAACTTCTGCTGAAAAGTCCGTTAGAGATTTGTTTAAGGAGTATGGTGAATCATCTTTTCAACCTGCAAAATCAAAGAATTTGTTAGATTAACAAGGTTTAAGGATGTCAAACACGTGAAGAGAACACTATACAATGCTATACGTTAGGAAGATCCAAATGCTGAAAATTGTTTTTTAAAATGCAAACAAATTATAATTTTAGTCTACCATTTAAGGAGCATTTCGGTTTGTTAAAACATGTCTCTCTAAAACAGGATTCTAATAAATAACTGCAATTGTGCATACTTTTTTCCATTTTATTTTTATACTGTTTGTAATTATTTGAATATTTTAAATGCATGTATTGTTTTAGTGTTATGTAGCAAGAATATAGAATGTTTCTTTTTTATATTTTATAGAATTCATTAAGCAAAAATTGCTCGAAGCTCATATGAGGACTCATGAAGCTGATGCTGCAGGTATTCATAATTATTTGTATATATAATTTTTTGCATATATTTTTAATTACAGAATAACACTAAAGTTTTAAAAAATTGAAATATCAAAAATTTAACTTCTAAAAAAGTCTTAATGCTATCAACAGTAGAATAAAGAAGAAAAAAATTTCTTAATTCATATTTTAATAAATAATCAATTGTTTACTAAAGTAAACATTGTCCAAAAGAAATTGTAATTTATAAGAAGAGGAAAAAATTCCTTGCTGATTGCTTAAGAGAAGATAAATTTACCAGTGATGCTTTCTACAGGGTGTAAAGCATTTTTAAAAAGTGCTTATTTTTGATTTACATTTTTTTGAAAGCCTTTAAAAGTGCCTTTTCTATTTGGGGTTTGGAAAAAGTACTTAATTTTCTATATTTTAAAAAGAGATTAAAGTGATTAAAAATATTTTTTGAGTACTTAAAAAGTACTTTAACCCACTGACGGTTCTGCACGTAAAAAGTCGCATTTTAACCTGCAGTCTTCTCTGCATAGCAAAACCGGTTTTCCCATGTTAACTGATAGGGGATCTGTGTGTAGGGGAGAAACATTCTCCCTATTTTGCCCATTTCCGTAACCGCCAGTGGGTTAAAGGTGCTTATTTTTTGTTGAAAAATCTGGTTACACACCCTGTTTGTGAATTAGCAATAGCCACCTTATTTTTAATTGAACGTTGAAGAATAAAAGGATGGTAGGGGAAGGATGGGTGTTCTGAATGTGTTGCATGATTGATTGAAAAGAGTAAAGGAAACAATTTCAATTTGTTTGCATTGATTGCTACCTTTCAATTTTAAATTTATAGAGAGCTTTTCTAGTATGTTTTTTAATAGTTTTCTGTTTTTTATTATTTTTATTTTTAGAAAAATTTTCTTTTAAGGAATAGGAAAATATTCTAATTATGAGGATATATGTATATTTATTATATACATAGCATATATAAGCTAAGCAAAGTCTTATTGGCTTATAGATTTCATCTACGCCTCAACTTGCCGAAGTGAAAAACTTATTTGAATCTTTTTCCGAACAAAATCAATATTTCATAATGCACCAAACAAATATTCACAGCATTATGTTGTCACAAGCACGTTATTTGAACCGAATTAGAGTTAAGCTTGTAATAGAGCTACAGACATGGGATTTTTCCTCTGATTTACGTTCTTCTGTTTTTTACTTTTTTTTAAAATTTTATCATGATTCTCTATAATATTTTAATCATATATATTTCTGAGAATATTGAAAAATAACCAAACTGCCAAAAGTTTTGTATCATGCACATTTGATAATGTATAAAACATGCCAAAGAAAACTTAGAATGCATGGATTGATAAAGATAGGTATTGGGTCCTGACAAGTTTTTCAATAATTCATTAGGGGTGGTTTATCTGTGGGTCATTCACCAATTTTTATTAAATTAAATGTTTTCCCAATTAAACTATAGCCAGTTATGTTAGTTGAGCCTTTCATGTTTATCTAAAGATAATTTAAACATTTTTCAAGTGCTATATTTTGCAATCTGTTGATCAGTTCGTGATATATCAATTAGTTAAATGTTAGTGAAATTTTAAATTACTTGCTGCAAGTTATTCTTAACTCAGATTTTCATGCCTGTGCCAAGAATTTCAAATTATTACCCAAATATTTCAAGTATTTTTTCCAGTGGTAAAAAATCCTTCTCCAAAACAAAATTTTATTTGCCAAATGTACCATTTTATTGCATTTAGTGAGGTCATGAATGCTTAGCGCTTTAACTGTATTGATACAAAATAATCTAAAGTTCAATATTTTTTCAAGCATATTCTACTAATTTTTTATATTTCAGATCCTTTCTTCTTTTAAGATGGTTCAAAACAAATTAAGTTTCCCTAAGTTTAAATTCCAAATGTAGTATTCTAAGAAAATATTTCTACTTTTACAAACATCGGGTGCACATTCTTATTAATATTAAATTATAATTTTTTTGTGAGTAAATCAATTCATCAATTTATATTTATTCATAAAATTAATATATTATGTAAATAAAACTTAGTTTCTAGCAGTTTTTCAAATAAAATATTATAAGATTAAGGATTTTTTAAATTTACTTAATGCGTAACACATTAAAAGTGATACATTACTAAGTTGTGCTATTTAAAATATGTCAATTGAAATTAATAAAAATGTGAGTGATTTTGTTTCCATTATTCGTCCGAAATGAACATTCTGTGTTGAACAATATAGGCTAAATACCAAATATTTGTATGTTGCATCTCTAATTTAGTAGCAGCAATTGTTGAGCAGAATCTTGTATCTGTTTACAATTTTAAAACTTGAAAAGGTTTTTAGCAATTTTTGCAATAACATGACCCTATTTGCACAAATTCTCAAAAGCAGGGCCCTGGTTGAAGGAATGTAACTTAACGCTTATTTTATATTCACAAATTATGAATAGTTTTTTCACACTTTTACAAAAACAGGACCTTTTACAAAATGTCTGGATGGTCCCCTGATAAAAATACCTAAAATTCCCTATGTGGGAAATATTTAGTATATTATGCAACAATAATCATGAAATTTATATTATTTCGTAAATTCTACTGGATGTTTTCCTATTCATGTTGGCAGCTATGATATTCTTACCACTTTTTTATTATTTTTTATGTGACTTCACTTCTTGTTTTCGTAGCTGCTCAAAAGAAGGCGGAAGCTGAAAATGATGAGAAAGAATCTTCAGAAGCCAAGTCTCAGAGTGAAAGTGAATTGATACAATTAGTATGTGCTGGCTGTGAAAAAGGATTTGATGATGAAGATCAATTTGCCAGCCACAAGTGCAAAAGCGAGACAGAAAATGAGTAAGGAGTTTTCCTTTTTCTTCTCCAAAGATTCACTTAAGATTATATTTTATTGTTCAGTCATTGGAAATTGACAGTTGGCTCTGCTTTCATTACGTGGTGTCTGCCGATACTATTGTTCTACTTTTGGGAGAAGAATGTGAACAATCTTGAGGAAGGTTGTCAGTTGGTGATTGTATGATAAAAACATGGGTATCCGCGCCCCTAGAAAGTCATGAAAAATCATGAAAAAGTCATGAATTTCGGAATCGAGGAAAATTTGTCATGAAATGTCATGATTTTAACTATTTTTTTAAAATAAAAAATCATGGAAAGTCGTAGATTTGGGTAGCCGAAAAATTTCATTTGTAAAATGGAATTTATCCCCCCTTTTTTTTGTGTGTGTTTCGAATATCTGAATTTGTAACAAAACTCCCACTCACAGTCATATTTTATTAAAATATTTTTATCATGTTCTTTAAAAATATTGATGTTCTTTCAAAAAATGAAAGTAAAACATTTCTAGATCAAATTATTTTTTAAACTTCTGTGATTTTAGAATTTTTATTATTATTTTTATTTTATCAATTTAAAATTCTAGCTGAAGAAAGCAAGTCATTGGCGATTTTTTTTATTCGGAAATTTAAACAGAAAAATCAGGAGTATTTCTTTCCTTTCTGATGAACAAGAAAAGTATGTTTAGAACATGATTCTGTTAAAAAAAAAGGGGGTGGGGAATTTGCTTTTGTATTTTTCATTGGCTATTTTATTGCTTCAACTCTTTCATTATTGTTTTAATAAATTTAAAATCTATAATTATGAAGATGCAGAATATAACAGTTTTGGCTATACCTATCATTTCACTTACGGTTATTATAATGCTTTTTTAAATTTATTGTTGTGTTTTTGTCGTAGAAAATAGTAGCTTCGTTATGTCATGAAAAAAATTTCCCTGTATGTATTAAAGAAATTTAAAAAGAAAAGGAAAAAAAGTTTGGTGTTAAAATATCCGCTGATGGCAAAAATGCTTCCTTTATTCCTCAACAGTATTGCCAGTACTGCAGTATGTTAAGTGTTTATAGTTTAAGTGATTAAAAATAATAGTTTAAAAATCTTTTTTAGATTAAGATTTATATACATATTTTTTACTTCTCTAAATCTAAGTGCTTATATTTCCAAATTTGAATTTCTCTTTTCGACTTACAGGATGTATCAAAACGTTACTCGTAGCCTAAAAAATGCCACTAGTAAAAACCTCTGTTATTCTCCTTTTTATTTGAATTAAAAGTAAAAAAAACTCAATGGTTAAAATATGCCATCTTTAACTTTTCACCTGATTTAAATAAAATTAATTTTCTGAAAAACATTTTAAAGCTGAAAACTAAAGAGATAGTTTTTAACCATTTCAATTTTTGTTGAACGCTATTTTAAAGCTTTCTAATTAGCAATTAAGTAATCTTATATTAAATTAAAATGAATTATCTCAAGAAACTAAAGTGAACAGATTCTTGTTGATACTTATCTTAATTTGCTTCAAGATATTATCTTCATGTATTTTTTAAAGCAAATGTAGTTATATATCATCAAGTAAATCTCAGGTTTGAATATAGGGACCGTAAAAAAAATTTACTTGTGACAAATGTTTAGCTGCAATATTCACTATATCTTCATTTCAAAATTGTTGAAACTATTTTTAAATCATTTAAAAAATATATTTAAATCATTTTAAAAAATTAAAAATATTATCATTTTAGAAGTATTAAACCTAGTTATAAATTTTAATAAAAACTTATGAGGGGACATTCACTAGCTTACATTTGCAATAGAATTTAGTTATCTTAGTTTGCTTAATCAGGGTTGTCACTCCACAGGGAAAACCTGAAAAATACAGGGAATTTAAAAATCACGTAAAATGCAGGGAATTTTGATTTTTTTTTTCTTTACAAATTGGGAAAATACAGGGAATTTTATTTAGTATTTTTGTCTTTTAAAAAATGGTGACTGCTCAAAACGTAATCTATGGGATATTTAAGGATGATATTTCATCTATTCTAAACTATTTCATTTACTATTACTATTTTATTTCATGCATTATTTAAGTATGTTCAGCTGTTTTTCCAGCCATTAAAACTAATACATATAGTTAGTCCAATAAAGCTCACACATGAGCACAGTAATTGTTGTTCCCTTTTAATATATTGTGTATAATATGTACAGGGAAAACGCGGAGAATTTTTTTCCTCCAGATTTCAGTGGCAACCCTGTTAATACCCTGCACATTCTTATGAATTTAGTATGCCCAATAATAATCTTTTAAATGTTTTTGTTGGGTATACATTTATAAATAATCTATATTTAAATGTTAAAAATAACCCAATAGCTTAAATTAAATAATAATTTTAAATTAAAGTTATTTTTGCAATATAATTGAAGTAATTATATATTAATTCAAAGAATTAAATGAGCATCTCCATCTCAAATATGTTTAAAATTTTGCTTAAAAAGTTTTTATGGTGGTTTTTTTTAATCAAAAAATAGTATTTTGCTAGGCACAAATTATTTTATCATGATTGTGCAAAATCTTTGAAAATGTTTTTGCTGTTAATGTTATACGTGTGTATATGTTTATATTATTTATATATGTATATGGCCAATAAATCTAGGAAACGAAATTTGAGTTTAAGATACCTTAAAAATACTATATTTTTAACCAAAGAAGAAAAAAAAGTAAAACTTTCTGAATGTTACTTTCAAGTGCTTGATATCACTTTAATTTACGTTAGTGAATACACATGTGCTAAAAGTTTTCTTTTTTGCCTTATAATGCATTTCTGTTCATTAAATTGAATAAAATGTGAATTTTATAAAAATATTTTAAAATTTTTCTCTTCAGTTTTAAGAAAACAGCATTTTAACATACAGACATATTGTTTACAAATATATTTGTTCGTTGATACTAGCTGTCAACAAATGTTTCTCTCCTAAACTAAAAATTACTCTTACGGTTTCCTTTGATCGATAAGAGCATCTTAAAATTTAGTAGAATATCTGGTCGCCCATTATATTTCTTTAAATGCTAACTACCTAAATCTAAATATTTGTTGAATTTACTTTTGAAATAAAAAAAATAAAAAAACTTTATTAACCAGTATAGATGTTTTGTAACGTAATGTGCATGAATGATAAAAGGAAATTTGATAAAATTAACTGGAGAAGTCGATGCGATCCTTAAAATTATGAATTTTAGAATTTACTTTAGAAGAAATCTTTAAGTATCTTTGTAACAAATTTGCATTATGTCATCGCTGAAGTCTGTTGCGCAGTGAACTGACCATAAAGACACGGTTCCCAGTAGAACACCGAACTCAAGCATCACTGGCTGCAGTCAGTGCACGAGTGGGTGATAACTTTGATCAGCCTGCGTAGGGATCAAAGGTGCGCGGTGTCGGTCCTCGTTAAACTGTACTTCCGTAGAGTGCTTGATTTCGCAATCATGTCGTCAGGCTGCCAAAGCAGGGGACCAATCCCCTCTGCAGAGGAACAAAATTGCAGAGTCATGTCTTCAGATGATCCTCGATTTCTTGATTTCCTAGACCGTCGTCAATTATGCAGCTCTAGTGCGATGTAAATTTCTTTTTTATAAAGAGGTTTGGATTATTTAAAACTACTAGCTATAGAATTGTAAATAAAATTTATCTCTTCTGATAATACACAACAAAGTAATATAAATTTGTAAAAGTTTTTCTTTTTCATCTATAACAGTTATCATGTATACTGTTCATTAAAGACTTGTATGCCATTTTAATTTTCCTCTATGGGAAGATTTTCTCTGTGCTCTATGGGAAGACAAAGGCACGTGAATAATATTTGAATAAAATCACATTCTCTAAAAATTGGAAGAAAAAAAAACTAGTTTATAATTCAAATATATTTTAAATTCAGAAGCAAAAAGGTTTTTTGGTGCTAAAATGAAAGTATTAAGGGTAGTATTAAAATTATAAATACATTACTAGTTAACCTACGATTTTAAAAACACATATGTTAGCAAAATGTTCCAATTTCAGTGAAGGTAATTTCTACAGGATTAATTAGAGGAATTAAATTAAAAATTATCTTTTTTAAAAGAAAAATAATGAAACTATTTTATTTTGAAACATATTCATAGAATACAAATTATTAACCAAAAAAAAAAAAAAAAAACCATTCTCATTTTTCTAGTTTTTTTGATGTTTTATGTAATTTTATTATTTTTAGTGATTATTGCAGAATAAATGTAAAGCCAAAAATGGCACATCTGTGTTACATTTCAAGGGGGTTGAAAATAATAATAAAATTTTTTTTTATTTAAATGCTATTAATAAAATAACAATTTTAAAATATGAGTATTTTTAGTAAGCAGTAGCTTTTCACTTACAATTTTATTTAGAAAATATGGTGTTAAAAAAATTGCAAATATTGCTTTTTTGTTATCTGTATTGACTTATAGTTTTAAACATTTTTTCCCCTTATTTTTCAGGATGAATAAACTTGCCGATTCTCCAAAACAGTCAGAAATTCCAATCATTGATACAGAAAAGTCTGAAGCTGCAGTTTCAGATGAAAAACTTTTTTTCGCTGAATCTGAAGAACCTACATCTGAAACAAAAACAGTCGATGAACCGGATGAACCCGAAATGTTCACCCAAACAAGTCAGTTGACTGAAAAATCCAATGCCGATTCAGAAGTAGTCGATAAAGTTTCTGAGAATTCTGCTGAAATAAATTTGATGGAAGCCAGCGAATCACCAAAAGAAGAAAGTGGTAAAGTTGAAAAAGACAGCGAAGAGGAAAAAGTTTTGGAAGTTGTGTCCGAAAACAGCGAAGATGTAACAGATAAAGCTTTAAGTTTGGATGCTGAATTGTCGAATAGCAATGATGAAAAGAAGGAATTTTTGGATAGAGTTCTGTCAATGTCTAACCAAGAGAGTAATGATGGTTCTGCCCATTTTGATGAGTTATCTAGTGAAATGGCCCTTGCCATCGATAAAGATCAAGTAATGCAGATGGAAGATTCAGAATCTGCTGCCAGTCGAGTCGATTTACCAGATACTATTGTAAGTCAAGAAACAGATGCACCCGCTTCTGAATCGGACGTCGCTAATCAAATTCCTGACAAATTTCTAGAACCTTCGTCCCAGTCAGAGTTTTCAGAACCTGCGGATACTGAGCAACAAATAATCTCAAACTTGGCCAGCATTGGGGAAGATAGTAGCATTGATGAAACATTACAGAGCAAAGATGATGAAGCAGGGGTGAGCAAGGAATCGAGCAACGGGCAACAGATTTCCTCCGAACCAGATCAGGAGCAAACAGTCGTAATGATGGTTGCAGATCATCAAGACGATAGCCAAGAAATGGAACTAGAATTAGCAGATGACGGAACCTATGCCGGAGCCACACTTTTAAAAGTACCAACTTCTGATGGCAAACAAGTCCTTTTGATTCCATTTAGCTCTGCAGATGGAACCCAGGTTTTGTCGTTACCTCCAGGTTTGACGCTCGAAACTGATGGTTCTCCTCATGGACAAAACATACAAATAGCATTAGAAGACACGGGAAGTGTTGATGAAAATGGAGAACAAAGGTTCCTCCATGTACCCGTGGAAGGTATGGGCGACTTGCTTCAAGCGGGGGAAGATATTCAAGTAGAAGAAAAAATGGCAACGGACTCTATCGTTTCCGACAGCGACATTTCTCTTCACTGAAACAAAGGAAAATATTTGTTAATGTATATCTGCTTACCTTGTCAAAAAGAAGAAGAAAATAACTTGTTTTTTGTTATTGTTTTTTTGACTGGTGGAATTCCTATGGGGTTTTTAATTCTGACATTTGATTAAATAAATATTCTTTCTATACATATGCTTCTTTAAAAACAAGTAAAGGAAATGAATACTAATGCATCGTAAAAGAAGAAAAATAACATCCTGTTATTAAATCTTTTAGTTTATTTCCTGACTAATTTAAGTTTAAAGTTATACATTTGTTTAGTTATCTTTTACTTATAAGATAATTCATTTATCTAATTAAAAAAAAAAAAAAAAAGAATTATTTCCTTTTCTTGTTTAATGAAAGCAGCAACATTAAAAACAAGCAGTTATATTAGAGAAGAAGTTCATTTGAATGTCGTGTATAAATAAGTGATTGAAAGCTTCATTTGCGGATAGTAGGGGAGTCTGTATATACATGCGGTAGTTAACTCTTCTTCTTTTACTAGTCTTTGGAAATCATGCAAGCTTCCCATCTTTTAACTTCACCCTCCATTGGACAAGTGCTATTTTTAGAGGTTTACTTAATAATGTAAATAATTAAAAATATTTTAAGTGTGTTGGAATAGATTTAAATTATTAACTTTCAATGCATTGCCGAAAGCCATAAAAAAATTTTCTGAACAAAAAAATCCGAGTTGTAAATTCTTCAGTTAGCCACTCTTTCAAGTTATTTAAGGACTTCAAAATATTAATTGAAAATACTGTGCAATGTATTTAGTGGTGGGTATTTTTTCTTAAAAAATACAGTAATCTTTTTGTCATTTGGAATTACGTGAACTAATTTAAGCTATAAACCCGTTTAAAAATTTTTAAAAAAAAAACTCATTTTGGTTTATATTGGCAGCAATATTTTTATACCTCACACTTTAAGAGCAATGACTGTTTACTTCATAGATTTGTTTTTATATATTTTAGTTGCATGTAAATCCCAAAACACTAAATTAGAAAATTAAATTAAATTTTTGAGAGTCCTTTCCTTTTTCCGTGACTTATCATTGTTCCTTAGAAAGCTTTTCAAATTTATTTAAAAATGCATATACCAAATCATCTTACGCTTCCATCATATTAATTTTATAAAGGTTGAAGTTGGTAAATAAAATTGGTGTTCATTTCATTTCTTTTCATCAGTGATTACTGCATCTCTTATATAAATATGTTTTGGCTTTCTGTTATTTTTTCTCTCACTTGTATCGATAATTGGCTTTATCATCCATTAAATTGTAGCAAATGAATAGAAATGTATTTAAAATTTTACATCATACAAATAAATATTTTTAGTTTCTGTAATTTAGGTTTTTTCATTGTCTATGCATGCAAATAAGCTAATAAAATCTATATAATAAACAAGCTTAACTAAGCCTAAACTATTGATGTGATATATTTGAACTAAAATCTAAATTTTCCCAAGTTTTTGTGCATTTGTATTTAGCCAGAGAATTTAATAATTAACAAGTTTGACTCTTTACAAAATTGGGGATTGTTAGAATGAAAATGTTTAAAGGAAGGTATGAAATCTAATATTTTTGCTGAACCAAGATTATTTTTACTTATTACAATTTTAAAATGAAGAAAATTATTTCAGAGGGAGAAATAATTAAAATTGAAACTTTTTATTCCTAACTTAAAAAAAAAAGAAAAATTAAACCTCAACTAAATGGAACCGTTACAAATTTGTCTTTGTGTAAGGAACGGTTACTGACCTAAGTGCCTAGTAAATCACTGGTAAATTTAAAATACCTGTTACTCAGTACCTGTTTCTTCTATGATGTCCCGAAACCGTTTTTTTAACTTTTTTTCTCTCCAGAAAACTATTTCAGCGACACTTCATTTATACAGTTATTTAATGTATTTTAATTGTTAAACTGATAAGGCAGCAAATTGGAAGACTGGCTGATTCTATGGTGTCGTATGATGACGTCACGCGTGAGATTCTTTTGACGGATTTAATTTTAACGACTCAATTTTTAATTTTAGCGTCTGTTCAGAGATTCACAATATCTATCACTGAAGTAAATGTAAGCTTTCAATTTGCTGATTTAAATTGATAAAACAGTCTGTGTTTGAAAAAATGGAATTCTATCAATATTTTCTTATATCTGCTTATTTGTTTAATGTATTAACACAAACCTGTAATGAAGCTTGAGTATAAAAATAAAGCATATACATAGCGTTTTGTTTAGTTTTCTATAGCATGAAATTGATTTCTTTTTAGCTACGAAAAAAATGGTGCTGTAATTTCACGATACAAATTAAGGTAAGTAAAATAAAAATTAAGCCAGTGGTTCCTGAGCGTATGCTGGAACTAGAAAAATGTTTCAATTTTGTTCATTTGATTTTGTGATAAATTTTAGTAGATTGATGGCAAAAGAAAATAATGTATGCTTGCTGAGGTTTTTATAATGGTAGAAACCGAAAACCCTAATAAATTTAAATATTACTGGGTAAAAATAGCATTAACTTAAGTTGCTTAAAAATAATTGTTTGCTTTTGGCGATCCGACCGCTTATACGCATTGCTTGCGTTTTTGCCGCATTAGTTTTTATTTTTTCATCAATTGGAATTCGGAGAGTGGAACCGTGTCAATTGAAGGTTTTTTTTATTTTTAGAAAGGACCATAGTTAAGGCTCCTATACTATCAGTCTATATATATGGGTCTAATTCAGGGGCTTTAGTCAAGGTGAACGACGTCCTCAAAAAAACTGATGGCAAATTTTCTAAAAGAACATTCCAAAACTTACCTTCAACAGTTTTAAAAAAAACTTTATTTTAGCGAATCTTTGTTCGAGATTTCTGCTCTCGAATACTAAATAGCAATAGTAAAGCAAGGAGCTTTCAAACATCCGTAGAGAAATTTCATTCCATTTTATATTTTTGAGGTTGCTGGTAACAGTTAAGCATACTGGTTAACTATAAAAAATACCTGTTACTTAACAAATACCCGTTAGTGGAGTCATTTCTATACATGCGGAACACAATTTGGTTTTAGATATTTATATGATAAATAACGCACTTACGAGTGAATGCTGTCAATATAAACGCGTGTAGCAATGCAACCGAAAAGAGATTTGATTATAACTTGTAATCGTCAATTAAAAAGGAAAGCTTTTTCCTCATCACTAACAATGAATGGTAACAACAAGCTTCCTATGACCGGAACGGACTCTAGAAAACTTCCGGTGCGGACAAGTTCGATTTCCTAGAACGTTTTGTGTATTATCAAATGTAGGATTTGAGTTTTTTTCCAGAAATAATCATGATTTTTTTCAAATTATACTGCCGAACGAACCTCGTTAAGACGGAGACGAAGAGTAGCAAAAATCTTTTCGTATAAACCGATAAAATAGCAAAAACCATTTAAGATGATTTTGAAATATAAATCATCAAAGTAAAGAATTTAAATAATATCTTTAGTAGAGAAATAAACGTAATTAATGAAATGTATTTAAATTAGACTTTTAAAAAAAAAATGTTTAATGACAGTTTCTTTTACACATCTTCATTCCTTTAACATTTCCCATTCGCAGTGGTCAAAGCCACAGTAGTCACTACTTTTTTTGTTGTGTACGTGTTTTACATTTTTTTATAAATTAATGTAAGATATTGGATAACCTCGACCCCCCCCCCAAATGTGGGTAGAACGAAGCCGACTCGTCTCCGCGACAGCCCTCCCTCTCAGGAGAGGAGGGGCGATTCAGTCACCAGTATTATAAAGTAATGTAAGTACAATGCAAACAACAAGAAAAACAGAAAACGAACCGAAAAACGATAGGCAATCTCAACGCTTGAATACGCCATCTGGGGAGAAGACCGGTTCCATGCCTTCGTCAGCCGTTCTTGTTCCCTCTCCCCCTCTTTTCAGTTGCATAGGAATGTACTAGGATATTTTTCCTTTTCTTAATATTTTTAGTGTTTAATCGTTAAAAATATTTTTTATAATTTCCATGACGCTTTCTTTTAGAATTATGTTTAATGTAGTTTTCAGTTCCATATAGTTTTTTAGAATGAAAGATTTTAATCTATTTAAAAATCAAGACAGAAAGCCACACGCTAATGATGAAAACATGCAAAGTGTTGCCATAGGTTCATAGTTCTGCGCTACGCCACCTGTAGCCAAAAATCGTACTTTCTCTGATTAAACGTACCTTTTTTTTTGACGTATTCGGATTTCTGATTCCCAAAATATACGGGGTAGGGGTAGCTACAATTTGAGAAATATGGTCTCAATAGTTTGTCAGTAAGGGGGCAAGGAGGCAATTGCCCTCCTATCGGGACGAACTTAAAAATCGTCGGGAAAATGCTACTGTCTTGAAAAGAAATATATATATATATTTTAATTTGCACTTAAATAGTGAAAATATTTATGTATGCTTATAAATTCAATTATAATTGTTCACATATGAGTTAAAATATTAAAATAGACTAGAAATACCTGTAGCTACCAAGCTGTCTTATGAACTACAATAGAAAAGACCTTAATTAGTTTTTGGTTAGAATGAACGTACTATTCCATCAGCTTATCAGGAAAATAAATTTTTTCTTTTTTAATACACCAAAAAATTTATGATTACCAAAATGGACATACAACTCACGATTGTAATCTTTGCTGTTGTCGAAGAAATTCATATTCTTGTCAAAAAATGTTTTTAATTTATTTATCTATTTATTTATTTTTTAATAATGATAATAATAATAATGAGAATTTATAAGACAAATAAGAATCTGTAAAAGAATTTCATTTATTTATATATTTATGCTTTTTTTTTTGTATTATTATAGACACTGCTTTCTCCGAAAGTGTGAGATGAGGGAAAGGCAAAATTGCTCAGCAACTCTTTTTATCGGCATATAGTGCGTTTATATTATAACGAAATTTATAATCCATTGACATTTTCCCATTGTTTTTTATAACATAAATAATATATATTCTAGAGCCGATATGACTTATATGATAAGTGATTAAACGTTCACTTCCCATTGATGAAACTTGGGTAAGAATTCGGATACTGCTCTAAGTTTGCTCTGACAACAGAGTTCCGACATCCAGTGGTAAAAGGATCATGAGAGACAATAATCGTGCTCTCGAGCTATCGAGTACATTCACGTTTTTTTCCTCAATTCCTACTATTTAGTAGTTCACACTCTCCCAATATATTGTTTAAATTTTCAATCCTCAATAAAATACTTTTTAATCATCCATTCAAGTTCAAATACATTTTTTTTAAAACTTGCAGTGGATGACACTTGATGTTAATACGGTTTTTCAAATATTAATTCATTCACTAAATAGGGATGGGGGAAAAACGAAATGGAATTTTTTGATTGGTTAAGCGTTAGTCGTTGATTTAAATTTTACTATAAGCGATCCAGTTTTCATATTCCTCCCTGCAGAGGATCAAAATTGTGATGGCATGTCTTCGCATCATCCTCAGGGATGTTTCCCAGACCGACGCCAATAGCCCATTGTGCAGCTCTAGTGCGACGTAAATGAATTACAGCAACTTCATTCTATAAGTTAAAACATATTCTGCCCTACAATTATAAAAATACACTTTTCGACGCTCTCTTAAATTTCTCGAGAAATACTTTAAAAATATCGGCAATAAACTACGAACAAAAACAAGCATTTTTGATCATCCTAGGCCAGAAAATATAGCAATAAACATGTGACTTACATCAGTTTCTTCGGTTGTTGTTTGCAGTAATTGTATGAAATTTAAAAAAAAAAAAAAAAAAAAAAAAAAAACCAGCTTAAATATTTATAAAAACTAATTCTTTGTCTTAAGTTTCTTTGCTATAACTTTAAAAATATTTAGCAAAATTACTGGAGAAGTTTTCAACTGATAATAAAATTAAAAAAATCGTCAGAAATTGCTGAATATATGAGCATTAAAAGTAGTTCCTTAATACTGCGCATGCGTGCAATTTAGTAAATGAATAAAGTCCGATTTGAATGCCTTGAAAATTTAAAATGTTTCTAGCAATTTTCTAAGTAGTTTTTGTAATTTTTTAAAGGAAGCTCTGAATGATAAGATGTTTTTCATAAATTTTATTTTACAATATTAAACAAGATTTATTAAAAAGTACATCTTCCACAGAAATATGTTTCTTTCACACTTTTTTTTTTTTTTTAATATCATCACATTTTAATTTACGGACGATTATTGTAAGGTATTATCACATGTTATTAAATTTTGTCTTAATATGCAAAATAAAATTAGTGGAAAATCCCTCATCATTTAAAGGATTTCTTCAAAAAGAAAAAAAAAACTAGTACTTAGAAAATTGATAAAAACTTTTAAAGTTTACGAGATATTCTAATCTTTTTTCATTAGTTACTAAATACGATTCACTCACTAAAAAATTTTGATTTTTTTTTTCTTTTCCTTTTTTTTAGCATATGCCCAGTATAAAAGAATTACTTTAAATACTCATATCTTGCGCAATTTTAGGCGAATTTTTTTTTTTTTAAAAAGATAATCTTGTTATCAATTGAAAATTTCTTCGAAAAGATTGTTTAATTTTAAATACTTTTAAAGTTCTCGCAAAAAAAGAAAGGAAAAAAAAGTAAGACAAATAAAATAGTGTTTTATAAATATCCCATAAATATTCAAGCTAAGTTTATGAAATTTCATGCCATCATTGCAAACAACAACAGAAGTAACTGATATAAGTTACAAGTTCATTGCTACATTGCTGGCTTAGGATGATAAAAAATACTTGTTCTCGTTCGTATTTTATCGCCGGTCTTATAGAGCTCTGAAAGCTTTAAAATTGATTGAGAAATCGCATGATCTAAACATCTTTAAAGAAACAAAATATTCCTCTAAATGTTTAGAGAAAAATTAAGAAAAAAAAAATAAAATGTCAGAAACTGAAAGCGTTGCAGGCATTATTGTAGGGTATTGTATAGTTTAAAATAATTTAGTTACCTTATAATTTTTAATCTTTTTTTTTTTTTTTACCTTATCCTTTTGAAAGTATGCTCGAGATCTTTCAAAACATTCTAATGAATTAAAATAGTGTTCCCCAACCCCCGGTCCGCGGACCGGTGCCGGTCCGTGGATCAAGTGGTACCGGACCGCCCATTCCATTAAAACTGAATTTAAATTCCTAGGTTTATACCCCAAATTAAAATTATCTGTGCTCCATTAAAATTTTATTTATTTAAAA